TAGTGTTGAAGTATAAACCATCGCAGTGATGGTCGTTGATTTGTTCAACAATTTGTATCAGTTTATGGCAGTTTGAATAATTTTATTTTCGGTTATTCTAAAAGTTGTTGAGTTCATATGCGAGTGATGTCTTTTACTGCCATGTTACTGCATGTTTTATAATTCTCGACAGTCTCTGGTGGGAAAATTTAAGTGAAAAAATACTCAAAACATTGTGTCTACAATCAGTTACTTATAGTAGTTCAGTTATCAATTCATTGATTTCCAGATGACGTTATCTTTATTATTTATTTAAATTAATGTACTGTGAATAGAGGTAACCATGACGACGACGATAACATATTATGACGTCACATTAGTGAAAAAAAAATAGCACATACGTCACAAACAATTCGACATATTTGAATGTCAGAAACGTCACTTCTACTGTAGACATGAACGTCACATACGTCACAAACACAACTTTAGTGAATGACAATACTACAATGTCAACTAATGACGTCACATTATCAAGGACAACGATAGCTATGTCAACTACGGGTGCTGACGAAAATGATGCAATAATTTCTACTGCGACGTTAGCTGGATCTATAGCCGCCATTGTTATTTATTTCTGTATAATCGGATTATTATTTGGAATGGGAATGCGAGGAGTCAGATCCCATATACACTGGTGAGTGAACCTTCATGGCCAATCAGAAGTTCAAATTTTCAGATGCACAACGCGCATTGTACCGCACTTGAAGTATCGTTAATTCTGACGATAACTCTTATGACAATAGTTCCTTCTCAAAGTCACGACGTCTTTACCTCCTGTAATACTTCACAAAAAAAGTTAGAAACGCTGGTCTGAGTAATGGCGCAACAGCTGATATCACCGTAACATTCATTTCCTTATTTTTAGTAATGTTTGTTTCTCCCTTATGACGTCACATATTCTCCTTCTCGTTGGATCAGATCGTACAGCAGGGTCCACTGAGTGCAAGATAGTATCCATGGCAACGCAGGTGAGAAAATATTTATGCAAATTAAGTACCCACAGTACTCGGGAGTAAAAAATCCATATAATCAAAAGATCCAAAAGACATTTCAGTAAATCCATCCAAGCTCTCCGAAGCCATGAAGTAAGAATTATTTTGTCTTGAGTTCGAGTCGGTAAAAGTCAGTTATTGCGCCTATTGATCGATTTTTTTTATTTTGTTTTTGTTGTTGATATTTCTCTTCTTGTTTATATTAAATTATCGCTTTTCCTATTCACTAATGGATCAATTGATTGGAAATTTTCAGTGGTTAAAGATTGTATTTTTTCGCTTCAAGGCTATCACTTTTATTTATTCCTAAATTCTATGATATCTGATATTTCATCCAAAATGTCACTATATTTTTTTATTTTTATGGGAACAAGGTTTCAATACGCCAAGCGTGACGGCTGTTTTCGATTTGACACAACGCTACGCGAAACTCGTAGAGTAATTGATAGCGATAGGTACGGTACGAAAAGTACATTATTTTGGAATTCGTGTCCATATATTTGAGCATCGCTTTCTTGTTCTTAACTCGCATTTTACATTAACTACTGGATCAATAGTTTTGTTATTTTTAAGGTTAAAGGTTGTATTTGTCCCTAGAAGGCTCTTACTTTTATTTCTTTATTTCATAAGTTCTGTGGGCTCCATGGGATTCGTTTTTTGAGTGCGATGCCTCCATCAAATTTAGGAAATTCCTCACATTGTGGCGGTTCATCATTTGTGTTAGGCGAAATCGTGAAGGCTACAGTGCAGGTAGTCTACTGTGACAGATTAGACACTCGAACTACTTTTTTGGTCATGTTCATATATTTGAGCATCGCTCTCGTGTTCGTCAAATAAGCAGAAAAACCTAAAAACATGAACAAGTTATATCTCTATTTTAACTATTATTCTGAACCCTCAAACTTGTTGTGGAGCAGTATTTGCTTAAGAGAAATTGTCCAGGGATTGAAGTACTTACAGGTTTTCTAAAACCTCGGACACGAAATGGACCGATTGCTTTGAAATTTTCAGTGGTAAAAAATTGTATTTTTCACTAGGAGGCTATTTTATGTCTTTTCAAAACTTTCTGTTGGCTCTACGAGGTTCGTTATTTGTGTGCCATGACGTCATCAATAACCTTGAGCCCCTTTCGCTTTTGTCGTGAAGGCTGCATTACCGATAATCTACTGTGACAGATTGTAAACCTACTTCGTTTTAACTTTCGTGTCCATATATTTAAGCATAGCCTTCTTGTTCCTATATTAATTGCATTTATCTCTTACAGTTCTCAATACTGGTCGGTTTAACCTGGTTGATGTTAGAAGGAATTCATTTATTTCATTTATCGATGGTGGGGAGTGACTTCACAACTAATCATAAACGAAGACGGAAAAAAAGAAGAGTCAGCGTCATTGGAATTGAGCAACAACCTGCTACTGGCTATAACCATAAGTGAGTAAACTTGTCTAAATAGCTGTATGGGTCAGAACCTAATGCCAGCCTCATTATGGGACACAAAGTGGACTTAAGAATCGTTTTGCTAAATTATTGTTTTGTGGAAATTTCTCGGCAATTCCAGACCAATCGATTCCCAATTGTTACTAATTAAAGATGAACGAGGCCGCTACAAAGTTATTGCTTCATTCTATTTCAAAATAAATTTTTCTAATTCAAATCTGAATACTAAGGAAACCGATATTTCAATACAAATTTTGCTTATTTCGCGTATATTGCGCGACCACGTGGTTTTCCGTCAAACTTGTACAAAGATCTTTTCGACAAACTTGGTGCTCAGCTAACCGGTGCCATTCACTGAAACAGCACACGCACCCCTGTCTGTCATCCCATGCTAACCGAGTAGCATAGTTAATTTGCATTCTTGTATTCTGGTGACGCGCTACACATAATTAGAGAGTAGCTCGTCATGGGTTTCTTCGTCATATTTTTCGTCAAAAGGTGATATCGCCCATGTGGTACTTTATGTCTCTTGATTATGCCTCATTTGAAGTTTCGGCAACTTCTCTGAATTTAATGTCATGCGATTAATTTGTCATTATTTGAACCATGGCCATGTGCAAAAAACAATCTTCTCATTAAACAGGCTTCATCCTCGCACCGGTCGTCACCGTGGCCGACCGACCGAATCAGTGAATGATGACGTCACCCAAGACCAAAACATAGGGGAACCTTCTAATACACCATCTAGCGGGAATGATCAAATATACAACGACCAGGAATTATTGAAACTAAAACAAGGAGAATCGTGTTGCGTCTCACGATTGCTATCGTACTACGTCATCGGCTGGATAGGGCCTGCGATGTTTATCGGGGCGACTGTACCGGCAGCTTTACAAGGATACGGGAGATCGCAAAAGTAAATATTTTTTGTTTTTTTCACCCCAATTTTTTTTAATGAGATGATAGAATGTGAGGATTTACATATTTATCCCGGGATAGAAAAAAAGCCGATACGGCGACTTAATCATATGGCAAACCATGGCCTCTCGTCCGGTTACCAGTCCATGTCGGGTGTGGGATTAGTTACCAGATATTTGTTTCAGATTGGTGTTGGGGGAAGCCATTTAGTATTGTAGTATTTATTTCCAGGATAAATCTATGCAAAGATCGGTTTCGATTTAATCTGTTTTTATTGAAAACTCCGACTTGAGTGGCAAATCGAGCTGAGGTCACATGTTGTATATTATTTGATGAGTTTGCACCATCATGTCTTATGTTTTTAATTCACGTCAACTTTGTCGTTTGATTCCTATTACTCAGCAATTGCTGAATTCGTTTTGCTACTAATGACGAAAAGTTTACCAAAAAATGCAAAGTTATCAAAAAATCGCGAAATAATAAAAAAAAAACTCTAGTGCCTGAAATAAAATTTTGAATTTAAAATTGATTGATTGATTTTGAAAATTAAGAGAGAATGTTACCTGATATATTCTAAAAAAATTATATGCCGGATAAAATTCAAATACATCCGTCTGTGGCCTACTCCACTATTCTGAAGCAGCGTTCAATGAATTTATATTGCCCATTGCAATGGTATAGCGGTAATATTTACGTGAATTCTATCGGCAACGAAGTGGTCCTGCGGATAGTTTTTTCGCTTTTCTTTTACCAATTGCTTTGGAATTTTTAGTAGTTAAAGTTTGTTATTGCCGCTAAAAGGCTATTTTTTATTTTATTTCTCTCAAAAATATCTGTGGACTCTATGGACGTCTGTCACTTCGAGGTTTTGTGTGATGACGTCATCAAAATTAAAAATTGCTCACAGTGATCACATCTCAGTGATCTGGTCGTCAGGTTACCGGCACTGTAAAAGTTTTGATACTTCTTCGTTTTGGCTTTCGCGCCAATTTATTTGAGCATCGCTCTGTTGATTTTATTAAATTTACTTTTCCCAACTACAGCTGCTGGTTGGCGACAGACAATGAAATCCTTTGGGTATTTGGAGCTCCACTTCCAGCCATTTTTCTGTTCCATTGTCTCGCAACAATGCTCGCAATATTGAACTATAAAGAAAGAATAAAACGAGAGAATCTTGTAGAACAAAACGAGAGAACTAAGCTGACTGATGCTGAGATGAACACAGGAGACCCCCACACTCAAGTAGGTGACTATATAGGAAATATGGGGAACAGATACATCCATAGGCAGAGCTGTTTCTAACAAAGTCTCCATGAATCTGACTCGAAATTCTCACAGTTTCAGAATAACAAAACTTTGTCAATCATAAAGTCAGGAGTAAGTTGCAAAAATCAGACTTCGGCCTCTCTTGGTCCAGTTTCCGAGAGTTTTGAATATCTTCCAAGTATTCGAGATTCGATTCGAAAAAAATAATCGATTCTATTTTGAAATTATAATGAACCACCCTGTCATTATATATCAGTTTGAATCACTGACGTAAATAAGATTCGTTTCCAAAAATATTTAACAGAAAATAATATTTCAGAATGTTGAGGCTGACGAAGCGCCAAAACCACATCAGATGGTGCAAGTCGAAAACAACCGAAACGCAATCATGGTGAGAGTAGGAATTGGGAAAGAATGGCCTTTTTATATACCGATTTAAAGTACAAGTCATTCTGTCAATATATACTACTTGTCCCTCATATTATCCAAAATATGAAGGGAAGCAAACAAGAGAGAAATGCTCAAATGTATGGACACGAAAACTATGCATCCGTCCATTTCGTCTCTAATAATGTTCCGATGAATATTTTACGGGTGCTCCATGTGATTTGTCGTGATAGCTTTTGGTTTCATTTCTTAAAAAAAGGAAGTATAAGGTGGAGCTTGAAAAAGGAATTTGATTAGACATAAACCACCCTAATATTGTTTCGTGGATTAAAAAAAGCCGGTGGCACTACTTTGATTAATAGCTTTTTGTTTAATCTACCATTGCTATTATTAGTATCTATATCTTCAGCACATATGTTTATGCATCTGAAGCCAAAAATACCTGGCTAACTAATTCCATACCAGACATGGACGGGTAAACGGACGAGAGGCCCTGGTTCGCCATATGATTAAGCCGTTGTATTGACTTATAGAGCGTTGGTTGGTTTTTTGTACAAAATATCCAGACAAAATTTCATCCTTTTTATCGGGTTTGATACCTTTGATAGATATGAAATCTTACCTCACCCGCGCCCGTGAACTTGTTTATCTGCGCAAGTCTTTGTTGCGAATATTCAACCATGAACCTAAAGTGGGTGACGGGGCCATTCATCAACGTCAGGCATAATGTTTGGTAAACAGTGACGCAGGCTGTTAGAAAACCCGTCAAATCAAATTTGAATCTGCAGTGATCAACCAATTTAGAAAATTAAATGTGATGTAGATAAAACCTGCAAATGCCGAAGGTCATTATCAGTCACATTCATGGCGAGGGCGTACTGAAATTTATTCGGGGCTGATAATATTACAATTCTTCTATCGGCAATCTCTCCACTCTCCACTAAGTTTAAAAACTAGATATATGTATGCGACGAATGTTGAATCTGAAAGACTTCTATTTTGAGATACTTTCTACATAGATGAAAAAAAAGTGACAATAATAAAGAAATGCCAGGAGTCGGGTTAAGAGTTTCATATTTGTCCAAGCGGAACGCCGATTAGATGGTTTAATCAGATGAAAAACCAGAGCACCCAAGTGCCGCACAATAAGATTAATTGTGCTTTCCCGATACCAAGTCCGAATGTCTATTGAGTCTACCACCACCATGTTTATTTACTAAAGTCCATAATCCTTGTTCAGATCCCAGACGCGTGACCTCCATAGCCCAAATACGTAACGCACTATTCACCAAAAATTGTGTATAACAGAACAAATATTCAGGTTTTTCTGTGAAATGTCTTGAACCTTTGCAAAAACAAATCTTACAGGCAAGCTGGTAATTGGCGTGAAGGAAGCCAGTACGTAACAGGGTTGATGCGGTTGTGTTAAAGTTCCCTAACTGTACGTAGCGGGATAATTTGGAGTACGTCGCGGAACATCAATTCATTTCCTAAAGAGATATTTGTTATTTGTCAGCACTTGTTGTACAAGATTGAGTCGGTTAAAATTAATGTCGATAGAGAAATAAGGGCGCTTCAGAAGTGTGTGAGGTATCTAATTTTGTTCCCCTACTTTACATCCAGTTGTGTAAAGAGACTGAAACCTATGGGCAGGGTGTATATTCACTTGGCTAACACAGACAATCCCCGAACTCGTAATTGTACTTAAATACGGAAAATCGGAATAAAATTATGGCCTAGCCCTAACTTGGTGCACATACTACGAGAGTAACGAAATAAGAATAGCTTTATCAGACATATATAAAGTCAAAATTTCGTTTTCTGGACTCCTGACACATACCATTAGAATATATAGTACAGGACACTCAAAACAATAACTTTAATGCATTAAAATTGAGCATTGTATATCCAACAAAGAAATAAAACTTGAAAGTGTAAACATAATATTATCACATGAAACAAATTGGATCATTTTGTCGTGAAATTGAGCGCAACAAGTAACCACAAAGATTCAATCATCCGTGACTGTAAACCAATCAACCATGATGTTTACAACACTAGCTGTTTTGGTTTGGAACGATTCCGGTATATGTGGTGACGCATCCAAGACAGGATGCAATATTCAATGCCCTGCTTGAACCAGCGATATAACTAAACTTCGCAGTGTCCATTATTCATGGCCCAAACACTGATAAAGCAGCAGACTAATTTGAGATGCCCCAGCTTTGATCGATACCAACTGGTGAATACCGATATTCCAATGTTTAAAATGACCGCCATTTTTAAAAGTATGATGTGAATTAGTGTGATATAACATATATCAAATATCTCATTCATCAAACCATCGTTACGATCTCTGCGCTGTTCCCCTAAAGTTCCCTCCTAACCTCTCATATATCCGTAAATCTCTTTTCTATTCGCAGTATAGTTGAATAGAATACTGTTAGGTTTTCATATTATCCCTGGGTAGAGAAAAGTCGATAAAGCGGTTTAACCGTGTGGCGAACCACGGCCTCTTATCCGCTCACCAGTCTAAGCCGGGAGTGGGATTAGTTAACCAGGTAATTGTCAGAGGCATGAACTTGATGATGCAGGAAACCGCAACCGAATAGCGTTACGTGAACCATCTTTGACGATGAAAAGTCCAGCAATCCTCTTGCACATAATTATCTCTGTGAGATTCGAAGCTGTGAACCTGCGCAGGGTGATCTTGGTGCCGCGGGAGTCGTGTTCCCTCAACTGTCGACATTTCGTTTGATCTTTTCCATCGCGGCTTTCACTCCGAATGAGGCCCTGTTCAAGAAGCCCCTTTCTATTTTGCCTTTGCCTACCTATTTTATTAATTACATCTTGTGTAGTGAGCTCGTGGGCATGGAATTTTAACTGAAGCACGTGGTGGCAACATAGGTAAAGTACGCCGCTCACATGGGATCACATATCATTTATCGTTTCAGAACGGTCAACTGGGAAATATCTCATCTGACGACGAAAGCGATGACACTTACAACGCTTACAAATACGTCAGGATGAAAAATGGCAACAACTCAACCAACCATGACGATTACCATAACAACGTGATGATTCATCCTCCAATATATGAAGTCACTCAGAAGACGTTGTCGGTAACGCTTCCTGATGAGTAAGTGTGATGGTATTTGTTTGTGCAGAGTTCTATTCAGAGAAATACTGAAAAAATATGAAGTCTTAGTACTCTCAGAAGTAGTAGTGCCGATTTGATTGCTAAGGCAGAATGTTTTTGAAAACCTAGCCGTGATTGAAAAACAAAACAATTATTCACAATTCAATAAAAATGTTAAGATAACTCGCGCGCCGACTCATGAGTGAATGAACTGTGAGACACATGCATCTCTGAAAAGCCAGAAATTATCATATGCGCGTCAGTTGTCCAAATGACATCACTGAAACCTCGAATAAAGAGCGCAAATATGAATAGTTTGCAGTTTTTGCTTCATTCTGAGCCACCATGATCAATAACTCACAGGCCGCCCCTAATTGCCAGAAATGGATCAGTGCCCAGCCGAAACTTTTTCTATTTGATTCCGTATTCCGCTTAATGACAAAGAAAACACAGATTCGTCTAATAGCGCCGGTTATGAAAGAGCGTACGTGTTCATGAGCATTCTCATACCCGTGTGCAACTGTACACGCCGTCTAGAAGACTTCCAAAACAATTTTATTTTTACGCCCGGTCTGCCTAAAACAAGGTTCCGAGCTGACAGCACATTAGAGAATTGATAGAAGGGTCGCAAGAGAGAACCGAAACATCGGTTTCAGTTTCATGCATTTTGCATATATATATATGTGTAGCCCGGTCCTTACTGATTTAAAATGTATTTCAGAAAGCTTATATATATATTTTACAACTCTGTGCAAAATGGCTCCCTTGATCGTAGGCTGACAATCTTTAACGACCGTTGTTGAATTGAAATACTCGGACGTTATTATTTAAATAAAAATATGAGATTTAATATTTCCAAGTTAAAATTATTTTATCGAAACATTTGTCATGTCCAAACGGCGCTAATGGCGCTAGCCACGACTGCCTTACCCTAGATACGTTACTGATATCAGTTAATAACTCTATAACGATCTACTTTATTTTCAGCGAATCTAACGAACCAGCCCAGAACTACCTCAGTGCAGTGCATTGGAATTTATTTTTGATACCACTCGTCAGCGCCACCTGGGCGTGTGGGATATTATCCATCAACTTCCGCCTGGTGCCGTTGATCTATACTTTCTGCGTCCTTAACGTTTTACAGGTAAAGGTTAAAATTTCATTCCCATTCGCCTATATTCCATCGCCTTTTTTAATTCAACTCAAACCTCACGAGACACCCACTCTGATCAAATCTTTGAATAGCATTCACCGATGAAGAGACGTCATTTGCATGCTTCAATATTATCAGGCCACCCAAGGTAGGCCGAAACGATTCCTATAAGAGCTTGAACTGAAGATCTCAGACATGCGTCGTCAGCGTGGGTATGTTCAACGCGCCTATAGGACACGAAGTGAATTTATAGATAGATTTGAAAATTGTTGTCGCCAAATAAAATTTTGAAAAGAAATCGCTAAATACTATTAATTATGTATTTTTCCTCGGAGTCGTATGGTTCTCGATTTGCTGCTTTCCGCCAGAACATTCCGCCATATTTTCAGCAAACTTGATGCTCAATTGGTCGTTACAAGTGCATTTTCATGGCAAAATATTTGCTATCTTGTTGAAACGTGAAGGTATAGTGGAGGGAATGAATCTTCCAAACAGAATTTTTTTTTATATTTGTCCATGGTCCTGTATTACTGAATAGCGACATCAGGCTAGTCCACCCTCTGCTCGGCAAACTTAGTGTCAAGCTAAGACGTGGAGGGCCGATGTTAACTACTACAGTGGTTGAACAAGAAATGGTTGATTTTAGCCTTGTATTAGATGTTTGTCTTCTTGTCCATTGTACTCGTGTTGAACAGTATAAAGTGGAGTATAGTGGAGAGAATAAATCTTCAACAAAATGTATTTTTCTTCTGTTCAGGCCATCTATATATTCGCTTACTACTGTGTTGTTACCTTTCGATTACGTCATAAATGGTTCGTAATGACGTCACACGAATACAATCAAAACGCAAGACCAGTGACAGTGTGGCTCGGCAACGACCCCGGAGATGATTATGACGTCATCAATGGAAGGAGAATGGGACGAAAACGCAGAAAAAAACGAAAAATACCGAACATTGACTTAATGACTCGGACGCCGACACCGTTTCAATCCGCCCCTCCGATCGAACTTCTCGAACGACAAACCCAACATTCTACGAATTCGCAACCTAGAAGTTCGAGGCCTAAATCTAATAGCGTATCAAAATCAGTGGATAGTAAATTGCCCTGGATATCTAAATCAAACAATGGAAAACCAATGCTAAATCGATTACATACAAGCGTTCCTGCTTTGACCTCATTCTGTGATGTCGTCACTGGTGACATGGCGGAAAACAAGATCCCTGTAACACGCAATGCAAATAGGTACTCTATTAGAAAATATGTTCACAAATTAGAAACAGACTCGAACAGAACTTCACAAAGCAAAACGCAATATGAAGTTGCTGTCAGTCAATCAGATTCAACTTTAGTAATCCGAGGAGAATCTCAAAGATCATCTTATGCATCACTAAAGAACGAGCAAATATTTGGTCAAGTGATGCCTGTATCTTCTTCCAGGCAGACTAAACTTCCGGGATTGCCTGGAAATCCAAATTTGGAAGAAAAAGATGAACTAAGCGATTCTCAGTCATTCGCTAGCGACTTTGATGATATTTTAAGAAGTCTAGATCCGAGGGCTGGAGAAAGTTACATTCTTCCTGATAAAAACACTAGAAGTGCAAAAATTCCCTTTGTCAAGTCAGTGAGCGACGGCAATGTTCTAACTCGTTCACATGTGTTGAAATCAAGGAATAGCTTACCATGTTCGCCTGAAAAGCAAGAATCCAAACTAGATCTCAGCGAGATTATCTCGAACGAGCCATTTAGTGCTTCTACATCCAGAGAATCCCCAGACAAACAGACAGACAATTCATATAGTCGAACAAGTTCCGGACAAGGCAGCGACAAAGCTTTACTATCGACGACCCCTCCAATGAGAATCGATGATGGTGATGAAAACACGTTGCCAGATATTAAACAAAATGAAAGACTTTCAAATGAAACCACTGTGCTTGCATCAATCCACCCGAGAAAAACTTACGATTTAGAACCTGAATCTGGCAACAGTAGCAGCACTGAGCCCTGCACTCCTCTTCCAAGGAAGCAATCGCAGAAATTTTCTCCAATACCGATGCCAGATTTAACAATGAAAAACAGCCTTCTAAAGAATAAAAAATCGCGTTGAATGTCTCAATCTTCATATAAAAGATGAAATTGCCATTAATTTTATAAAAGCAAATATATATTTAATAACATAATATAAATTTATGAAAGAACTTAACTGTGTCGCATATGTCCATTGAAACCAAATTTATGAAAAAAATTTTCTCAAGACAAGACGCCCAGCACTCGCAAGCTAAGCTGGGTTCCTCATTCAAATCCTCATTGATTGGTCGATTTCATGTTAACATCTTATTTATTCACTTTTTAGTGGTTGCCCTTGACAACCTAGAGATCAGTATCCATTATTTCTGAGCAGTGTTGGACAGGCTAGAGTCATTTGGGACTGGGACTCAAAGACTTGGCCAGTGATTGACTCGACTTTAGACTCGAAACACAAGTGACTCGACTTGACTCGCGCGGGGTTTAGCGAAGCATTACGTGTTTGAGCAAATTATATTGAAAATCGATTGAGGCTCATTACAGCAATCTCGTGTTAGACCACTGGATGTCGCTAGAAAGTAAAAATGACAAACGCTACTCTGCAGCCGAGGGTGCGGAGCCGGAGTTGGTGAGTATTTATTGTAGTCTGAAGTAGAGTCGTGTTTACAAACTCCCGGCGTCAAAGTTGAATTCCTCGAAGTCGAAATTTCAGACTTTTCAAGGCGATAATCGTCGAGATTTCTTACAAAACTTGAAATATATTAGATCTTGCATGCGACAAAGTTTTTGACGAAAAATTTTGAAATGGTTTTCAACTCCGAGTTGGAGTTAAAATATTTGCCACTATTAGAAGACAGTCTGAGCTCAACACCACACCCGTGTCTGTGTCCACTTAGATAAACTAAGGCAATCAATTATAACTATTATGCGCTATTGTGAAGTAAAACTATAAAGTAAATTAGGATATAATTTTTGCCCGTCTTTCTCAAAAGCATGATTGAGCACTTTTCATTTTTGTTTAAAAGATCTGCATTTTCTATAGGAACTACTTGTATTTGGTGTTACGCAAGACTAACTATCTTCCCTTGCCTCATGCCTATTTACTATTTGATTCAAGAGTCTTGCTGCGCACTAACACAAATGTATTTCTGTAACGTTTACCCCAGACATGAGCAAAGTACGACCCACGGGCCAAGTCCGGCCCGTTGGGTAATTCGATCTGACCCGCCTGATGCTGCCACTACCGGACTGAAACCAAATTTCGGTGTTTTAGCTAAAAATAAAAATAAAAGAATTTGTTGAGATTGCGGTTATTTTTAGTTTTCGCATAAGGCATATTGTTTTCGACCTTTGCTTTGTAACACTGTAAATATTGTTCATGAAATGTAATTTTTTACGTCACACCTTCATGGCCCGCCAGACTAGGTGGGCAAAATTCTGGTCCCTGGTTCAAAAAACTTGCCCACCCCTGGTTCAGCCAAAACGTTTGTTTACAACTTTAGTATAATTGTGGCAGCTCCCGCCATGCAGTGAAGCGAAAGGCTGCTGTTTTGTAGCGTGGATTGTGAAAATAATGCTTCCAATATCCGACGTTAATATGTATCACATAAATATAAAATAGTCGCGATAAAGATAACTTGAACATGCCCGAAGCAATGGCTTGAAACAATTTCACAATATGGCTCAGGTCACCGGATATATACCATCAATTGAATGTCTATGTGTATATTGGATTCCTTGGTAATACCGGCGATAAAAGACATTTCTAGGAATCCAATTCGGTCATCGTGTCGACTATAGAGCAGGGTTTATCAACCTGATGCCCCTGTTCCCTGCTCCATAAAAGGTTGGGAATCAATGCTGGTAGAACTTCCGCGTAGTCATAGCTCTAGGGAACGATTTTGAAACAAAAATTTGGCCTAAACGGCTGATAGTTCACGGTAATTTTCATCCCAATAAAGTCGTAGTCAGTGGTCAATCAGATGTCAACCAACGCGGTACGAGCTATCGGATGAGCATCGAGTTTGCAGCGGACAAGCTTGGCGGAGTAAAGTGTTTTCATATTTATTAATGAAGTGTTCCCATGGCATATATCATAAAATATGTTTCCATTTAGTTGAAATATTGGTTCTTATAAAAGATTTGAAAAAGAGATAAACGACATAAGAGTCTCCTAACGGCATCAACCATCTTCAAGTTCTCAAACTTTGTAATCAGTGGCTTCAATAATTGTGGAGAAAGGCGCATTTTGAATAGCAAAAACAGGAATTTAGTAAAACTATCAGAAAGGCACATTACGTATAACATCTGTAAAGTAAACATATCAAGGCAACATGGCTGGTGGATATGCATGATAACTTAAAACTATTTTGGTGGATCATAAAGCTGTTTCGGTTCAGAGTGAGTTGATCCACTAAGCAGTAAGGCAGTTTGCAAATCATGAATTTTTTAACTTAGCCGAATTTATTCTCCTAATAATAAGGATGGGCATTGGGTATAGCGTGCATATTATATTCGGGCCACAACCGGCATTGTGAAATGTCACGGGTATAACACGACACACAGGAGGACGAAAAATTGGTCATTTCCCGTTAGCATGACTGACTTTCCTTATATGGAATCGAGGTCTTCCTGTTCTTATTATGATTCATAATGTTATGCAGAACAGTGAATATTGCGACACGTTCGAGTCATTGTTGAATCATAATACTGTTTGCATATCACCGTCCAGTTGAAATTTCCGCGGTAAATCCCGCGATGGTTGATTATTTTAAACATTGTTATCGAATAAAATTTTGTTGAATATTTTTTTACAAACCACGTTTTACTTACGCTACTAAAGTTCGGAAGGACTGGATTCCGGTTCGGTATTCCCAATTCAATTTATTGCTGAGTGAGGTGATATCCTTGATTTCCCTCTCGATGGCTGAACATTTAGAGACTATTAACAAATACGTTTTGGTATAGTTTTTTTTTGGTACTCCAGAATTATGTGAACCAAGATGGCGGACACCGGAACGTGGTATGTCTACCTGGTTAGGGTTAGGCCATAATTTCAGGTACAAATACTACGGGAGTCGTGATAGTAATTGAACTAAAATAAGGAAATTTGGAATAAAATTATGGCCTAACCCTGACCAGGTAGGCATACTACGTTCCGGTATCCGCCAACTTAGTTCACATACTCCGGGAGTACCGTTTTTTGTGTTTTATATACGTATTTCGACTTCTTGTTATGCGACCAATTGACATTAATTGCATAGCGCTGAAAGGGACCACCGTATTAGATGAATCACCTACTGGGTATTCCAGAAGTTCTGACCTTCAACCAAAATCAATGAACGGTCAGCCGGTTAACCGCTAAAAAAGTAAATTATGAGTAACCGATAACCGGTAACCGATTACGCACCACCAGTCCTAATAACAACGTGTTGTTTATGTAAGCGATTCGCCTCGTCGATGAGGATGATTGTAACCGATAAATGTCTAGGATCGGTTAACCGGTTATGTAATAACCACATGTCGTAAAGTCACCGATTAACCGTGTCGATTTCGCAGAAAACAGACTAGATCTCATTGAACATCTGCTCTTATCGTCAACTGTGACTCGTGTCTAGTTATCGACATTAATTATTAGTTCATAACAGGTGTAATCAGACGCATTATTAATTCATAATGAATGAATAATGATCATTTGAAAATACTTTTAAAATCCTTCAGTCAGTTAACTGTAATCTTCTAGTTGTTCGATAAAATTATCAGATATTGAGTGGGCCCAAGGGTTCCCAATCGGGGAGAATTTTTTACACAGTGAGGAATTTTGATGCTCGTGGGGAGGAATACTTTGTATTTGGTGCAGTTTAACTAATCATGTTTAGTCATTTGATACTTTTGCAATATTTATGGGCAGAGTATAAACTGTTCCTGTTCGATTTACGATTTAAGTTATCAGATATTGGCAATGCTAAACCATGAAGATATCGGTTGTTCAATAAAATTATGTATTTTTACTTATCGATTTATGCTTGTAAAACACGTATTTAAAAAATCCGAAAATACCATCCAATAAATCAGGACATTACTGTTTTTACTGCAGAGCGCAGATTTGGGATTGCAATATGTGATAAAAATAGTCGGGTTATTTGAATGCCAAACTCTATTTTGCGTGAATCTTATTTATTTTATGTTCAAGAGGCACAATGACGTGTACTTTAATATATTGTGACCTTGAGTCGTTTAATTATGACATCATGTTTGGTGAGTAGTTACGTCAATTCAACTATAATGCGATTGACTGATCGCATAACCTATCGCAATTCTTAAGAGATTATCTCAAAGTAAGGCTACGCGCACTGACCCAATAATAAGAGAGACTCATCTCTGAGCAAATTTACGGTCTACCACTGGAATGCCAAGAGCCAAAGAAACCAGAGAATTATGGTGGTGCATTATGCGCTAGTGAACGCTGATGAGCACAAGATTCGAACCCCTGCAGCAAGAAACAAATAAAACCCAACTTTTTTATAGGAAAGAATTGGAATGAACGAAACGACTATTCAATGAACTGTCAGCTTCTGGCCGTATTTGGCCAATTCCGGTTAATGCAATATTGCCCACTTTTTATGTTTAGTATAGTATCAATATAAAAAGAACATTCAACTGGTATAAGAACCTTGAAACCCTAATTTGCGTGTTTTATAGCATTGCGAGGTAACCGGATGAAATCAAAATCCCCGCATACAAAAGCCATGTCATCCTTCCCAAAGGAAGGAATTCGCATCTTTAAAATCTTAGGAGCTGCGGCGCCTATAAATCCTTCTCTGACACAAAAAATGAATTGATTGATCTTATAATGAGGAATAGCATATAAAGCATATAAATGAAGTTAATATCAAATGGCGTCATTCGTTACGTATTGTATTATTCTCCCTCTTTTATTTCAGGGAATAGAAAAGCCGATAAGACAACCTAATTATATATATGGAGAACCACGGCCATGTCGGGTACGGAAAAAGCCGTAACAGACCGACGGTTGTGTGAACCACCCACGACAGAGAAAAGTCTAGCAACCCTCTCTCATAGGTCCTGTGAACCCACACAGTATAACCAAGTGAGTGGCAAGCGTGTTACTTTTAATGCACAAACAGCCGCCAATCGTTGTATATTACACCAATCATTGCCTCCTTTAAAACCAAATTTCCAACCAATCCGACACTTTTTGAAAGAAAATTTGCCGAAAAGGTCACTCGCATACACTTATATATAGCCAACGGATGTGATTTACGTTCGAAGTTATGGGCGGTCACTGAAATTCCAAAATCTGCCGAAACTTTGTAGAATTATGAAGTGCATCACACACAATCACTCAGAAGTAAAGAAGACTTACCTCTGGGCGAGGTTGCAGGCGAACACTGAAACGCCAAAAGCTATAAAGATTTATGGCGGAGCATCATGCGCAACGAAAAGATACTCATCGCTAATTACAGTTTTGCACACTCACTCAGAAATGAAGGAGACTTATCTCTGAGCAAAGTTACGGGCACTCACTCAGAAGTAAAGAAGACTCATCTCTGGGCAAAGTTACGAGCACTCACTCAGAAGTAAAGAAGACTCATCTCTGGGCAAAGTTACGAGCACTCACTCAGAAGTAAAGAAGACTCATCTCTGGGCAAAGTTACGAGCACTCACTCAGAAGTATAGGAGACTCATCTCTGGGCAAAGTTACGAGCACTCACTCAGAAGTAAGGAAGTCTCATCTCTGGACAAAGTTACGGGCACTCACTCAGAAGTAAGGAAGTCTCAACTCTGGGCAAAGTTACGAGCACTCACTCAGAAGTAAGGAAGTCTCATCTCTGGGCAAAGTTACGAGCACTCACTCAGAAGTAAGGAAGTCTCAACTCTGGGCAAAGTTACGAGCACTCACTCAGAAGTAAGGAAGTCTCATCTCTGGGCAAAGTTACGGGCACTCACTCAGAAGCAAGAGAGAATTATCTCCGAGCGAGATTACGGACGGTCACCGATTGGCCGAGAGCAAAACTTCAGAAAATTACATCTGTGAATTGCCCGTTATTGAATACTGATCGATCAGATAAATAAAATAAAATGTGATATATTTCTGTCAAAACCGATTCCATTGACCCGACTTATCAATCATGTTTTAAAAATAATTTCGCAGACCGGTCGCCAGATCTTATTTCACTATTTGATGTTTCTAATTAACATCAGATCATTAAACCATACATGTCTGTGCGACGCTTTGTAATCAATAAGTCACGCATGGCGGCGTAATTCACACTCTTTCATGCGCGACTTCCAAGCATGATCCTATGATAACACGTATCAAGTATGTATGGGCCTAGTATGGCGTTAGTTGCAACATATTCAGCCACAAATCTGCTTTGCAGGTGCCGCACCAAATAAGGGCACCGGTATTGCGTCGTGCGTATTGCATTCTGATATCATAATAGCATTAGACTCCATAAAAGGGCATAAGTTATACGTCTAACCAATCAGAAACGAGCAAAACAATACAGGAAACAGGAAGTGACGTTTCATGCGGGCGGCGCCTTGTTGCTGTCGAAATTGCAGGCTTACTAGAAGCGTTCGTTTCATTTTGTGTCTGTCTATCGAAGAGAGTGCGGAGAGCCGGCTCGTCAAAGAGGAGTTCTTGGAAAAATCGCAACACTTTGACAAAAATGTAACTTTTGAAAAATCGAAAGATTCGTACTAACAAGTGATCAAAGGATTGATGATACAGAAGGTTAGTGTGGTTTACTTTAATACTTGTCGCAGAAACTTTGTTCCGAATTTAAATTTATGAAATCTCTGTTGCACCGATGAACCTGTATACAGCTAGTCAGCTAGTATATATACATAGAGGATAGTATTTTGTATTCAGTACTTCTCACAGAACATGGATCAAAATGTCTGGCATCCCTTTTGCATTAATAATTTCATATATATACAATTTATACCATTTATTTATATTGTATAATTAGGCGTTAAAAATGGTGGTAGCTTGATTTATTTTTAATCGGGAGTTCGGAACCTAGCTTCGAGCAAACTTATTTGAAAAACATATGCTAAAGTATTCCTCATGTTGGTTGTCGGTGATATTAAGTTTGTTCAATTTTTTACGAAACTCCAAGATTAATTGACAAGAAATTTATAGATTTTGCCAATTCAAGAATAAAGTATATTGGATTTAAAAATCATAATCGAGAATAGAGATTTCTGTTATAGGTATATCACTGTGAGTTACTCTATAACATTTTAGTACATTATGCCCATTGAACTGTTAATATCAGAATAAAGTGATGAAAAGTGTTAACACACCTAGAATAACAATTACCAAGACCCTAGGGTGTGATATAAATGATTGTTCTACGTCAGACCTACAAATTTAGTCCTTAGAAGATGCTAGCTCTTTACGTTCCAATGTCGGGTGGTCTAAAGCCATGTTCGTATTAGTTCGAATTAAATTAACGAGTCTTCAAATTCAAAAAAATTTGACTGTTCTAATCGTTGACGTTTCTTGGTTAGACCAGGGCACGCAGAGAGTGATAAGTACGTTGCGTTTAGGTAGCCAAAATGTTTTGATACTTTTACAAATATGGTGGCTTTAACTTTTAAGCAGTGCTCATCAAAGGCCCTACTTGGAGTGAGTATGTGTGAAACATCAGAGTATAACTCATGAATGGCCAAGCATGGGGGGCGTCATTTATCATCGGCCCGTTTTAAAAATAAAAATTTCGAAATTTTTATTATTTTAATTAACAGTAGAAGTTCAGAGCCTTGCTCATCGTGTCAATATGAAATAATATTCTCTACCCGACGCAATGTTGTAAATCATATTTCAACATATGGGTGTGAAAATCTATTGTCTATTATAAATATCATTCTAATGCTAAAGTAGGCATCATAAGAGAACCTACTAATTGGTATTCGTCTTGAATCAGAATATAAACAAGCAAGCATAAGGTTTATATAAATCGCAGGTTCATGCAAAAGCAGGTAAAGCTCTTCCGTTTAATGTTTGCTCTGAACAAGAACCAGTAGTACGAGTAATATGATATCGGTGGGCTTTTTGCGGAACGGCCATTTGTAAGCGAGCGAAATCTCGGATACTATGCAATTTTACTCAATATATCGTTTTTAAACATCCCTTTCATTTGGGGAGAGGGAGGGATTTTTCCATAGCCCCACCTCGTCGCCCACCTGGGATATTATGACTTAACATTTTCGTATTATGACGTTGAGCTGTAAATTTTTTTACCATATACTCCCACTACCATCATGGCAATTTTTTTCTAGTATTATTTTTCTAGTATTTTCAATTACCTGAACGTCGACATTAGCCTTAGTAATAAATATCTTATGAATATAGATATATAGCGGGCTGGTGTTACACGATAACTTCGAAAACTTAGTTGAAAGAGGGAGGGCGTTCTGAAAATTGTTTATATTTAGAAAATTAGCTGAGTGAAATGGAACAAAAATCTAAGTTGAATGCTAAATTGTATGCGCTGGTTTACGTTCTCCGATTCCCTAACTCACAATTGATTCTTGTGAGCGTAATATGCATTAATGCAAAAGTATTTTAGTCGTTTAATCTTCTGTTAGATTGTGTTTTTTGGATTAATTTGCAAAATTGATGACATTCACTATTGTAGAAAAGAAAGGGCGATCATGACGTTGTGTGGTATTTATTTCCGAATAATTGTAGTAACTCGTAAGTTATGACGTAACAGATACGCCACAATGAGTTATTTGAGCTCCCCGGCTGGATTTCCGCGCCAAATAAAGCACGGAACATCTACACTGCGAGATTTGTCTTCTGAAGTCAACTCAACAAAGTTTGGTTAGAATTAAGTCAGATATTATCTAAATCTAAGATTCCAACTTGAAGCCAAATCGTACTACGCCCAGAAACATGCATTAGTAATTAGTTATTGACCAGCAAATCGTGCTTCGTTGTCAATATTTTTGTGAAAACTGAGATCCGTGATTTATGGTTTCGAGTTATTTCTTGAATTAATCTCCGACAGTCGTGTCTGCAGTTCGTTTCCAACATTAGCAAGGGCGTCTCAGACCATGAAAAGGGACTTTCTCATTTATATTAGACTTGTAGCAGATGCTTGTGAAGTAACATTAATTTTATGAAGGAATTAATAGATAAATAAATTCAATGAGTCCCGAAAATAAAAATATCATTAAGTGTGGAGAAAAGGGAAATTTTTTGTAATGAATGTACAATCCTTAACTTATTATAAACTATAAAAACGGGATTCAGGATTTGTTTGAAATTGTGATTTTGGAAGCTTTTCTAAAATTTTGTGAGCGGCTGAACAAAACCTATACTCTCAACATCAGAATGTTTTTTTTAATGTGAGACATTTAAAAATATAATATCGTATTAACTGTATGAACTAACTTGCTGGCTTCGGGGCGAGGCAATATATCGTTAAAAAATTCCGGCTTTTTTAAAATTAGTTCCACATGTTTCAGTGTATGCTTGTATAGAGCCTTGTTTGGAACTAAAGTCGTGATTACGTCGCTTAAAAGCGATGATTTACTGTATTGATATCGGAACTCCCTTCCAAAATAAATTAATTAACAATTAATCCTATCTTAATCGTGCACGACGGAAAACAAACATCGGCATAATCCCAAAACATCTGGCAAGTGTTTAAATCGATCGAGATTTCGTGGGGCGTGGCAATGTGTTTCCTTCCGTCAGATGGTGCAAGAGACACCAACAAACCGTGACAGCTCATTTCCGCGACCCGGTCTCTCATTCCATATATGGCAACGATGCCTACTAGAGTCAGCACGTCTTGTGTATGACTAGCAGTCGCACTGTGGCCTAGCCCAGTGATACAGAAAGACATTAGTTAGATTATCACGCATTTGTGAGAGGACGGTAGCACTTATGAAAGATAAATCTCAGCTTGGTGACAGTTAGTAGATATTGCTCGTACTAGCAAACAGTCTTCTATGAACGTATATTATATATCGTGCTACTCTTAGTTATTGAGACACAAGATAGGCAATAATGGGGCAGACATATTTTGCCCAACTGATATGATCAGCAATGCTTTGATATATATATTGAAAGAATGAAACAGCTTTTGGGTTATTATTAGAAATGTCAGCTAAATTCAGTTTGACAAAATTCAATACTTTATGGGGCTCAATCTGGTATATAGTTACTGCAATGAGTAAACTTAGAACATTCTGAATCGAAGAAAACCTGGTAAAGGGATCCTAGAACATTGAGCTATCGGGAAATACATAAAACCAGACATAGTTAAGTATTTAAGTATGGCAGGCAAATAATGCTTATTGACATATACGCGCCCTCCCTACAGTCGTTTATCCCAAGGGATGTGGTGGCTGGACAATGACCAGTAAAGAACGAGCGCTGTATATTGCAAGCAGACGTAATTAATGCTTTAATGTCTTACGGCCTTGCTAAACAAAATAGATTGATACCTCCCAGTGACCACTTGTTCTCAGAGTGTTGTCAAGAACGTTTTTGATACGGGATCATTAATATCATTGAATTACTATAAAATTTATAATATATTACCGCGATATTTCAAAGCGATTGGAGCCATATTGAAAATGAAGCGTCGGGATTAAAAGGTAATTTTCGTCGGCCAATGTAGCCTTCTACTAATGTTGATGCCAGCGGATTACATTTTGTCCTATTTTTAATCTTACTAGATTTGTTTGCCCGTGATGAACAGATCCTTTTTCTGAGCGAAGTTTCTATCTCAAATATCTGTTACCAAGATTCAGATGTAACAGCTAAGACTTCTTGACGGTCTGTAGATATCCGCTCAAATAGAAGTCTCGTCGTAACGTTAAAATCACATAAAATCAACGTTTATTTTTAACAGCGTGCAGACGACGCCTTGCAAACGCTGCCAAAAATTTGAAATCGAAGCAAATTTCCTTCCGCACAAATCAGTTACGTAATGCCTGAGGCAAAGTAAAATCGATACCAAACATCTTGCTAAATTGCGCAGCGAGGCCAACTTCATTGTGATTAGTCTACCGCGATCAATCAGTGCAATTCAACAGTAACTTCTTCTGATGAGTTCGAAAGTGTCTGATTGCCTTTTATGGAAATGGACGGTAAAGTGTATTGCGTATGGACAACCCGACAAAGCACTATACTAACTTCAGTTTAGAAGTATCCATAAGCGTCTTTGATAGGGCTTGAATAAGAAAGTGATCTAATGCTACAAACGCGCTGGAACAATACACGCGATAAGGAAAGCCTACAAATATAAAAAAAAACTTCACATTGTACCTGTAATACAGCATAAAACTTAACCCCATCGACAGCTTGAGTGTTGTCATATATATTAGCGTATATTGATAGGATCTTAGTGAGGGAGTGACTGAATAGGGAATAAATACTGTTTTAGGGCTTAAGGTGGGGGTAATTCAATCCTACAAATCGTTGGTATATTACACGCAAAAGCATGCCCACAAATATGGAAAATGCTTCCTTTCCTATACTGACCCTTCCAAATGCATAAACTTGGTCGATGAATGAATCCGCGATTCGATGGCTTTGTTTTTGCAACACGACTCACAAAATCTTTCTCTATTTACAGAAAAAATAGAACAGTCCGCAGTGTGAATTGTTAGTTTCGACAACATGACTCCAGCGATCATCATTGATAGCGGTTCGGCCAACACCAAGCTTGGCTCGACTGGCGATGAGGAACCACAAGCAGTGCTCCCCACTGTTTCCATCAGTGATAAGAAAACGGTGAGTGAACATTGATTTAATTAATTATCCGCGTGGGAATTGATTGTCGACTCCACTAAATAATTCAACTACACAGTTACCTGGATCTTTTTATTGATTGAAAACTCATGGCGTTGAAAATTGTCGATTCGTAATGTCCCGCCAGTACTTTGGAATCAGATTTTCCAGACTTTTCTCGCAACAGTTCGATTATGGAATAGATTTTGACTGATATGCGACGTAATTTTAAGATTATGTTCCGATTCTATGATTGCTTGTCTTTTATTCAAAGCAAAGTTACAGCAAGCCATATAAAGAGCCTCCAGTATCGGCGAATACTGTGATTTATCAGTAATTTTACTGTTTTCTCACAGTGCAGCTGATCGAAATTTCTAAATTATTTACAAAACCATTCCTTGGAGTTTCCCCCTGCGAGTGGTTACTTGGTTATGCAAGGATTCATATAGGTCTAAAATGAATTGGGTATTCGAATCGAGTCGGAAAAAATGTTACATGGTTCTTTCCGCGTTAAATACTTGACTTGGTTACGTCTTGGTTAATTACTTATATTTACCGCAAAATTCCAGTTGATTTAACAATTTTTCACAGTTTTAGTAAATATAAACATCGTTACTGTTTTATATTGAACACTGTTATCCCCACACATGGCCCAACGTAAATCAGGATTCAATTATCTCTTCCAACTATCATCCATGCTATATCGTGTGATAATGCAAACCATATCTCCTTAGGATGTTTATATTTAAAACAGAACAATCTCGATTTCCTTTCCAAGGGGGCGATTATACAGATGATGCTTTATCATTATAGATACGGTCCTAATACAGTAGCTTCCTGTTACACGGACACTAGTTTCAATAATCAAAACTCACACGAGCAAAATCATCCTTTCTATCACAGCGTTTGATTGAGCGAGGACTCGTCACAAACTGGGATGAAATTGAGAAATTCTGGCAACACTGTATTGAGAATGAATTGAAGATGGATCCGACACAGAATCCGATATTTCTCACAGAGCCGCCTCTCAACCCACAGGTATGCAAGTGGTGCTAGGGATTTGTGGAGTCGGAATAAAGTTTTACTCAGAACTCCGGATCCGGTTTGATACGACTCGTCAATTTCATATAAATCCTAGCCTGATTCGGTGCTGTTTTGATATTGTCCCACCAATAATTTTTGATCTGCTTCCTTCGATTCTGTTTATGTTGGGTTGGGATAAGTGGGAAGATGGGATTAGACCTTTTCAAACCTAAGACAAACAGAATCAAGTAAAACAGGTCAATAAAAATGGTGGTGGGCTAATATAAGAACAGTAACCTAACCCTGTCCGCGGCATGACGTAAATCTCAACTCGCAGTCGAAAAACTTTTTAAGATGGTAAAAAAAAAATTTAAACTCTGACTTCAACATTGGCAGAGTAGCCAGCTTAGATTGCTCTATTATTCCCATCCAGCCAAATTCTTATCAGCGTTAACTTATAAATGCGGTTTGCATAAATGTTGAATATGATAACTTCGCTCAACACCGTAAAATTAAGATTAGATGTTTGCTCAAAGTAAGGCCACACGTATCCTCTTCAAAGTAAAGGAGTGCCATCTCATGCGAAGTTGAAGGCAACATCTGAAATTACAAGAGCAACTTACTGAAACAATTTGGAATATTGTGGTGCAATGCGCGCCGATACACGAGATTTCAAACAACTCATATTAATACGACCAGTAAAAAGGCTACGAAGCTGTGAATTCCTTACAACTGATGTCCTTCGCCACTAAGACGCAATACTTTATTTTCCAAAGCTTGCTAAAGTTTCAAATTTTTATCTAACGCGACTCTTTTTCAATTCTTAGAAAGATCGCGAAAGACAAGCAACAATGTTATTCGAGAAGTTCAACACTCCCAAGATGTCTTTCGGATTCCAGCCTGTACTGGCTCTCTACGCCTATGGAAAGATGGCAGGTAAATAATAGCACAAGTCAATAATTAACAAGAAAATAACGCCACCTCCCATATTAACAATATTAGTGAGTAAATGAAAAAAACCAACTAAAGGGGACTGCAGGGCATTTTCAAGAGTCCTTATTTTATTCGAAACCTAAAAAATATCATACAATCTCATCTCGGAAATAAGCTTTCAAGTTTTTTCTAAATATCTGCAGTTTTTCGTTATTGCTGAATCTGCATCCACGGAAACTCTCAACCACCTCTTGTACTCATAATCTATCACTATCTACGGCTCTCTAACGCCTCCTGTGTCCAACTTCATATCTGGTCTATAACCGTGGTAACTCTCTACCACTTACCATGTCTAATTTTGTTAATAATATTGATGAGGAGCTATATATTCAAGTATCTACCGCCTACTGCGTATGATTTTTTTAGATAATACTTTATCCCCATGTTGGCAACTCTCATTACTTACTGTACTTACTTGGAGTATACTTTATTATATCTTCTTTACCAGGTTTTGTGCTTGACATCGGGTACGGCACGATGCAAGCGGTTCCATGTGAAGCGGGATTCTTCGTCCCAAAATCCTACAAAAGATCCAACCATGCGGGACAGGATCTGGACTTCCGTCTCAAGGAGATGATGCAATCAAAAGGATGTGACGTCAGTTTAGAAGGTAAATAGAGCGTAAAATTGTCAATTTTCAAAAAAAGATACCGCTGAAAAATCTCTATTCCGACAAGGAATTGGATGTTTAGAGATTATACAACTAAAACGGTCTTTCCTGGTTCTACTTGCTACTCAGTTTAGTTCTATCACGGACAAGTGTGGAATGGAAAATAGAAACTTTTTCGATCGAAAAAATCCAAATTACTAACAGAATTTCAACCTATTCCCAGTTGCGAGTGACATTAAGGAGAAGCTTTGTTACGCCACACAAGATTACGATGCGGAAATGAAGAAAGCTGAAGACAACAAACAATACAAACTTCCTGATGGAAAGGTGAAATGTCACATTATTGTGGTTTGTTGAATACCTCATTAATTTTAGGCGGCCGACTTTCCAGGTTTGCATATAGGAAGATAGCCAATATTAGAAAAATACCGCATTCTGCCATATTTTAACATAGCCAAGTAAATATTCGATTTTTACAAAAGAAGAGTATCTCTTCCCAGCTTTAAATCTTTGACATCGTCACTCATACGTTGATGCCTCTTGTCACCCTCAACTAGCTACCTCAATACAAAATGACCTAAAATCCGGGAAAATTTATTTTTCAGGAAATAGCTATTGGGAGGGAGCGATTCCAGTGCCCGGAACATCTCTTTCAGCCTCAGTTGGGCGGAAGTGACGTACCCAGCGTTCAGAAGTTGGTTTGTGACGCGGTGGAAACACAAGGCGACAAAACAATGTTCGAGAATATCGTGCTGACAGGGGGATCCACAATGTTTCCAGGTGAAGACATTTATAATTCAAGTACAAATTAATATTACCATCACGCCCTTAAACAAGCATTCTAGATTACAAGCATCAACTGAAGCGTTAAGCAACGTCCCTACCCATTATTTTGGTATAGTCACTCAAACTAATTCAAAATGAAAAAAAACTTAAACAAAACAGGCCTAAAAGGTTCACATAACAATGAATCTACGGCTACGATCTAACATATTCACGGACTATGGCCCCGTGAAGATATCATGACGGAACTTTTTGCATTTTAGTGTTCGATTTGCAACACGGAATCACCTTTTTTCTTATTCCGATCTTAAGAACTCCCCATCAATTTTTTTTATATTGTGACAACATGTGACTATCTCTGTGTAACGTAAAAGTTTGTAATTTTTGATTTCAATTACCCCTTATCAAGTTCTTCAAACAACATCACGATAAAACTTTGTTTCAACTTTACAGGAATAAAAGAGTGGATTGAAAAAGAAATAACGGCGTTGTTGCATTCACAGAAAGTGATAATCCAAGCCCATGATACCCGGAAATTCAGTTCGTTCATCGGTTCCGCGATCCTAACCGCCCTTCCGACCTTTGAACCCCTCTGGATCACAAAACAACAGTACGAAGAGATCGGCACTGGCGTTGTTGCAAAGATCGAATAATTCTTAAACTTATAAACCCAAAGTTATGAACATATACCTCAAACAACGACAAATTTATTCCTTTATTTTGGTTTTTCTCTAACCCGATCAACGACAAAACCTTGGCATGATTTTGATAGACAAGTTTAACCAGCCTTTGAATGGCTGTCTACCTTTGCTACAGAGTTGTTCCAACATAAATGTGCAAACTGTGTTTAAGAATTCCCTGCGATGACGTCACCGTCTCATTACGTCATGTTCCTTTTTCAAAATTGTCAGCATCACTAGTACTGGTATCTTTTTAGCATAGGAATTGGACAACTGGCTTTATAATCTTTACCATTGATCAAAATTAAATAGAAGTTTGCCTCCATAACGCATCAAACCACATGCACTTACATTTTTTCCCAGATTTTCTACCTTGTATACATTTCCTCCCTAATTTCATATAAATCTCATATTTCATATTCACAATTTAATACCCCGAAGTATCACCGAGTATGAACTTGCAATGTTGAAATTTGTCATATTTCATCTCGTCTCAATAGTTTCAAAACACCATCTAATGTTCAATTTTACTCTACCAACAAGTGCCATGAATTTTTTCTTTGTATAGCTTTTTTGCTCGTTCCTGATTATGTTTTATCACACTGCATTCAAATATTTTACGTCATTGACATGACGTCATATGTCTACAAAATACTAATACATAACGTGATATCACGAATTTTATTTTGAACTACTCGGTACGTCGCTGTATTTATCCCAAACATCACAAAATACAGTACAAAAATGACAAACTAACTTTGACTAATCCGACCCATATTTTCTCTCTAATGTCACAGAACCTAACTTTTTACGTAAAATACTTAGTCTGTTTTACCCCAAACTATCAAAATGTGTGACGATGATGTTGCTGCTCTTGTTGTCGATAATGGTTCCGGAATGTGCAAAGCCGGATTTGCCGGGGATGACGCCCCACGTGCAGTGTTCCCATCTATTGTTGGAAGGCCAAGGCATCAGGTAAGAGTTATCGTATTTCTGCCAGAATTGAAAATAGGGTCCGGTCATGCATGATTCCTTGGTGCCCGAACAAAACCCCTGTGGCCAACGTTCTGATCTGTTTTTGCTTTTTTATCTAACAGATTGTATATATCTAGTAGGTCAGGAGAGCTAAGTGACCATCCTGGGGTTATTCATTCACCCATTACGTAACAGAAGTACTCCTAAGAATTCCTAAACACCGAGTGAATGTCGAATTGAAATTATCTAGTCCTCTTAAATCTACTAGCCCTTCATGTCTATTTTGTTGGTTGTTTGGGATTTTACTTGTGCAAATATGGAGCAAAAATCTCATATAAATTCCTACACTCCTATCAATCATAAATGTATTTAAATCGAGTAGGCATCGCTTTCCCATCTTATTTTAAGCCCAAGTTTGTTCTTTTTTGTATCAACTCAAATTGTTTATCTTTTCCAGGGTGTCATGGTAGGAATGGGACAGAAAGATTCCTATGTCGGAGATGAAGCCCAAAGCAAAAGAGGAATTTTGACTCTTAAATATCCAATCGAACACGGAATCGTCACAAACTGGGATGATATGGAGAAAATCTGGCATCACACATTCTACAATGAATTGAGAGTTGCTCCAGAAGAACATCCCGTACTTCTCACTGAGGCCCCACTCAACCCCAAGGTAGGTAAAAATTTTGGATATGACATCACGGTTGTGGTGGAAGTCGACCTCAGTTCAATAGTGCCCCAGTAAAAGATTTAATAATGCTACTCTGAAATGTAATGGCCCAGAATTAAAAACAATGACGAATATTTCGCACGTCTTGTAGACAGAAATTGTGTTTGAATGTCACATAGGTTTTAAAATTTGTACATCATTAAAAGGTATGGTCATTTAACATTGGTAGCTTTCCTTTACAGGCCAACAGAGAGAAGATGACTCAAATCATGTTCGAAACTTTCAACACTCCAGCAATGTACGTTGCAATCCAGGCCGTACTTTCTCTCTACGCATCTGGACGTACTACCGGTAAGTTAGAGCTCTATATTTTGTGCAGATGAATTTGGTGCATGTCTCGTGATTTATCCATCCAATTTGTCAGTTAGAAATTTTCGAAATCAAAACGAAATATGGTGAAGAATTCTAGATTACTAAACTCTCTGAATAAGCACAAAATTGAATTGCAAGCCTAGATTTTCGTATGTAGAACTGACATTTCAAACAACATCAACATTCTTAACTTTTTTCAGGTATCGTCTTCGACAGCGGTGATGGTGTTTCCCACACTGTCCCTATCTACGAAGGTTACGCACTCCCTCACGCCATCATTCGTTTGGATTTGGCTGGACGTGACTTGACTGATTACTTGATGAAGATTCTTACCGAGAGAGGATACTCTTTCACCACAACTGGTAAGTAAATATTTCGATAAGGGTAAATTGTTGTTGTAGGGATACAAAAAAGCGGCTTTGGATGGGTGAGAAAGATACTTTTGTTAGCGTACGGCAGATTATGCGAAGAAATCAGATAGTCTAGCTGGACTGTTACGTAAATATATTTTTCTGGGCATAATTCAACCCATGTGATGATTACATAACAAATCGGAGAAATAAATTTGTGAAATACAAGCATGGCACCAGAGTCGACAAGCAAGGTTAAAACAATCTATCTCAAATTTGGCTTCAAATCCAAAAATCTTAGATTGTGCCATAATACCATTCCATTACTTATAGTTCACTATCAATTTAAAAATTGCAACCGCTTTCAACTCTTCATATTCTACACCAGGAAAGTGATATCAGTCATCATTAACTCTGTTTCATTTTCCAGCCGAACGTGAAATCGTTCGTGACATCAAAGAGAAACTCTGCTACGTCGCTCTAGACTTCGAAGCAGAAATGGGTACAGCAGCCACCAGTAGCTCGTTGGAAAAGTCTTACGAACTTCCTGACGGACAGGTGAGCTAATTGGATTTTACCTTGCAAATAACCTCGTAACATACCATTTTATGAGTCGTGACAACAACTGAACCAGATTACGCGAAAATGAAACATTCCGCGTGATGAAAATGGTGGGAAAACACCAAAGTACTCTTGTGTTGGTAGGTGTTTTTGCCCAGAATCCAAGTATAATATAAAATCTAGTCAAGTATTTAGTTTATTGAATATTCTTACGTTTCAATAAATTAGCAACACCTCATATATCTTATAAAAAGAAAACAAATTATCGGGTTTTGCTTGGTTATCTTTATGTTATATCATGATACAGTCACGTATTGCTCAAGATGATTCGTATGATTCATTTCCGTTTAAAGACAGTGACCAGTTGTATATAATGATTGCCCGTTTGTAGCCTTGGTCGAAGAAAACACACTGAAGCCTTATTTTTTTATTATTTCAGGTCATCACCGTCGGAAACGAACGATTCCGTTGTCCCGAAACCTTGTTCCAACCATCATTCATTGGAATGGAATCTGCTGGAATTCATGAAACCGCATACAATTCAATCATGAAATGTGACGTCGATATCCGTAAAGATTTGTACGCCAACACTGTCTTGTCTGGAGGTTCTACTATGTTCCCCGGTAAGAATTAATTTCATTTCTACATAAGTTATAATGTTCTCCAAGTATCCAATGCCGTTCTCACATATTAAAGTAAAAATATGTAATCCCACTGCTAAATCTATGTAATTGTTTTAACTTTTAATACTTGCGCAAAAAAATAATAATTACAAAGCAAACACAATTTTGAAAATGTCCTTCATTTATCCCGCGGTAGGAAGAGGGGAAGGGGAGCATATAAGTTATAATATCAATTAGTTTCAAGCAAGGATTTATGTCGCACCATACCACAAATTATTTCTGTCGCCTCTTTTTACTCTCTGGAATTCGTGGGAGAAAGACACTTGAAGTTGTTTATCTTTCACAAAAATGGTACCTTCATTTCACGTAGCTAGTTGTGTCATGCGTCCACATACTCAAGCAGTCTTCTCATTTTACAGGAATTGCCGATCGTATGCAGAAGGAGATCAGCGCACTTGCTCCACCGACAATGAAGATCAAAATCATCGCCCCACCTGAGCGTAAATATTCCGTCTGGATCGGAGGCTCCATTCTCGCCTCTCTTTCCACTTTCCAACAAATGTGGATCTCCAAACAGGAATACGATGAATCCGGCCCCGCAATCGTCCATAGAAAATGCTTCTAAGCCATCATAGTTTCAACTACTAATGTAGCGTAGACCGTGTCAAATTATTTCAAGAAAACTAAAATTGTCTTCCAAATTTTTTCCGATAAGAAGATTAGTTTAGATTTTGAAAAAAAATTTGATGCTTTCTGCGCTACTTGGTAGTAATAAAATTTTCCTCTATCATCTAGTCAACTAACATTATATCCATCATGTATTTCCAAGAGTAATATCCTTGCATTAGGTAGTTTCAATCCTGAACCATCAACCGTACCGTTATTATATATGGAAATTGTATTATTATCAAACAGGACTCGTGCAATCTGTTTGTTGATCATATCTGAGTCTGTTGTAAAATACTTGTTAATACTGGCATACCGTAATGTGTTCCATGTTTTATTCTTACTCGGATGGTACAAAATTTAAATTTTTGATATTTGCATAAAATTTAGCAATTGCGTTTTTATATTTCTATTGTTGCAAATTCTTACCCATATACTTAACTTTTCTTTGGGCAAGCTCGGACCATGAATAAATTTACATGTTATCCACGGTCCGTGTTTGTCCTTGGACAACAGAATCTATCAAATATACTTAGATGTCACGTGAGCAACAAAGGTTCATCATTGTGAATATTACATTGTGTTGTGTCGCAGTTATGACGTCATTATTGAATTTAGTCATGCTAGAATATGACATCATAATTACTTAAAATGAAGTTTTTATGGCGTCACTTCTTCGATTATGACGTCATAACTATTTTTAGCTTCATTGTATTATAATACTATACTCAGTGTGCAACTTTACCATCATTGTGTTATAAATGTCGAAAACCCTTTTACATTCCGTCCAATCTTGTCTTCAACGCCATTTTTTGTTACCCGCCATTATTGTCTTTCCCTATCCCTACGTCATAGTACTTTACTTGAACTATATGTTACCTAACAGTACTAACTTGCCCTTGTTTTGTTTTAGCTATCACAGGTTAAATCCTTAGTTATTCTAACTTAACTGTAAATCTAAACCCAAACTATCAAAATGTGTGACGAAGATGTTGCTGCTCTTGTTGTCGATAATGGTTCCGGAATGTGCAAAGCCGGATTCGCCGGGGATGACGCCCCACGTGCAGTTTTCCCATCTATTGTTGGAAGGCCACGACATCAGGTAAATGAAACTAGTACTTGGCGGTTTAATTTCAACAAGAGACTTGATAATGTAAGTCTGCTTTTCTGTTCCTCGTTCAGAGCTAAGGTGTTCGCCTGATAATGGCTCTTGAACGCGGTAGTAAATGACCCCGATATAGCGATCGCTTTTGGTGATTTACCCAGCATCTTTACAGTTTCTAATAAACGGCATTTTACTTCAGGGTGTCATGGTTGGAATGGGACAGAAAGATTCCTACGTCGGAGATGAAGCTCAAAGCAAAAGAGGAATCCTGACTCTTAAATATCCAATCGAACACGGAATCGTCACAAACTGGGATGATATGGAGAAAATCTGGCATCACATTCTACAATGAATTGAGAGTTGCTCCAGAAGAACATCCCGTACTTCTCACTGAGGCCCCACTCAACCCCAAGGTGAATATACCTAATTTATGACGTCATGTTTATAAAAAAAATTATGACGGTATCAATATAATTTAGTTTATTTTCATACACGGCATTATCGTTACAGCCAATTCTGTATCCTAAACTAGAGTTGTCGACATCATCATTGATGACGTAATATATAGTAGATTATTCGTATGTCATAATGGAGATATGATTATAATGTCATCAGAATAATTTTATTCTTTGATATCTCTATCCAAACAGCCAGTATTTTTTGTCTTTCATACTCGTATACGTTTTTTTTAAATCTAAGTGCTGACAGCTATTTCGGATTTTACAATAAACGGGTGTAAGCATTATATTCCTATTTGGTGAAATAGGTTTTGAGCAATTGTATATGGACTGTTCTACAGAGAATGATATACTTTTTTTCGCAGGCCAACAGAGAGAAGATGACTCAAATCATGTTTGAAACTTTCAACACTCCAGCAATGTACGTTGCAATCCAGGCCGTACTTTCCCTCTACGCATCTGGACGTACTACCGGTAAGTTGAGCTTCCAAATGGGGCGATATCTTTGACGAAGAACGTTGTCTCGCGAATGAATCCTGTCAATACAAATCTAACATAAATTGGGCTGGTGAATATACAAAACACCGTACGAAGTTGAATAAAATATTATAAAAGTATTTTGTAAGCGTCCACATATATTTTAAAAAGTAAAGTCTGACGAAACCATGATATACAAAACAAGAGAGCTATGCTCATATATATATATATGGACATTTGGCGCCACTTAGTGGCAATAATTTTGATGACGTCATAGAAGTAATAAAAGTATTAGCCCTTTAGCAAAAAATATAATCTTTACTCACTGAAAGTTTCAAAGTAATTGGTCCAGTCATCAAAGAGAAAGGCAACTTTTTAAAAACGTGTCAAAAAACAACAACAACATAATATTGAAATGATCGTTATGTCCACTGACGTGGCCAATGAAATATCATAATAGCTTCTAAACTAGTGGTAGCGTCGCACGTTTGCATATGTCAGTTTTTTAAAAAGATATTTCCCAATGTCTGACTTGGAGACCTATTTTTCTATTTACCACTTTCGACAATTTCTTTTTGTACCTTCTAGGTATCGTCTTCGACAGCGGTGATGGTGTCTCCCACACTGTCCCTATCTATGAAGGTTATGCACTCCCTCACGCCATCTTACGTTTGGATTTGGCTGGACGTGACTTGACCGATTATTTGATGAAGATTCTCACAGAAAGAGGATACTCCTTCACCACAACTGGTAAGAGACTCTATTTTCCGACATTGTACATCCAATTGCGCATAAATATCGACTTTGCCCAATAGCCATTATTTTTATGATGAAGATGTCATGTTGTCTTTCTGATAATGTTGATGGTAAATATACAGTAGAAACAACATCACCAACTTTTTACATGCATCAGTTAGTGTACCAGCGGTCGATTGGGAGGTTTCTGTGACCTGCCAGCAAAAGTCCTTTCACAATACATGGCGCCTAAACCTATTTTTTCGTCAGCAATTTTCATTCATTCCTTCTTCAAATAAAGCAACATTTAAACAAAATAATCAATGTTTGTTATCCATCCTTCAGCCGAACGTGAAATCGTTCGTGACATCAAAGAGAAACTCTGCTACGTTGCCCTTGATTTCGAACAAGAGATGGTAACAGCATCTTCCAGTAGCTCGTTGGAAAAATCTTATGAACTTCCCGACGGACAGGTATGTGAGCTTATCTTGGATTCTGGCACTCGATACTCACAAAGCAAAGGCTAGTGCTGTCGAACTAAAGTATACACTTAGATGCCAGCTTTAGTATAGTCTACTGAATTCACTAGAATGAGCATTGAGATGTATTTATAGCCTATGTCGCCACAATAAATAAACACTTTAATTTTATATTATTTCAGGTGATCACCGTTGGCAACGAACGATTCCGTTGTCCAGAAGCCTTGCTCCAACCATCATTCCTTGGAATGGAATCCGCTGGAATCCATGAAACCACATACAATTCAATCATGAAATGCGACGTCGACATCCGTAAAGATTTGTACGCCAACACTGTTTTGTCTGGAGGTTCCACCATGTACCCTGGTAAGTAGGATTATTCATTCTAATGAGAATCATAACCTCCGGTTGAATTTTATCTTGTACAACCAAGATAGGACCTAGACGAAGGCGACTAAATTATCCCTTAATATTACCAGTCGAGGTCGGGTACACGATTGCCAACTAGCCGTTTAAAAACTATAAATAATTTTATATCAAGGGCTGTAGATGCAGTACCTCCTTTACAGGATTGCTCTGCAAAGTGGCTCTAACAGTTTCATCTGGCATCACTGTGTTTATATATCGAACTAGCCCTCCGAACTCTATCTATAGACAAGTACAATTAAAAAATGTAAAAACTTTTCAGAATTAGTTAAGGGACTGATAGCAATATGACAGACTTCATATGAGAAAGGAGTTGCTGTCCTACATGACAAAAGATTTCTTGATTCTATCTATAAATTCAATAGCATTGGCTTTAATGCATTTTCGTTTTTTCCGCAGGAATCGCCGATCGTATGCAGAAGGAGATCAGCGCACTCGCTCCACCAACAATGAAGATCAAAATCATCGCCCCGCCTGAGCGTAAATATTCTGTCTGGATCGGAGGTTCCATTCTCGCCTCTCTTTCCACTTTCCAACAAATGTGGATCTCCAAACAGGAATACGATGAATCTGGCCCTTCCATTGTCCACAGAAAATGCTTCTAAGCACTCCAAGATCAAATTCGCTTTTGCGCTTAGATGATCCGTCATCTAATTTTCGTACTTGAATAAAACATGTGAAATAAACTTATAAATTAGAACGAAATAAGAATAAAAAACCAAATTAGATAATATAATTTTTCGTCTTGTATTTTGGTTCTTTTAACTTATTCTTGCTACGTGTTCTAACTCTTCCGATATTTGTTGATAAAACAACAAAGAGTTATTGCTAAAATCAAGTTTATTTCACATATTTTTCAAAATTAAATTGGTGAAACAATATATTTTATATTCATTTACTCGGGATATCAATATTAGAATTATAAAAAAGATCTAGAAATTGTTTCAAAATTATAATGAAAATAATCTCGTTGGTGTAAAAATGACTCTACTTCATATGCACTGTCAAAGTATGGGGAATATTTCAAACGAAATTTTTTAAATGAAATATTCACAAAAATTGGTTATTTTGGTGTTTTTAATATTACCATTTTAGCATGTTGCTTCAAACGACGTTTCGTTGAAAATGTTTCTGCTTACAATCTTCAAACAACGTTATATTATTTCTTTACATGTAAATCGCGTTGACAAGGCTATTCCGGCCAGAAGGTAGTTCCCAATGCGGTTGTGTGTGAATTTGGTTACATATGACAAATGCGGTCACGAGTGGCCTTTCATTCATAACATCACATTCGTGATAAATCTTCTGACTGGATCGTCTCGGTCATTTTTTTATTTTCTTCAATATGTTTCTACATTCCGAATGGCATTGTGTTTAGATTACGTCGCACACTCCAACCTTTCCGTACTTTATTGAAATTATATATTTGGAACTTTTATGCCCGGTGAAGCGTTTTCATCTGATAATCCTAATGGTTTTATTCCCAACATATCATAAAATGTAATATGTCATTATGTGAATGCTGAAAAATAAAGTGGCGATATCCCACATTCCCTTTCAAACAACGTCGTCAGCTATATTTAACGAAGTATTGTGATGTATTAGTAACAGCTACTACATATTGTGATGGAATTTAATACGACGATTTTCAATTGTGTTGTCATTGTGACGTTATTTTGCACAGCATTTTGTTTGAAACATTTTCTTTTATTCTCACCCCGCCCCGTGGTCACCATTGTTTATATATCAATTATTTAGTTGTGTGCTGGTTCTTACCTGTACTGTATTTGTTTTAGCTGTCACAGGTTAAATCCTTAGTTATTCTAACTTAACTGTAAATCTAAACCCAAACTATCAAAATGTGTGACGAAGATGTTGCTGCTCTTGTTGTCGATAATGGTTCCGGAATGTGCAAAGCCGGATTTGCCGGGGATGACGCCCCACGTGCAGTGTTCCCATCTATTGTTGGAAGGCCAAGACATCAGGTAAAATTTATTTTAAATACGAAAATATGTTCCAGGTCGTTTAGGCCATTTTGTAGCGACGAAATACTTACTCTTATCATGAAGTTTGCATGTTAATTCTTCGGTCGATATACAAATGAGGCATTCATTACCTTGCTTGCTCAATGATACCGCTTGTGAGGTGCCGCCATTACTAACACCTGAATCTTCTTCTACATTTCAGGGTGTCATGGTAGGAATGGGACAGAAAGATTCCTACGTCGGAGATGAAGCTCAAAGCAAGAGAGGAATTCTGACCCTTAAATATCCAATCGAACACGGAATCGTCACAAACTGGGATGATATGGAGAAAATCTGGCATCACACATTCTACAATGAATTGAGAGTTGCTCCAGAAGAACATCCCGTACTTCTCACTGAGGCCCCACTCAACCCCAAGGTAGGTCATTTTTGGGTAATATGATTACGTCACTTCTGAAATTAGATATGTCAGAATGGTATTGACGTCAAGAAGCAAGGACGCCAGACAAAGAACAACCAACGTTGTTGAAGTGCGCATGTTGGGCAGATTTTTATTCCACTTAGCAATTCATTTTGAGATTTCTAAACCAATTGAATATGCGTTAAAAATAATGCTATTAGTTTGGGAAGTCATCCATTCGAGAATGGTTTCGCGACTGTAGTTGTAGGATTTCTGTGCAGTTACATGAGCTTCTCCGACCCAGTAACTGACTTTGTAATTTTTTATTGACCTGTGTGGCTGGCTACTGATTTAAAAATTCATTTTTATGTGGTTTATTTTATATTTCCAAAAATTTCAAAATCCTATTCCTTTTTATTAGGCCAACAGAGAGAAGATGACCCAGATCATGTTCGAAACTTTCAACACTCCAGCAATGTACGTTGCAATCCAGGCCGTACTTTCCCTCTACGCATCTGGACGTACTACCGGTAAGTCTAAGTTGCGAAAACATCTGGCGTTAAAGTTAGGACACTCGGTTATGATACCACCAAATTGTATGCCATGAAAGAGCACCCGACTCGTCTCCGAGAGCAATACCAAACAGTATTCTCCAGTATAATATAATTATACAGTATATTCCCGAGTAGGGTGTCATATATAGAAGCTCAATTTTCGCGACACTGTCTTTGTAAATTCGTCTTCTATCCGAATTCACAGAACATCTTTTACCAAAATTTCTTTAACCTAATGTATTTAAATTTCCAGGTATCGTCTTCGACAGCGGTGATGGTGTCTCCCACACTGTCCCCATCTACGAGGGTTACGCACTCCCTCACGCCATCTTGCGTTTGGATTTGGCTGGACGTGACTTGACCGATTATTTGATGAAGATTCTCACAGAAAGAGGATACTCCTTCACCACAACTGGTACGATGTTTTTACATTACACGTTCGGGCATGGATGGCTGCTCATTTAACATATTTTTCCAATTTCTAATGTGTTTTTTTACAATTGACTACATTTATAAAAATAACGACAGCTGTCGCCTGTCAGTGCTTTTTATAAATCACATTTATGATTAAGATGTGAGCTTAATACAACATATTTAATATTTATGATCTCACTTACAGCTGAACGTGAAATTGTTCGTGATATCAAAGAGAAACTCTGCTACGTTGCCCTTGATTTCGATCAAGAGATGGAAACAGCATCTACCAGTAGCTCGTTGGAAAAATCTTACGAACTTCCTGACGGACAGGTGAGTCAACTAAACACAAATATAGTTCGCAAAAGCTGATTTTTGTATGTCTTGCATAAATGTTGTCATTCTGGAGATGAATGATCTTCAGCATTTTCCCAACCCTTGGTAAACCCCTGTTGCAAAGTGCTAGAGGTTAAACAGTTCTGCTCACAACCATGTTGTATCTATGTACTATTAGTGATACAGCTTGGTGGAGCTCACAAAAGATCTATAGGATTATGTGAACGTTTATGGTGCTTTGTGCACTGAAAGGACGCAAAAACTACTCAAAAATATCTTCCTGGTGACTTCTTCTACTGTCATGCGGTTTTAAGTGCTTTTTTGCTTTCCTAAACTGATCATCAATCTTCAAGTCACCGCAGCTAATGATATATAGATTGATATCCAGAGCTCTAAAAACCAATTTTATTTTCAGGTTATCACCGTCGGAAACGAACGATTCCGTTGTCCCGAAACCTTGTTCCAACCATCATTCATTGGAATGGAATCTGCTGGAATTCATGAAACCACATACAATTCAATCATGAAATGTGACGTCGACATTCGTAAAGATTTGTACGCCAACACTGTCTTGTCTGGAGGTTCCACCATGTACCCCGGTAAGAACAGATTACCATTTTGTATTTCGAGTTTTGCTGCGTTATTTAATGCTCACTGAAAGCCTACCTAGTGCAAACGTATTGTAATTTCAAAGACTATGTTTGGTGTTCGGACCAGGGGCCGAAGGTTTGACCAATTAGAGTGGCGTGCCATGTAAACATAACGTAAACAGTGTTACAATTTATGAACGGAACAATATTTACGGTATCAAAAAAGCAAAAATGGAAAACATTAAGCCTCGTGCTAAAACTAAACTAAATTGCAATCTCAACAAATTCCTTGATTTTCCGCGGGATTTGGCCCTCGTGCCGTGGTTTGCCCATGTCAGTTATAGGCCCTTAATTAGAATGTCCTGTCATTCGCCAGTCTGCGATTTGGTTTGTTGAAACAGATGGCACTGAAGCAATATTCAAATAACCTGTTATAACTACTGTGTTTCGAACCGCACGCGCTATAAAATTAAGATTTAAAAGAAATAAAGTCTCTAGTTGTCGAAAAGGTTTAACAGCATAAACATATACATACTGGCAACTCTGATTTACAGTAGTAGACGATAATTGAGAAAGATTACGTAGTTAGCAAAACATAGATCTGCCGAACATCTACAAAACCCTTCAATATTGTTTTCTGCTTTCTACAGGAATCGCCGACCGTATGCAAAAGGAGATCAGCGCACTCGCTCCACCAACAATGAAGATCAAAATCATCGCCCCACCTGAGCGTAAATATTCTGTCTGGATCGGAGGTTCCATTCTCGCCTCTCTTTCCACTTTCCAACAAATGTGGATCTCCAAACAGGAATACGATGAATCCGGCCCTTCCATTGTCCACAGAAAATGCTTCTAATTTAACAATTATGTGTGCGTTCGCGCTTTTACTAGTCCCCCGTCACCGTCCAGGAGTTAATTTACATAATGCTACATCATTCAGTCTAAGAGTAACTTGTTTGAATACGATTTTTTGTGTTTTTTAGTTATTTTCTAGGTTAGAGTGGTGCAGTATTGTGTCATAGCCATAGGAGATTAAAATAACCCGATTTCTTCAAATTAAAGCATACTATCTTCAGTATATAGATATTTCTTTAGAACATTTTATCGTTATTGTTACTTGATAATGAAATGTACAATTCTATTGTTATGTCACGTTTGTGATATTTCCAATTATTATGCAATCATAATAATCAAAACAATATATCTGGAGAATTAAACACTACATTGTGGCACTTACAAATAACATTCCAATTTCATCATAACCGTTTTTTACTTTCCGTATATTTAAATGGATTCAAATTCGAAGAGAAATAAAAAAGTTATTAACAGAATGTGTCAATGAATATGAAAGCAGTGCCGTTGTGCGCAAATAGCTCACTTTAAGTCTAGTGTATGTAGATAAAGTGGATTTGATGATATGTCGCGGGGGATAAAAGGGGTAGTTCAGGGGTCGGCAACCTACGGCCCGCGAAGTAGTATCACTGAATTATAGTAACAAAACAGCTGTTTTGGCGATTACATTCTATACGTATAATATTTTTATTGTGAGACACATGGAGACTAAATTATATTATAACCTAAGAAGTATATAATTCACAATTACTCGTTTAATGAGCCTAAAATTTAATTATAATTAGACAAAAAGCGGAAAAGTTGATGCTAAGTGCAAAGAGTTCAATGGCACCGAAAATATTAAAATGGAAATATTTGAGATGCAATGCAGCGAGAAAATAAATCTATATTATTTTCGAGAGATGTATCACTGCTTGATTTTTATTATAAAAAGTATCATCCGTTCGGTTTTCTACTTTCTAAAAATATGTGCGGCCCGCCAATGACTTGCAACCCTTAGTTTAGGCCCGCGAGCGACAAAAGATTGCCGAACTAGATATTAAGCTTAATGCAAATAGTTAAAGAAGGCTTCGCCAATATTATACATAAGGTTTTCTAGAATATATGAGATGACACAATTCAGTAAATATGACAATATGCTTCGCAGCTGCCACAGGCAATGGTATGCACTTTGCAGTCCTTCAATATTTCAATTCTTATTATATTTATCCCAGGAGATGAAAGACGATAGTCGATAAGATATCTTATTGATATGATATAACACGCTTCTCGTCCGGTTACCAGTTCATGTCGGGTATGGGATTAGTTAGCCACTAAGTTGTTTCAGATACATGGACTTATTTTATTCTTTTGAAGGGCGCAGTCCCGTTTTAGAAAAGGCATTAATGCTCTTACACTTGGACGCCTTTGATGTTCAGATTAGTTTAAGTTCAAATTGTCCACCCGTCGGCTTAGAATCGGTAAATTCTAAAATCAGCTACCGGTAACCCGTCTAATGTACGGTACTGATGTTGTAATGCATAAACTTATCGATTTTCCGACTCTTTTTCGTTTCGCTGTCCTAATAGTATCGCCTGAACAAATCGTACGGAGATGGGCATAACCAAGATCCAGATGTACGTACTTATAGGCACACCGGTTTAGAATCGGTAAATTCTAAAATCAGTTATCTGTAGCGAGTCTAATGTACGGTAATGCATAAACGTGCTCAATTTTTAGACTCTTTTTGGTATCGTACGGAGATAGATGGGGATTCGTTCAAATAGAATTGTTTTGAAACAATTATTTTAAATCGAGTCTTTTTTTTGCCTGTTTTATTCAAAATGGCTGTACTATTTGATTTTGTATTAAATAGGTTGAAGGAAAATGGATGTAAAAACTCGCCAAGCGCTTCTTATTTGCAATAAATCTTTCAAAACGCCACAAATATCGAAAGAGGCTCATGCACACCTTCTCAAGCTGTAGTTCAGTGGTTGGCGCAGTAAGACGCAACAGATAAGCCATTACATGAACGACCCTGTTGCGATAAAACCACCTTGCGAATTGAAATGCGATCGAATAAATGAGTTTGTATAACCTTGAAAAACTCTATCATTTCAACCTTAAAAACAAAGTATGCTAAGCATAAATTAAGTACAGTATTACCCGTAATAATGCCTTCATTTTATGAGAAAAATGTCAATACATGAACTCGAAATCCATATTATGGCGCCATAACAGATTAGTTGAGGCCTCTTTGCATCAGGGACTCTTACAATTAAAATAGGCTAAGCTAGGGTGTCTCATCGTTTATATTAGTAAATTACCGCCGATATAAACATATTCTTCATTATCGACATCAACTCGTTTTGTCGAAGGGCTGCACTTCATCTAATTGCTTTTGTAGTAGGCTCGTGAGCTAATTTTCACCAATTTTTCTTACTCAAAACGTCTCTCTGATATCTCGGCTAAACATTCCGGAGTAAACCTTATGACTTTGGTGGAGATACAAACGTGGTGATAAATGTACGCAATAGAAGTAAAAGTCAAAATAGAAATTTTTTTTCACATTTTTCAAATTATAATTCCGGCTGCGTGTGAAGCTGCCAGAATTGAACCTTTTTGGCATAGTTTCGCAGCAATGCAAGGGGTATTTCTATAAAAAATACAGAAAAAAAATTGATTTAAAACGAGCCCTTGTTTTAAAACACGATGTTTTATTGATAAAAAAACAAAACACTAGAGATAGACATAAATAAAAAATCCAGACACACGTACTTGTACGATCGCCGGTCCAGAAATCAAGCAATTCTCAAATCAGCTACCGCTAACCAGTCTAATGTACGGTACTATTCTTGTAATCGTGTAATGCAGGGGTGGCAAACACGTCGATCGCCACGTCTCGAGTAGTCGATCGCGTCTGATGTTAAGTCAATTTACTAACATACACCAAAAATTGTCTTGAACCATAGGCATGAAGCGCATGCGTGTGTTTTAAAACAGTAGGAAAACAGTGCTGTACCGTCGATATACAATACACTTACAATATTTGAGTCTGTGCAAGTCCGATAGAGCATATTATTACGTAACATATAAAAGTTTCGCTGCTGCCAAAGTTTAGGAATCAACGTGCGATTATCGTTCGTCTTGACTGACAAACGATCCTACAATAGCTTCCGCAGTAGGCCTACAAAAAAGTTATTGTCTCCCTCCAAGAGCAGTGCGATAAATTTTATTCACAAAGGTAGCAGTGGCATCAGAATACCCGATTTTTTCTAATTCTATGCGCGCAAAGGGTCAGGGGAGGAAATTAGTTTGATTAGGAAAGCTTGATTAGTCATGTAATATTTATTATTTGAAAATAATTATTTTTTGCATTTAGATATTACACGGATACTTAGCAAGGTTTTATAAAAAATTTTCGACAACTTTAAATTAAGCAGGCCTTAGATTGGAATTGAATTATTTGTATAAATTTTAAATAAACGATGAAACCTCACTCTGGGTGCAATTACATAATGAAATTAACAAATTAAATGAAGCATAAAAAATACAAATTTTTGTGGCGATTTCATTAAGAATGCGACGAGCTCATTAACAGCGGTATAATTTTTTATATATGTGCAGTTATCTGCATATACTCAATCGCTTTTCTATGTATGACCTTATTGGACACGTAGTGGACATAACGATCGTTTCAATATTATGTTGTGGTTGTTGTTGTTCTTGTTCTTTGACACGTTTTTGAAAAGTCGCTTTTCTCTTCGAATACTGGACCAATTGCTTTGAAATTTTCAGTGGTTAAAGATAAAAATTTTCTCCAGAAGGCTATTACTTTTTTTTTCGCTATGACGTCATCAAAATTATGTGACTCTACGTGTCCATATATTTGAACATAGCTTTCTTGTTACCGATCAGTTGATCGCGAGCTATTTTGAAGATTTTAGTCGATCGCTTTCAGAAGCAGGTTTGCCACCCCTGGTGTAATGCATGACCTTGGTCAATGTTTCTACCCTCGTTATTTGCATGGTCTATCTCTAGTTAAATGAGAACTGATCCTACTGAAATAGTACTCAGACAACGTCTACTTGCCCGCGCACTTGTTTAGAGATAGGGGTAGTTATAAGAACAACTACCGGCACATCGGTACTAAATCTAATGTATCATTGCACAGACAGGTTTTATAAAATTCGACTACATCCTAATATAGAGTCCAATTTTTGGTGAAATACTGCTATTGTCCAACCACGAATTGATATTTTATTCTTATCAGTTATATATTATATCTTATCCTAATCTAAACTAATATTAGATAAGTTAGGACATGGAGCAATGAGCTATCTTCTAATCAAATTAAGATAAACAGAATTGCAGAAAACTATTCGAAAAATAACTGGCAGTCCAATAACTGAATAACACTCTTTTACCCTATTAAAATTTTTAAAAAGAAGCACCTTGAAATCGCAGACATCAATCTATGGAAGTCCTTCGTCCTAGACTAGATGAATAGTCCTGTCCCTGCTGTCTCCGTAGACTGGTGGATGAGTGAAAACTCATCCTGCGGAATGGTGATCTTTTCTAACGGTGTTTGACTCCAGGAGTGTTCTATTTTGCACCACATTGTAAGACACGAACCAATACTTTTTTCCTCTTGACATATTATCAAAAAAACTACTTTGTAAATCCCAAACATCTATGAATTGAAATTAGATTTTTAGAATAAACATTGTTGCCTACCGGTATCTCGTCTATTACATAAAGACCAATCAGTATAATCTCTCACTGGAGGGTCGCAGTTGACCCCTGATGAATCCTGAGTTTCAATGACGTTGGATCGTCCTAATTCAACTAAAAACACTTTATTATTTTGAAAATTATAAATACTTGAATTCAGCGGCCTACGGAAGAATAGAGCTTAATGCCGTGACCGGTGTGACACAGCAAATTTACGTTACCAGATTTTGAATAGCGACAACTTGTATTAGTTTGCATCTAACAACCAAAATATCGTTTTAAGATTCACGAAGTTTCTTTCGTAAGCATGATGATTATTCGATATCTGGTATTTTTCCCAGAAGACTTGTTTTAAATTGAGTCTTGCCATTAAAGCCAGGTATGCTTCCGTTACTAGAACCCATGCTGAAAATATTATTTTATATCAATAATATTATTTAAATCATCCGAGAAATGTACCATTCAAAAGAGCAGATTACACAAACAAATTCTATCCACATATGCAGAGTTAATAGTCATATTTGAATCCATTTTGTAACTTAGCTAAAACCCAATAATATTCTGTAAAAGATTCAGTCAACCCCCCAACTAGTAGCTTATTTATACATTGTTTATATACATTAACTGTGAATCCTAATAATGAATTTGGGGGGAGCTGACTCTGATGACCTTATGGTCGCATCTCTCCCTCCAGTCTATACCGAATTAACTTGTATATTTTGTATATATTTTATTGTATCATTTCTTGTTTTTTGGTTGATGAAACAATAAATCTCTCTCTTTCAAGGAGACTCTCACAGTCTGGTATCAATAATTGTATGTTAGAACTTTTGTGTTACGTCATAATCACCACACAATTTACTAATATGGTATCTAAATTTCGTAAACTTATGCTGTAGCCAATACGGATCTTTTGTACAAGACCCCCGCCAACGCTCGAAAAGGAAAATTAGTAATAATCCAGTCAAGGTTAGGATTGCACTGGAAATTCAATCTTTCAAACCATTCCTAACCCTAAACCTACCTGAATAATCATTAATTTTTTATTGCAAAACGTGGCGGGGTTATGTTATTCAAATATTTATTTATATTAGTGTCGTGGGCTTGTGCAAAAAGTCCGCCAATACAGAATACATGGTATGTCAACGGTATGTCATTGATTTACAAGAGTCTTGGGTAACAGCGTCTAGTAGTTTAGGTATGTGACGGTGCTAGTTTTTGTTTTCTTTGAAGCGGAATCATAGCCGTGGTTTCGATTAAAATATTTTTACCCCGCATCGGAGTGTGGGCCACTCTTACGTTTTTTCAAGAACTATTTTTTTTTTATTCTTAAACGATTCACTGAAAAGTGACTTTTCCTGGTTTCCTCCGAAGGTAGTTTTTTCAAATGCCACATCTTTGCATTTAGTGGTTGAAGCTTTCCACAAAAGATTCTATATTTCTGCTGCGTAATGAAGTTCTTTACTTGTGTCATTGTACTGTCGAACATACTCTATGACTCTGCGGCTCACGAATTCTTCTAAAGATTTTACTGATTTGGCGAATACACTCAAATAAAAGAACGATACAGCTTCGAATCTCATCCTAAATCAGGGGGTCGCAACCACGCAGAATCCATTGTTAACAGGCTCTACATAATATTACTTTTTTATCGAATATCTCATTTTGAAATCTATTCTTCGGAACCTGCGCCTCTAAGTAAAATGAACAACGGAACGTAGCACGTGTACCAGTTAGGGTTAAGCCATAATTTCAGGTACAAATACTATGGGAGTCTCTTGACTAGTCCCGAACTCGTAATAGAACTAAAATAAGGACAATTGGAATAAAATTATGGCCTAACCCTAACCTGGTACACGTGCTACGTTTTGGTGCCCACCATCTTGGCTCACATACTTCGGGAACATCAAAAAACTGGTACCATATTCTCCCACTGACAAATATCCTGGTCACCACAGCCATCAATAGTAAAACACGAAATATACTTCTTTTATTTATTTACAAAAATGGTCCAATATGTTACAATCAATTTTGATTCGTTGTCATCGACCTCAGAAAACGACGACGTTTGAGCTGCAACCGTACATGATGCGGCAGATTACACACAGCATGTATTGTCCTGGAAGTAAAAAATTGTAGATTAGCATTGGGTAAGAGGATATAGTGACCAGGTAAAAACACGGGGATACGGTGACTAGAAACTATTATATGTCCTTGCTGTTTAGCTGTCATTTAGAACAGTGATTCCCAAAGTGGGCGATATCGCCCCCCGGTGGGCGAAAACGATACAGAGGAGGGCGAAAAAGTCGCAGAGGGGGCGATTTCGCGAAACCTGGTTTTGTTCGGCGCATCGTGCACTTGATTACCGTACTCTGCGTGCTTTCGTAGGTTTGAATCACGTGGGCGATTATCACACGCAAAAGAATTGCTGGACTCGTCTTCGCAGTAAGGCACGGTAGTTGCGTATCCCAGTGGTCAAGAAAATACGGCCGGAGTAAAATAATCTACCCGGACGCTTCACTGAATAGACCTTTCCCCGACCTTTGACCGCGGGAAATTCTCCTTATACTTCACCATTTTAAAATTTTCGGTGCTTATTTTAAGAGTGGTTTCGCGAGTTGTCGCCTGTAAAATGGGTATTTCAAACTATCATTCTAATTCATACCATTCACCAATCTGTTTTTTGAAATTACCGGTAAAAATTTTTAGCCTAGTCTATCACAGCTATTTCTACTCTAATTTTTGATTACGACAATCAAACTGAAATTCATAGGAAGACAAAGTGATCAATAAATTATTTGATTATTAGGTAATGTTTTGAAACACAATTAAAAACAAACGAATATAATTTGAAAACCGAGAAATTGAGGTAATGTTTACTTTACGACCACGCCTGAAAATCAGTCAGAGCGAGAAAAGCGTCTGAGCGGATGTGAAAAGGGACATTGTAACGTTTATTTTTGCATCTTGCTGATTGGCCAATGTCACGAAGTAAACAAGGAAGTATATGCCTGGGGAATCATCCAATATACAGAAAAAACGGCGTTTTTTAGATGAAATAATCTTGTTTTTAGAACTAATTGACACTTACTCTTATCATTACGGTTTCCACAATTCACGATTCTCTCTCCTCTGGCATTGTGAGCGCATGTTCTGTAGCAATTTATCTTGTGGCTTGGAGCTCTACCTAGGCCGGGTTCGAAAACATTGACTCCTTCTACATCCATGTAATAATGCGCAACTTCTGCTGTTGAATAAGGGCAACGTTCATCTTCCTATAAAAACAATGTCAAAAGAATTATAGTTGAAAGAATTGATACAGAAAAATCCTTTCACAAGAAACAACAGCATTTATGCTCCAAGATAGAAAAGTAATTTCTAAATAAAAACTTTGAAGCAGTTGCTTTCTATCTTTGGCTACTGAAATTGTGAAATCAATGGGTGGGTAGTTGAGAAAAGACAAACCAACAATAACAGCGCAAGTAACAATAACCAAAGCAAATCACTTTTAAAGAAATATCACGTACCGTGTATTCATCAAAATCGTAGGAACATTTTTTTAATAAATTCTTCTTCGGCTGGCATTGAATCATACCCTCCCAGTGACCGTTTTCACAGGTTAAATTTTTGCTGAAAACAAGAAAATAATCTATTCAATATTTTCTCTCAAATGTTCTATTCACACTCCAGTGACGTCATATTTGATGACGTAATTTTCGTTTATTTTTAATCGGGTTCGGCTTTCGCTTTGGAAGTATGTACCTTATGTGAGGTCGCGTAAGATTACAGAACCACTAGTTGCACCACTGTACAAGCTGTTGAGCGAGCTATGTCATTATATATGTTTTTTTAAATACGGATTTAGATATTTTATTTACGGGGGCCATGAAATATTGTACCGACACAAGTAATAAAAAAAAGGTAACAATAATATCAATTGAAATAAAGAGACTACCAGAGTCGGCATATAACGTCAAACAAACGTCAAATAGAATCAACTAAATATTTTTCAACAAAATAGAGAGTACAACCAAATCGAGAGAGTCAGGAGATTAGTGATTAGATAAGTTAGTTGATCTTAGATAGTTAGTTATATTAGTTAGTTTAGCAAACAGAAGGGGAATTCCCAGCAACTGACAAAGGAAAAATATATTTGGAGGTTTGGTCAACAATCTGTTCTCATTCAAGCCTCTTACTCCAAACAAGCCGCCACATTATCTAACGATATGTAACGGGCTACTAGTATGTGGAGGGACCGAAATCTTCTCGGTCCGCAATGCCTACCTAATTTATTGCACCCGTGGGGCATGGAATTTGAACCCGATATGTTTAACCTACAATGCCAACACAGCTAACGGCCGTCGTTCCGCATGTTCACATCAGCGTACAAAGCCAGGTCTCTCTCGATATAGACAAGCAAAGACCAACTATAGCACGACAACGTAACATCAGATATGAGAATTCAACTTCCAGATATCAATCCAAACAGGGTCTTTGAACTCCAGAGAGCTAATGCAATCCCCAAAAATAAGCACTAGTGGTATTCTTTGAAAGAAAATTGAAATAAGACCCTGTCTTATATTCGGGGAAACACGGTACTGCATACCTGTACTGCTGATAGATGTCAGAGCATTGAAGCGTGACGTCACATTGTGAAGCAACAGGGCTTAAATCATCCGAATCGCACTCAACTCTCAATTCATTGCTGTAGGTGTTATGAATATCCTCCTTGTGGCAAGACGTAGGCGAGCTGTCCGAAAAACCTGTTAAGAAGAAATAATAGTGTATCTAAGTATATGTCCACAGTAGGGCACAAACTTGCAGTAGTCTTTCTACTTTTAGTGTTGAGGGAACCGGGCTTTGAGCAAACTTGCAGCTTGAAAGCTTTGGGCCATTCTCAGATGAAGCTTGTTTTTGGTGCATCCGGGGCATTTCCAATTATACCGTCAGTAATCTTTTTTCACTTTTAGTTGAGGGCTCGTGACCTTACTTTAAGCAAAGTTCTGCAAAGAAAATAGGCTTACTAACTTGTGTAATGAGCAACAACTGTTCCTGCTCCCTTCTTTATAATGATCAGCTTCCTGGTCTGCGTTTCCATGACGATAGGAAGAATTGCTTTTGTTGGCGATCCATTCCTGAAATAGAGTTGCTGTATAATAACTTCCTTTCAAGTGTAATTCGCAAAGCCGCTCATACGTGTAGTTGGGATCGGAATAACACAGGCAGATTATCTAGATATCAGTAATTTATTTTTCCACCAATGCTGAAAATGTGTAACGTACAAATATGATGTGGATCAGAATAAGGGTGGAGGGAGATGTGAACAAAATCAACACTGGTTATTGAGCAGCGACGCCATAGATGAGGTCTAACACAGCTTGAAAAAAAATAGGAAGGTTAAAATAGATAGCGGCAATTTGAATGTAGCAAACCTGTTACTCGGATCTAGTGTTTTCTAATGTATCCTTACCCGTTGGTAGGGTCCAAGAGGTTCGCGCTTACACGTTCTTGTATTTGTTTTATGTCAGTTGACTACAGTGAAAGCAAAACTTGCACAGCTGCCGATGACTTTCGTCATATTAGTCGTTTCGGAACTTATGTATTAGATTCATGTAAAGCGTGCTATGGTAATGTAGTAATGCAGCTTACTCAGCGCCATACATGCGTTTTTTGAATTGTTAGTGAGTTCGATACAAAATATGGAATCCAATCCCTGCCTTTATCGATTAATTCTCATCGGCTTTAGGTCGCTTCAAAATTAACACTGAGCTTTGATTTATTGGACTCGAAGTGGGCCTATGGATCGTTTTTTATTTTGTTGTTGTTGTTCGAAATTTTCAGTGGTTAACAGTTGTTGTCGCTAAAAAGGTTTTACTTTCATAAATTTCAAAAAATTTTGTGTGCTCTATGAGATTCGTTTTTTTTGTGCTATGACGTCAACAAATTGAAAAATTGCGCTCCTTGTGGCGGTTCTGCATTCGCATCAGTGATCTCGTGGTCTGACGAAATCGTAAACACTGGGCATGGGAAGCTACTATGACAGACTGTATACCCGTGCTATTTCGTGTCGCTAAATTTGAGCTTTACTCTATTATATTATTCTTACCTGTTCTGCCTGTAGATGTACCACCCAAACTTCTTGTATAAGCGTTCTTCTCCAGATTTGCCGTCTCTTAGCTGAAAGATTTTGAAAAAATTTAAATTATCTGGAACATTAAAGTTGATATATTCCAGAACAGTGATTCTCAAACTAGGGTTTGAGAGCCGCATGCGGCTCTCAACAACCTTTCCTGCGGCTCTCGTTAATGCTTTAAAATTTAATTCTTTTCAGAGAAAATTTTTCATTGAAAACTAATCATTGACTCGAAAGTAAAATGCTGCTGAAGTCTATTAGTTAGTCGAATGAATTTCCCCGTGTTTATTTGCGTAGCGTTGACTAACCTACAAGATGCAATAGTGACGCAACAGTAAGCGTTTCTCGGACACTCGTACACTTTTCACTTGGCAAGATTTTAGACATGGCTGTAATCATTGGCTTGCTTCCGTGGATTTTCAGTGTTTGTCGCATTCCCGGATATTATTTATAAATCAAATAACTCAATGAATATTTTAATCCTAGAGCATTTTAATTTTGTTCCAGTGATCGAAAATAGTCCCGAAATATCTGGCGATCATCTCAAGCAGTTACTGCACTTTGCATCCTCCACGATTACGACCCGCTTTGACAAACTTATTAGAAATCAATGCAAAATTAAATGGCTGTTAGTCTAGGGTGGGCAAAATCTAATCTTTTTTGAAATCGAATAACTTGAATTTTTTATAAACATATCAGGGATCCAGAACGTCGGAGTTCGATACACCATTTAGAAATTGATAGAAACATTGAAAAGTCGGCAAAAAAGCGTTTTTTTATGGTTAATGGTTAATTTCATCATAATCGCTGTTGTCTTTGTCACCGCGATCGTTTTGGCGGCGATATCCTAAAGTTTGTATTCTATATTCCCGCCCTTTCTCGTTTTTTGCAAGAATAAGCGGTCGCCGAATATCGAAGTTTCATATTTCTAGTATACCCTTGCGTTCACATCAGCGACAGCTGTTGAATACATTAAGGGATGATTTTAAAACCAAATTAATTTTATTCTGAGTTTTATTCCCTGTCTTGGATTTGATCTTCCTTATCAACGCTTGTAAATTAACCGTGCCTGTTTAAAGTGAACGGTAACCGAGATGCAGATATTTATTAAAACGATACTTGAGTTTCTCGTGCTTTCCTATGGTGTTCGTGTTATTTTAGTATTAGATAGATAAACCTAGCAAATTTACGATTGCGTGAATCCTGAATGTTGATTTAAAAAAGCGATTAAATAAATTGGCAATAAAGGCATTCCTAGGCCTTTGTGCCTAATCGAGGGTCAGACGCTAATTATACCTAATTCTCTAAAGTTTTAAGGTTTTTTTTTCAACAAAACAACACCCCGATGGTTATTATAGCTAAAATACTTACTGAGTAATGCTCAATTTTCTTTACGGAATTTGCAAATTCACCACTTCACTTAATGATTTTGATTATGTCATGCTATAAGACTTAATTAGTACTGCCCAATTGCTTCGAAATTTACCAATTGTAATCATTTTCGATGATAATAGACGCAACAATTCGTGAACGAGTCAGTGTGCATTGTCACAACGAAATTCACGATTAATTTTACGTTTTACTCTTGGCTCAGCGGCCATGTATGGTCGAGTACAATGTTACATATTCGAAACATCACTTGGCCAAAGATGGAAGGTGATCACTAAAAAGCTAATACAAAGTGCTTTAAAGGGAGTAGGCCATTTTTCATACAAGTAACTCATACCAGCTTTTGGAAAAACTTCTGGTCATTTTTAAATCCATGCTATTTACATAACTATTGTTTTCTAACGATCTAAAATTGCCTTTTTCACAATGAAACACCGTAAAGTCATTTTAACATTTAATTTCAATCAACTTTATGATCGGTAATGCAAAAAGGCTAATGATATGTCACCAAGCATGCGGTGTTTAAAATCTGGGAAATTTATTTTAAATACCTAATCTGATTTGACGTTTCTATATTTACGGAACGGTCGAAACGTTTTTTGGCAAAATAATGTATTGAAACGATACGTTAAGTGCGAAGATAAGCATATAACACCATAACGCAAAAACAACGACTTTTCAAATTTGTTTTTTTTTTCTGATAGCGAGCGGCGTAGGGAAAATTCGCACAATTCACGATTGAGTTGGAGACGCGCGAGTTCGGTGTCCAAGCAGAGCGGCGCAGGTCACGTGGTACCGGATATTCGAATAGTAAAATGGCATTCGAATATTTTGCCCAGCTCCAGTTGTTAGGTGTGTTATTGTTACGAGGACTTGATATTTTAAATACGCGCTTAAGGTTTGTTGTTATTTTACCTTGCGTTGCTTGTGTGCGGCTCTTCACAGCTTTGAGGTTTGAAATGCGGCTCTGAGACTAAAAAAGTTTGAGAACCACTGTTCTAGAACCTCTCCTTTTCTCATATAAAACCTATTTTCAGCTTCTACACCAAATCTACTTTTTTTTTAGCTTCAATCGAAGGAATAAAGAGATTTTTGTGCTCAGTCAAAAGAAGATTACTATTTAGAAAAATAGTTTTAATTACTAAATTTAATTCAACATGACAAACCGACCTTTTCGAATTTCGAATACCCACGATGGTACTTATATTTCCTAACTCAGTTCTGCGTTTAAAAAATAATAGGGGTGTGTTTTAAGTATTTAGAAAAATTGAATTCACTACAAATTCCGTCGTTTTACCATTGCCCTGAACAATATATATTTAAGATTCATTGGAACCTATCATGGTGTGGATTCATTTCTAATAGAGCAGAAGCGGGAATTGTATTGGACAGCCAGTTGTATTATGCAATTGTACTAACTTTTTTTTCCTGAATTTCCGAGGTGAAGTTTGAGTCAAAACTTATTTATATGACATTCTATGTCGGAGTCGTGTTTTAAATATCTCAAGAGTTGTTGTCAAAGTCTATGCTTCGAAACAGGTAGTCGCGCCGTCATTAACATGCGCTTTCAAACTGATGTCATTCCAGCACTTCGGACACGCGGATTTACGGTTGAAATACTCACCTTCAGAGAAGCTCCTGATCCAAGTGTCACGTCCGTGAGTGAAACAATGATTTTCATTCCTTTTTCCATTATTATCTTGTTCGTTTCTGAGTTTGCCGTAATATCTATGTCACCGGTGGCTGCTTTGTACACTTAAAAATAAAAATTCGTATAATATCACCACCAATACTAGGGGACGACAAATTGGGGTCACCGAAGTGTTTCATTTCTGCTGAAATTACGAACATAGTTTTTATGGATATCAATTTCCGTTGAGAATATCGATGAGCAAACGTCATAATAAACCCGATTGTTACATTGTGTTTCTTATCATTATATAAACGTTAGTCTAGCTGTTGGGAATAAACCGTTTTTATTCATACTTTTATATATTGAGTTTGATTCTCTGGCCCAGTAACCAAGTCTCTTATATGTAATGGACCCACTCAGAAAAGTAATTGCTCACCCCTGGCCAATACTCTCCCGACAGATTTGCGCGAGGCAAGATTAAACAGACACCTCAAAAGTACATAAGACTGATCTCTGGGCAGAGTTGACAGGAGATAATACCGATTAATGATATTTTTTAACCGATACCGATATTTTTTAATTTTTTTTTAACCGACCAATCGTTGAAGCCGATCTTTCAAATTTTCCCCAAATCCGCCGCCCTGTATCACATACTAGGTTGGGCGGTCTATCAGGATGCCAAAGGAAAATGTACGGACACACATACATCAAAATTAACAATTATGAAACTTAGTCTAGGTGTCAAACAAAGCGGCGTGGTTAACCGGTTATTCCCTAATATTTCAACCACTATTCTGTATTTGAACTTGAATAATAATGACACTCACCTTCGGCTTGGCAGTTGAAAACGCTAAGTATAATAAATAAAGCAATAATCTTCCAGTGACAAGCCATTTTATTTATTATTTTTCACTGAGAAAATAAACAGAATAAAAAATAAAGATCAAAATTGTGTCGTCCAAGTAAATGTGAGCAATGCGATCAGGAAAACAACGCGAAGCAAATTTCGAACGCACTCGTCTTTACCGATCATAACTAAATGTAAGACTAATCGTTCAGCTGGTTTATACATCAGGTATCGACGATTTCCGGCAATTGAAACTCAGGGAAATTTCCATAAGTTAGCAAGTCGTATCGGGTGACGTCATTTTCTGACGCAATTAGAACGTCTTCAAAGTTTCGAGTCGGTTTTGGAAAATTTATTGCACACATATGTAATTTTATATTAATCTAATTTGCAAATTCATCGCAGATTCGCGCTTAATATTTTCAAATTGTCATTTAGCATTTACACCCAAGCGTCATCGACATGTAAGCTACCGTATTTGGAAATAACTGGAAATTTTTCGATTTGCCATTGACTGCACGAGAAAACTCCCTGTTCTTCCTAGTTCTATTGCTTGATAAGATTATTTTGGAGGATGTTTTCACTTGTTGAGCTTGAATTGTTTGAACATAATGGTATTTGGAATCTACCAATCAAAATAACACTATAAATATCAATTGAATGATAGACAAGGGGCCTTCGTAAGGGCACCACGAGCTATAAAAGGTTAAGAACCACTGGCCTAGAGTATTGCTGCACCCTGGATGAAAACCGATTGGTCAGATCCAGCCTACGTATCTACATTTTAATTTACATGCCACTCATTTCATTCAACGCAAATCTCATTTGTTTATTCACGAAGCATAGAAAGCCCAAGTGCAATTGCGAACTGTGTTGCTAGTAATCACTGCTCCTGTTGCCATTGAAACAGCCTTTTTGATGAGTTTAATTTCTCAAATAAAGAGCACTAACACGACTTGATAAATCATTTCTTTCATTCACTTTTATCCATGCTCAGACACCAACAAGCATAGAAATATGTAAAAATGCAGGAATAGGGAATGGGGTATGCATGGCACAAACTTAACAGAAAACAACAGAATTAAATTTAAAGCTTTTTAAACTGCCAGAAGTATTTCCGCAATCGTATGACGAACCGGAAAATTTCAAAGTAAACAGAAAACATTCATTCAAAACTTAAACGTATGTTCAGAGTGCACTTCTATAAATAATCAGTCAAATCTAATATCAGTTCACAGCTTTTTTGATATAATTCGAATTGCCACGCTTACTCGTTCAAAAGTAAAGAAGATTCATCTCTGATCAAAGTTACAACTGGAATGCCAATAATGACTGAAACTATAGATATATTTATTTTGGTGAATAACGCGTCAATAAAACGCCATTTAAGATAGGATTATATATTTATCCGGGGGAAGACGTCTATCGTTCGGTCACCAATCCATGTCGGTTATAGAATAGTCAGCCTGTCATTTATTTCGGATGCATGGACTTCATGGTGGAGGAAGCATTTGGCGCAAGATATGAAGCATTTTAAGTCTATACGGTTACAAAGTAATTATTTGAACTGCACAACTGAAGTTCTAGAAAACACTTCGGTATCACACATTACTAGAAACAACTCCTATCGCTTTTATTCGACGCAATCGTAATTTTTGAGAGGTTGAATTTTTACAAAGTAATAAAGTAAAAGGTAATGTTTAGATCTAAAACGTCATACAAAATTAAAAACATGAGATTGAATGTGATGAATACATGACATCCTCCTAACAGTGAATCAGCTGCTGAAACCGCAAAATTTGAGCTTCTTTTTCAAATGGAACCTTCGTTTCCTTAAGCACGAATTGAATAACCGTCAAATTATAGTTATAGATCCGATGATTCAGAACCTGATAAAAGTTTTTTTTTTTTTTGAAATTCTCAATAATAAACTCTTCTATACTGAGCTGTTTTACCTAAGCACAATTTCAATTTTAACTCCGGTATTCTGATTCATAAATCTGTTTTTTGTTTATTTATTCTTTTATCTCGAACACAATTTCAAATCCCAACTTTATATAATCACCAACTATCGGTGACACCCTTTAAAAATTGATGAAATAAGTTCGAATATTCTAAGTCGATGCAATAGGTTAGAATATTCTAATTCGCTGCAGTAGGTTCGAATATTCTCATTGGAGTTTTATCAACTATTTTACCTCAAACACAGATTCAAATTTGGATTCAAATTTTTTAATTGCTAAATATAGAATATCATATTTGATAGATCGTAATTCGATAATATTTTTGAAATTGTTCATTCACTCTTCAATATGAAACACAATTTCGATTTTGAATTTTTTTCATTGTTGCTTCCATCTCTTGAATACCAAGTTCGCTTTCTTTGCCGCCTTTCTTCCGATTTTAGGTTTCACTTTGAGTTTGATGTGTATTTCCCTGGTTTTATATCTTCCTATAATGAATAGAATGGACGCCATCTTGTTTTTTAATCCTGAACATTCTGCCTTTGTTTCCTCCGAAGATTTTGTACAATGTGTGATCCTTCAATGTCCGGATAGCTGGATAAGTTGGATCAATTGTTCACGTTGGTTCAGGTTTTGTAGGCTGAGATGCATAATGATTGGAACTGATGTATTAACTGGTGGACGGTTCTCATCATCCCCGCTTATCATTTCCATTTGTGCTGACTCAGTGGAATTAAGTGGATCGCAGTCGTAGCATTGCCCGGTTGGTTGCTGGAATCCACTGATAACTTTTATGCATTGACTGAAAAACGAAGAATTGTGTCAAGTACGGAGAATGAGATTTGTTTTCGGTGCATGGGATATCACGCTTCTAAACTTTGTTGATGAAATAAACTCTAAGAGAGGTGATGCGAACTCACTCAAAAGTAAAGGAGACTCGACTCTGAGCAAAGTTACGGGCGACCAATGAAATGCCAGGAGCTACTGAAACTGCGGTAAATAAAATTGTGGTGATGCATTACTCCCTTAAAACGAAAAAAAAACTCATTTCTGAGAAAAGTTACAGACTCTCACTCAGAACTAACGGGGACTCATCTCTGAGTAAAGTTACGGGCACTCACTCAGATTTAACGGGGACTCATCTCTGAGTAAAGTTACAGTGCAATGAAAATATGATGGTGCAATGTGCGTTAATAAATGCTGGTTAATACAAAACTAGAAGCAGTTCAAGACAATACGATTAGAAAACAGTTATGATCTGACTTTATATTTGTAGTATTGGGCAGAAGTGCTTAAATAAAGAGGCAAGTATGGGCAATCCACCCACCTTCCACCAAGACCGAAGTATCCTCTTGGGCATCCACATTTGAATCCACCATATGAGTTCTGACATTGATAAGCGCAAGGATTGTTCTGGAATCTACATTCATTGATGTCTCCGCATTCTCTACCTCCCATCATGGCAAAGCCCCTGAATGTAAGTGTGTAGGTTATCTAACTGGGGTAGAAGGTAGTCATGGTTTTCAATCAATAAGAATCACAATCTGCGATCTTTTGGGCATTCGACAAATACATTATAATAAGAATAGCATAATCTCTTGCCACTTACTTCTTAACACAAAACAATACATAACTTAATCATACAGACTTGATTTTGACATAAGTAAAACCACATATCCTTTATCTAATTTTAATAAAAATCACAAGTGTGTGTTTGACTGCTGCATTGATTGCATGTGACATCAGAATAATTCGGAGAACATCACATTATGATACTGATAAAATCACATAAAATGTGATGACTTTGGCAATATATACCGCATAAAGATATCTGACTTTATCTTTGATATTAATCCATACACATGAACATATGAAACGTCGTATGTGACCTAAAAAAAGCACATAGAAATACATTTACCTATCGTTTGACCTTGGTTAAAATCTAATAAACATTTAAGACCTTGCATGTTAACACATACAGTACAGCACACAATATAGTACTTTTGTGTGACATTGAAAAGATCACATAACACATAAAAGACATTGCATATCTCTTGATCAGACACATGCACCTAATGTGGGACCCTAATCAAAATCACATAAGACATTAAATGTGGTATTGAACAAGACACATGTAATTTATATGTGATCTTAAGCAGAGTCATATGAAAAATACACAACTCTAATTCTACATCCATTCGGATTTGACAATACTTTACACAATATCTATCTACCTTCCGCATCCATCCCCAGTGCATCCGTATTGTATTGCCCTTCAGTAGTAGGAACACATCGATCACCAGTTTTGCAAGGGTTTGCTCTGCAGTCGTTGATGTCTATGTATAAAGAATCAGCTATAGTATAAATATTGCCATTATGATCTGGCAACATTTCCCAACACATTTCGGAAGCATTTCCGAGAGCACAGTATGAACGTATGACATTTTATAAGATTTTGTTTTCTAGATCACCCTGTATTTTCAAATTCGACATGGCATGGCGACGGGGCACGAAGATGTGGTTGCTCATTCTAACAACACAGCAATGAAATGAATATGCGGTTTCAAGTGATAATATGTGTATGATTATGTTGGTAAGCCAATAATTACCTGTTGTCTCAGGTTTTCCGCCTGTACTTCCGGTTTTGCCAAGCGGGCAAAGTTTATCAAATTCTGTAGTTCCTACTAGCGGGCATCCTTCACATGGGTTAGAGTCATGACGCCAGCTTTGTCCCACGGTGCAGCAACAATCAGGCTTTCGCATAACGGCACTGAAAGTTGGATTGCTACATTCGTATGAGCCCTCTTCGAAATTGTGAAAGCAAGTTCCAACACGAAGATCTGAAAATAAAAGTATGCAAGTTCTTGACTTGCAGATTTGCTGGGTTTGTCTGAGAAACCATTGTGGCTTAGACATTCCCATCGTTACTCCTCACCCAGGTTTCGGAAAAAGAGAAAAATGCTAAAGCATATGGCCCAAGTTGGTCAACTGCCTGATTTTGTTAAATAAACTTCCATCTAGAAATGTTCTTACCCTTGACAAGCAGTACCCTGTCTTATCCAATGTAAGATGTTCTGGGCAGACAGGATCAAAATGGCCGTGAGAAACCTGAGATTTCAAAGCAGGTATCAGTAGCAACATCGTACGTGAATCCTTCCGGGCAGCTCAGTTCTGCGAATAAAATGAAGTATAGGATTGTGGGACCTCCTGAAGTATACGCACTAAGATGGCGTACAACCTGAATTCAGGTTGTGTACCAGGTTAGGGTTCAGGTTATGCGACATCTTGGTGCGCATACTTCAGGAGTACCGGATTGTGGATGAATTATAGGATTTTCATATTTACCACAGGAAGGAGTCCGGTGAGACGGCCTGATCATATGACAAATCCCAGTAACAAATTCATTCAATACAACATGTAACAAATCCATATAAGGCAGGGTTTCCCCAAACTGGTGTCCGCGGACCCCTTTTGCTGTCATTACTGACTGCTCCCATGTGGTACATAGGAAAAATCTATTCGTTGGTAGGTGGCGAAAATGCTGCCTTACACATGTAAATCATTTCTAAACTGGCGTCCGTCCCAAGGTTTGTAATGACTGTACTAGGGGGTCTGCAACAATATGGAAAGGGTCTGATTGATCTTTATTGATTGATTCGAAGCCATTGCATTTATTTGGTTTAGCGTTGCAAACAAATATCCATTGCTGTCAGAAAAGACAGTCAAAATTGTATTGCCTTTTGCAACAACCTACATGTGTGAGGCAGCATTTTCAGCACTTACAATGATGATGACAAAATACAGGTCAATACTTGCTGTAGAGTCAGACCTGATGTAGGTTATGGGAATAGTTCATATTTCAGATGCATGGAGTTGAGGGTGGGGCATGTAACTATTTTCACAGAGCTTCCATGAAGAATAGTTCTTACTTATGGCTTGACCAGGGCTTTGGAGCCGAAGGAAACTCATAACCGACTCTCGACTTCGAGCAGCGAATTCAGGGTGGTATCAAACTCCTATTCCAGCTCTGAACTCTATAAAAATTCAATCCACAATCTCGACTCAATGAAGTTTGACTACACGGCTTTTTCTCATCGTTGTAGTGCTGTCTCTGTTCGACTTGTAACGAGTATTTTTGCACACTTTGCATCATGATTATGACATCATCAATTACGTATGTGTCATCTCAATTAACTTATACATTTTATTTCAGTATAAGAATTTTCTTAATTACAGTATTTTATTTCTCACGCATTATAACTATGACTTCATCGATTACGTATACGTCATCTCAATGAACTTACCAACCACAATGCATGGGCTGCAGCTTTCGTTTCCCCAGGCGGCACCACCGAAGGAGTTACAACAATCCTCGCCTGTTGTTATTCTGAAGCTATCTGAGCAAGTATCGTTCTCGTATGATTTCCAACATTTTTGCAGCAGGGCTAAAATATAATTGAAATGTTATCGTCAGTGATATGACTATCCCTCAGAAAAGCCCTCCTTTGCCTGTTTCAGAATATAGGGTATTTAACTTGGGTAATGTAGTAACCACTCATTTTCGTTTGAACGGATTCGAATAATGTTTGATTTAATACCCACGCCCTATTCCAACAAAACGTCCTGTATTACGGAAACTTCTGAGTTAAAATCATGAACAAACGAAAGTTCAAGTGTAAATAAACAAACTTTGCCATATTCATAAAAGTGATCAATAGTTTTATAGATTCTGTTAACAAGTGTCCTCATTAACATTCTGTCCAAATGGGATAACTCTGTTCTAATCCTATTTCTTTAACTGACCAATGAGAGCACAGTATGATTGTATGCATTGTGGGTAACCCACTGGAGATTCTGTTTTCTAGATCACCCTGTATTTTCAAATCCGACATGGCATGGTAACGGGGCACAAAGACGTGGTTGCTCATTCTAACAACACAGCAATGAAATGAATAAGCGGTTTCAAGTGATAATAGATGTATGATTATGTTGGTAAGCCAATAATTACCTGTTGTTTCAGGTTTTCCGTCTGTACTTCCGGTTTTGCCAAGCGGGCAAAGTTTATCGAATTCTGCAGTTCCTACTAGCGGGCATCCTTCACATGGGTTGAAGTCAGGACGCCAGCCTTGTCCCACGGTGCAGCAACAATCAGACTTTCGCATAACGGCACCGAAAGTTGGGTTGCTACATTCGTTTGTGCTCTCTTCGAAATTGTGAAAGCAAGTTCCAACACGAAGATCTGAAAATAAAAGTATACAAGTTTTTGACTTGCCGATTTGCTGGGTTTGTCTGAGAAACCATTGTGGCTTAGACATTCCCATCGTTACACCTCACCCAAGTTTCGGAAAAAGAGAAAAATGCTCAAGCATATGGCCCAAGTTGGTCAACTGCCTGATTTTGTTAAATAAACTTCCATCTAAAAATGTACTTATCTTGACAAACAGTCCCTGTCTTATCCAATGTAAGATGTTCTGGGCAGACAGGATCAAAACGGCCGTGAGAAACTGAGATTTCAAAGCAGGTATCGGTAGCAACATCGTACGTGAATCCTTCCGGGCAGCTCAGTTCTGCGAATAAAATGAAGTATGGGATTGTGGGACCTCCTGAAGTATGCGCACTAAGATGGCGCACAACCGGAACTCAGGTTGTGTACCAGGTTAGGGTTCAGATTATGCGACATCTCGATGCGTATACTTCAGGAGTAACGGATTGTGGGTGAATTATAGGATTTTCATATTTACCACAGGAAGGAGTCCGATGAGACGGCCTAATCATATGACAAATCCCAAATCTCCCCGTGCTGTCATTACTGACTGCTCTCTTGTGGTACATAGGAAAAATCTATTCGTTGGTTGGTGGTGACAATGCTGCTTCACACATGTACGGTAGATCATTTTCCAAACTGGCGTCCGTCCCAAGGTTCGTAATGACTGCACTAGGGCAGGGGAGGGCAACCCCTGGCATGCGTGCCAGACTTGGCACGCGAGCCCATTTATTCGGCACGCGAGCGAGGCCTCGGAAACGAGATCATTCTCTTTTAGATAAAATGTTTTAAGACTATGAATTATCTGATGAAAATAGGTGTTCGTTTGTGCATTATCGAATGTTAACAATCCGGTATTTATTTAAACCCTTTTTGTTCTTTCATGACATATGGCTACAAAGAATAAATTATGACGTAACAAATAAGTGAGCTCTCGCGAAACTTTGTCGTGAAAAGCTCAGCACTCATTTGGCTACACTCTTACATAATATAGATCGTCTGTGCCACCCTTTTTCGTCATTTCTACTTGAATTAAAAGTTGTACAGCAAACGTTGATTATAGTAACTTGCTAACATACTGTTACAAAATGATTTCGAAAGAGATATAAGCGATTAGGGAAGGTAACAAGAGAGAAGAGCACAAAACGAACTATTGCTTGCGTGATTGGGATGCCATTCCCGAAAATTTTCCGTGTCTCAAAAACTTTGCAACTGCATTACTCTACAATTCTACATATTTTCATCTACATATGCTTGTGAATCTCTGTTCTCGGTTATGAACTTCATAAGTCTCGTAAAAGGAGTAACCTGTAAGATGAAACCAGTGACAGAGTCCGTGTATTTATTTGAAAATTAGAAAATATAAACCCAATATGAAATATCTATCAGCGTTAATGCAGCAGCAAAGGTCTCACTGATATAGAATAAAAAAAGTAATCAAGTCTATTTGTTGGACTGATATTTTCCCGAATAGTGAATCTGTCAGTACATGTTTAAAAGGTTTATTATTGTGTATGTTTGCTTTGAAAGTAGCAAAGGTATGTTTTTAATTTTGTCGTTAAATTTATCCGATTTTGGCACGCGAGCTGAAAAAGGTTGCCCACCCCTGCACTAGGGGGTCTGCAACAATATGGAAAGGGCCTGATTGATCTTTATTGATTGATTCAAAGCCATTGCATTTATTTGGTTTAGCGTTGCAGACAAATATCCATTGCTGTCAGAAAAGACAATCAAAATTGTATTGCCTTTTGCAACAACCTACATGTGTGAGGCAGCATTTTCAGCACTTACCATGATGCTGACAAAATACAGGTCAATACTTTCTGCAGAGTCGGACCTGATGTAGGTTATGGGAATAGTTACTTATTTCATAGTTACTTATGCTTGGAGTTAAGGATGAGGCATGTAACTATTTTCACAGAGCTTCCATGAAGAATAGCTCTTACTTATGGCTTGACCAGGGCTTTGAAGCCGAAGAAAACTCACAACCGACTCTCGACTTCGAGCAGAAAATACAGGGTGGTATCAAATTCCTATTTCAGTTCTGAACTCTATAAAAATTCAATCCAGAATCTCGACTTAATGAAGTTTGAATACACGCTTTTTCTTATCGTTGTAGCGCTGTCTCTGTTCGACTTGTGCCGAGTATTTTTGCACACTCTGCATCATAATTATGGCGTCATCAATTACGTATGTGTCATCTCAATTAACTTATACATTTTATTTCAGTATAAGAATTTACTAATTACAGTATTTTATTTCTCACGCATTATAACTATGACTTCATCGATTACGTATACGTCATCTCAATGAACTTACCAACCACGATGCATGGGCTGCAGCTTTCGTTTCCCCAGGCGGCACCATCAAATGAGTTACAACAATCCTCGCCTGTTGTTATTCTGAAGCTATCTGAGCAAGTATCGTTCTCGTATGATTTCCAACATTTTTGCAGCAGGGCTAAAATATAATTGAAAAGTTATCGTCAGTAATATGACTATACCTTAGAAAAGCCCTCTTTTGTTTCAGAATATTGTGTATTTAACTTGGGTTTTGTAGTAACTATTCATTTTCGTAAGAACCGATTCAAATAATGTTTGATTCGATTTCTCAGCCCTATTCCCGACCCGTGAATCGATACTCAGCAGTGTGTGACATTTTCTCATATATGCAGGGTGTCCATAAAAGCTTCACACATAATATAATTAGAAACGTTTAGTTATGTAAACTAATATTATTTTCACTATTTAAATATTATAAATATTATTATTAATTTGTTATTATTTTAACTTTCTCGCAACCGGGAATTTGCTGAGGTCATGTAAAGATCATCAGTTGATATAAAGGACTTTACATAGGACTTACATGGACTGTATCAGGAAGAACTCTGGTAGTTTGTAAACCAAGATGGCGGATACCGAACGTAGTATGTGTACCAGGTTAGTGTTCGGTCATTGTTTTATTCCAGTTTTTCTTATTTTAGTTCTATTACGAGTTCGGGGACTAGCCAAGTGACTCCCGTGGTATTTGTACCTGAAATTATGGCCTAACTAACCCTAACCTGGTACATATACTACGTTCCGGTGTCCGCCATCTTGGTTCACATACTGCGGTTGTGCCCGTTTTTTGGTAACGTTCTGCATTAATTTTTTTTGAAATATTTTAGACATATTTTTCAAATTACTTCCTGATGATTAGGTCCAAGCCTCCACATATAATGTTGAAGTTTTAAGTCCCTACCGTATCAAGTACATAAGATTAGTTACTGTATGTTTCAAGATTCTTCATCACGTATTGTTAATAGTGTATGGTATTTGCCTGGACAAAGGTCGATGCTCCAATTCGTTTCCTTTATAATATTTTTCTCTCACCAAATATTACTCGTATTTATTGTTCTTTGTTTTGAGTGTATCTTTTATTTGACTCAATTCGATTGTGCAACTTGACAACATACGAACATCGGGCATTGCAATACATTGCGTTCTTATTGACTTCTGAAAGGGTCAGTTGGGGTTTTACTCCGCCAACGTGTGTTTAATAACACGCAGATAGGGTTAAATCTGTACCACACTATCTCGAATTCTAGATCCTAGTATTTTGCGAGTTTTTCCAATATTTTTCAGAGGAGTTTCTTTGGGATGGTATATCCATATTTATTAGCAGACAAGTTTTTTTGTGGAATCTTCTACTATGATATCAGTTCGATTTGCCACAGTAGTTTTTTCAGTATGAACAGTAAAATTTCACGAAATTGTTAATTTTTCTGTCATAAATATTGATAATTATTATTAATAAAAATATTCAATCACCCTATGTGTCCAGACTTTGCGGACATCTTACGTATACATTATTGGTGATTAATATTTTAACAAATTTTTTACCTTCGCAAACTCTGCTCGCAAAAAGTTTGTAGCCCTCTGGACATTCGCAAATAAAAGATCCGAAAACGTTGACGCATTTTCCATCTTGGCATAAACCTGGAAGCTCCGTACATTCATCAACGTCTTCCAATTTCTCTGTGATTGGGTCGGACTCAAAATCATGGTTTTCATCTGATTATAAAGGTTGCAACATTCAAGTTATCGATGTAGAAGTCTTACTGTGTACAGGGCCTAATACTAGTAGCTAAAAAAAACTTATTGGTACTGGGACTGGGGATTTTTGAATATCTGATGAATTCAGAATCAAATCGAATTTTATTTTAAATTGAATCTCGAATACTTGGAATATATATAGTTGTCTTGACTGTTTTTATTGTAACGGATCCTTTTCAAGCTCATAAATTTGTGAAAGCATGTAATCTATTGGTCAGGCAGTTTACTGAGCGTTCCCACATATTACGAAACATTTTCATCAATAACTCGGAAAAAAGAGTCATACTTCAGAATTTGACTTTAAAAATTTTATATGAATAAAAAAAATGAAGGATTTACTCGACTTGACTAGGCGGGCAAAAATAAAACAAGATGGCGACAATTCAAAATTCCTGTCTACCGTTTCAAATAATATACTATTTGATAAGATTCAAAAGGCCCTTCCTTAGTTGAGACGTTATGCTAGTTGTTTTCAACCACCATTACGTGACGCCCAGGGATTCCGCCGGTTTGCAGTCAAATCCGAGAGTCAATGTTAATATTGGCCAAATCCTGTCTGACTAAAATTTGAACCCGATACCTTATCGGGATTGACTCCAACTCCGATTCAACTAAAATTTGTATTTAGGCAACACTCACCAATGCATCCGACATGGACAGGATTATAAATAAACCCCTTTGGACATTGACATTCATAGGATCCGAAATAGTTGATACATTCACCGTTGATGCATTTGGCCACGTCAGTACATTCGTCAATATCAATGCAGTTTAATCCTTGTTCGTCAATCTGCAAACTAAAAATAACAAAATGTTGTAAAAGATTTCGTTCCTCCCATAAATAATAGTAATTTATTGTAAGGCTCGGCGGTGTGCGTTTGGAATACGCTCGTCACCACACCTCTGAGTACTCAGCGTGGGTTCGTAGGTTCGAATCCCATGCGGGTATAGTTATGTGCAAGAGGATTGTTGGACTTCTCGCCACCATAGACTTGCCAGTTACAACTTTCTCCACCATTAAGTTCATGCATCTGAAGCAAATAACTGGCTAACTAATGTCATACCAAAAATGAAATGGTAACCAGAAAAGAAGTCGTGGTTCGCCATATGGTTAAGCCGTCTTGTCGGCTTTTCTCTTCCTCAAGATAAATATGTAAATACTATCATACCCATCAAGGCATTCACAAGTGAATCCTCCTGGAACATTGATGCATCGACTGTTCACACAGATGTTCTCTTGGTCGCAGTTATCAATATCTAAAATAGAAAGGATTGCTCGACAAGTCGTGGCCAGTCAGAACATTTGAAATCTGAACCAGTCTAAACTCTTAGTAGACCGGGGCATTTTGAATCGTTGATATTTTTGTTTTTTGTCCTTCAACAGGTTGGGGTGGATCCTCACTTATTTTATTCAATTCATATTTTTAAAATTCAAGTCTGACATATGACTAACTCCTTCCAAATTAGTTTGATGAAACATGTTTTGTATTGGTTTTTAACGCTCAGCAAACTGTTTGAGGGATGAATTCTATATTTTGATTTTACAATGCAATTCTGACATATATATGACTTTTTTTCTTTCTAGTGAATAAATAATAAATAATGTTTCTCATTGTGTGTGAATGCTCAGCAAACTGTTCAAGTGCTAGGTTACATGTTTTCACAAATTTAATTGCCTGATGGATCCATTACAATAAAACTGCCAAAACAACTACATATCTTCCAAGTATTTGATTCGCTTCGGAAAAAATATTCGATTCGATTCCAAAATCACAATGCTGGGCGCATAACGGATTTTACTGTTCACTTTACAAGTAAACTCTTCCTAGTTTGATTGCTTGATAACAGTATTCAACGGGGTGTTTTCACTTTGTTGAGCATGAATTGTTTAAACATAATGGATTTGGAATCTACCAATCAAAATAACACTATAAATACCAATTGAATGATAAACAGGGGGACAAGAGTGCTAAAGCCTACATAAGGGAGCCACGAGCCATAAAAGCTTGAAAACCACTGTCTTAAATTATATCGTGTTCTAGTCTAATAGAGAGTAGTAGCCTTGTAGTTTATAATGTGATATTGCTTATGTGGAGCCTGATACAGAGCGAAGAAGGAGAAGGAGAATTAAATGATGAATTTACTCACATTTCCCTTGACAGTTGATGACGACGAATATAATAAGTAAACCGATATTCTTCAGTCGTTCAGTCATTTTATCTAACTTTTATTGCTAACAATATGATCTAGGATACAAACACAAAAAGAGATATTAACTTCACTTTTCAACGTTTGTTCTAATTTACATCACCTGACAATCTTCCCTAGTTTCCCAACAAAAACTTAGGGGTTACTGATTTATATTCAGAACATTTTTTGTTCATTATATTTAGCATTGAGGTGCCGCTCAATAGCAATTGAATAGCGTAAAATCTTGGTGGTATCTATTTTGCTAAGTCAAGCCACAATTTCAAAAATTCGCTAAAGGCAAACAAGCGCAGCTTTTCCACTTCACCCAGTAACTTCTGGGTGTTATATGAAAATGATTGTTTCAAATTAATATTTAATTTTGCGACCATAAGAGCTAACCCCATGCCGTTTAGTATTTGAGCATACCCTTGGATCGCGAAATTTTACATCTTTTTCTTTTAATTGGGTCGTTTGAAAAAAGATACCACTGGTCATCGGTTTCCCAGCGATTCACGTAATTTGACTTTAAAAACGCACTGTTGTGTCGCTGCATAACCAGCGAGCAATTATCTGAGCACATTCTGTAATAATTCCGATTGATCACCATCGTTCAAACGAGCCTCTCTTTATCAGATCTAGAATTAACCAATTTATAACCAGGCCAGATCACTCATTGGGAAGGAAAAGGCGTAAGATTAGTTGCCAAGACGCTCTGTTAAGCCACGCGTGTGCTGCCAGCAAGGAAGTGCCAATTTTGAATGGCGTGCGGCCCGCTAAACGAGTTTTTAATTTAATTAAATCTAGTACGTGCTAGTAATTCCAATTCCTTTGCGTTGCAATATCTGAGCTCATGCATAGCGAACAACGCATGTCATAAGATTGCGCATAAGATGGCGCACAAATTATGGTTAGCAGGTTGTGCGCCATTTGGTACAAATACTACGGGAGTGTCGATAAGTTTGCGGCCTGCAGTTTCACCCAGTTTTTTGTATCTGGCCCTCCTGTATTAAAGGTTTCACACTCTTCATATAAAGCGTTTATTTTACCAGAAATTACCACAAAGTGACAAAACTGCATTGTTTGCCATCAGCCATTTTTTGAAATCGTTGCGTGGCTTCACTGATCAGAATAGATGCTGCAAATTTTTACGATTTTGTATTTCCCACAAATACAATTTCTACTATGCAACACTCCAAAACAAACAATAAAATTTACTACGGAAATAAATTGTTATGAAATTGTTGAAGTAAAGCGACCTCAGAGGATTTCCACTGACCTAAAGCATAAGCCTAATAGATTTGCAAACTGTAGAAAACGAGGTAGCGTTCAAAGCAAAAAAATTAATTAATCAATTAATAACTCGCTAATTATACGACGTAATTCATCCAAAATCAATAGGCTTCTGGTCTGACATATGATGAATGCACATGACAAATTTTGAACAAATTCAACCTCGCTTTCGTGAGATATCGCATAGCATACTAATGTGTCTAACAGACAGACAGACAAACAGACAAATACCTATCAACATACTAACCGATCAAGATCGATAAGTAAAAAGGCTGAAGGCAACTGTAGCTCAATCCTACACCTGACTATGTTGTGTTTTCACTAGATTACAATCCTGCACCGATATCTCGATATCTCAGCATATATCGGAACTAGATTTTATACGTAACCGCCTCGTAAACATTGGACTCCGCTGCATAAATGGAAATAATTGTTTGAAAATGACAAATATCCGGGTTTTTTATGTCTAGATTCGATAGATTGAATACCGAAGTTGGAGATTTCTTGTTGTTTCAATTTTAAATGCCAGAAAGTGAACCAAAGGGAACCAATTCATAGTCCCCTTTCCAGGTGAGCAATGCCGAATCTGGGCGCTACCAGTAGACAATAATTTCAACAGTATAGTGTGATGCTATGAAAACCTCAATTTGACCAATTTTAAACAATTACCTTTTTCTATACTGTTAAAAATGTTGTCCAAATAACTAATAATCTATAAAAGTTCTTGAATTTTCTCTACATCTAATTTATCAGTTTGGATTACACGAGACTAACTACGCAACCATGCTTCATGCATTAGATAATTTCAGAGTAGTGATTTTTAACCTTTTGTTGGGCCGGAACTCCAATGAAACATTCCAGAGACTCCAGAATTATTTTTCAATTGTTCTTTATTTTTATAAGGTATAAGAAAGTAGGGGTACTTCCTTATGTGCCAGGTTAGGGTTAAGCTATAATTTTATTCCGATTTTCCTTATTTTAGTGTTATTACTAGTTCGGGGGCTGTCTGTGTTAGCTAAGTGAATATCGCCCTGCCCATACGTTTCAGTCGGAAACTGTGCCTCACTAGTTGAAAATTACTGGTATAGAGTCTTGTTAGGAGTATAAATATGAAAACGGCTATTGAAAAATATAACGCAGACTTGTAAGACTCTTGAAAACTCACGTTTTCCTGACTTCCGGGCCCGCTACCTGTTTGGTGACCCGTCGACTATTAGTCCCCAATCTGGAATAAGATGTGATAAACCTATAGACAATAACTTGCTATATGTACTTCTATTGACGTCTTGTCGTTACTAACTCCACACAAGGTAAATAGTTTACTCAAAGACGAAGTGTTTCCGCAATTTAGTGACGTTCAGGAACCCTTGAGATTTACCTTTGTTTATTTTAGCGAAAAACTGCTAAATGACGGGTTTTTGATAAGAGATCATGGTAAACCGGTTTACCAATATGTATTTTTTGAGTTTATACAGGGTGTCTCAAAAGTAAGTATACACTGAGTATCTTCTACTCAGCATAGAGCGTTCATTCTTTTAGGAAACAGAGTATGTATAACTAGTAAAATTTAGGTATTGTTTGCATTTTTCAACAACCCACAGAATGACAAGGAGATTAACCCAACGTTATAAGAATTAAAAAATTAAAAGCATAATTGCCGATTGGCAAGAAGCATGTAAATCAGTAAAGCAAATTTAGGGCCTTATTAACAAAGATTTTGAAACTATTTCAGGATTCTCAGAGCGTCCGTCCCTTGGTCTTCCTGATCTCTGTGCATTAATTACAGAACAAGTTTCCAAGAATTTATGATGAATTGCGTAATTCTTCGTCGTTAAGTGCTGAATTCCTCACTGTTTTATATGCATCTTGCTAAACAGCAATTTTCACCCCATTTTTTAGGTTAATCTTCTTGTCATTCTGTGAGTTGTTGAAAAATAATGCAAACAATACGTAAATTTTACTAGTTATCCATACTATGTATCCTGAAAAAATATTCACTCTATGATGAGTAATTGAAAGACAAATCAAATTTAAAAGTGAATACTTACTTTTGAGACACCCTGTATGAGTAATCGCCAACATAGCAACTTTGAACCACGGTAAAACGATTGAATATTTTGATAATTATCACTAAACCTTTCGAAACTTTTCAATTTTTTCAAATGAGAGAAAGCGCGCCGGTTTAGTTCTGAGAAAAAAATTCCAATTCGTCGAAAATCAACCACGGTCAATCGATTAACCATTATAGCTTCAGTCAGATGGTCAGAAGTATTTCGCAATTAAGTGACGTTCAGGAAGTTTTGTCAATAATAAGAAGGCTTGTGTGTTTGCTTCGGAAAAAGTGATTAATTGTCACCAATCACGGTCTGACAAAATTGAAACCACAATTTCGAGTTCTCTTCGCGGTGGGACGGTTGTATTCTACAACGTATCTGGGAAATAGAAAAGTATGTAAAATATTTATTTGTGACTTTGGTGCAAATATTGCAAGAAAGCTTTATGCAACCTCGGAGTATCTGGGAAATTGACTCCGATTATTTTTCTCTAATTCGGTTAATCGAAATGCTGACACCGTTTTCTCAAAAATCAGACCGTTCCACAAATCCGGCTAACGCGAATTCCGACAAAATAATTTACCTTGACCACTGACAAATTTAAAATTACGATCCAAGAGCGAAGGTAAGTCTTTCCAAAATTTGTGGAGTTCCGGAAGTATGTGCACCAAGATGGCGCACCGCCTGAACCCTAACCTGGTACAAATACTATGTTCAGGTTGTGCGCCATCTTGGTGCACATACTTCGGGATCGCCGAATCTTCAACCTGAACATTTTTTTTTAAAACGACGCTTACACGCGTCTTTCTTTCCAAATAGGGCGCATACAAGCAGCCAGTGAGTGATATCTCAAAGAAGCTTTCCACATGCTTACTCTGCTGTCGAAGTTCCCCAATCTCTGGCTGTTGAAAAAACATCTCTCTCTCTCCCTTATTCAAGTTATTTTATATTGAACACCATTTCGATTTTTTTCTACATGAATTCTGATTCGAAATTCTCTTTTATTAATTTGCTTATTTATTCTTTCATTTCGAACACGAATTCAAATCCCAACTTTATATAATCAAAAACTATTGGTGATGATTCTTGGAAATTCGATGCAGTAGGTTCGAATATTCTTTTTCGAGTTTCCAGTAGTATTATCTAGTATATTACCTAAGCACAGATTCATATTTGGATTCTAAATTTCTTTAATCGCTAAATATCAATTATTATATTCGATCGATATTAACACAATAACATTTTTGAAATTGTTCATATACTCGATTTTAAACAATTTTATTTCGGTTACTTTGACATAAAAGCAAACAAAATGAAGAAGACCTTGACGGGCATAACTTGAGAGCAAAATAAAATACATACAAATACGCGCCCATCCACCAAAAACAGTTTGTTTAATCGCTAAATATTGATTATTAGATATACATATATTCAATAATATTTTTGAAATCATTCATTTACTCTTCAAAATGAAACACAATTTCAATTTTGAATTTGTTCTTCATTGTTGCTTCCATCTCTTGAATACCAAGGCTCGCTTTCTTTGCCGCCTTTCTTCCGATTTTAGGAATCACTTTGAGTTTGATGGTGTATTTCCCTGGTTCTATATCTTCCTCATAATGAATAGAATGGACGCCATTTTGATTTTTAATCATGAACATTCTGTCTTTGTTTCCTCCGATGATTTTGTACAATGTGTGATCCTTCAATATCCGGATAGCTGGGATAAGTTGGATCAATCGTTGACGTGGGTTCAGGTTTTGTAGGCTGAGATGCATAATGATTGGAACAGATGTATTAACTGGTCGAGGATTCTGAACATACCCGCTTAGCATTTCCATTCTTGCAAAGTCAGCATTTCCAAGTGGTTCGCAGTCGTAGCATTGCCCGGTTGGTTGCTGGAAACCGCTGTTAGCTTTTATGCATTGGCTGAAAAATGAGGGTATATATCAAGTACGGTGAATGAGTTTTAATTTTGGCGCCCAAGATATTACGCTTCTACACTCTGTTGAGGGGATTTGCTCAAAGCAAGGTCACACACACTCACTCCAAATTGAAAGTGATTTTATTGAGCAAAGTTACACACACGTTCGGAACTCACTCAGAAGTAAAGAAGACTCATCTTTGAGTGAGCAAAGTTACGGGCACTCACTCAGAAGTAAAGAAGACTGATCTTTGAGTGAGCAAAGTTACGGACATTCACTCAGAAGTAAAGAAGACATCTCTGAGCAAAGTTACGGGCACTCACTCGGAAGTAAAGAAGACATCTCTGAGCAAAGTTGCGGGCACTCACTCAGAAGTAAAGAAGACTGTTCTTTGAGTGAGCAAAGTTACGGGCACTCACTCAGAAGTAAAGAAGACTCATCTTTGAGTGAGCAAAGTTACGGACACTCACTCAGAAGTAAAGAAGACATCTCTGAGCAAAGTTACGGGCACTCACTCGGAAGTAAAGAAGACTCATCTTTGAGTGAGCAAAGTTATGGGCACTCACTCAGAAGTAAAGAAGACTCATCTTTGAGTGAGCAAAGTTATGGGCACTCACTCAGAAGTAAAGACGACTCATCTATGAGCAAAGTTACGGACACTCACTCAGAAGTAAAGGAGACATCTCTGAGTAAAGTAGTGGGCACTCACTCAGAAGTAAAGGAGAATCATCTATGATCAAAGTTACAGGCACTCACTCAGAAATAAAGAAGACTCAACTCTGAGAATAAAGTTACGGACATTTTCTCATAAGTAAAGGAGACTCATCTCTGAGCAAAGGTATGGGCACTCACGCAGAAGTAAAAGAGACTCATCTCTGAGCAAAGTTATGGGTGCACACACTCACTCCAAATTGAAAGTGATTTTATTGAGCAAAGTTACACACACGTTCGGAACTCACTCAGAAGTAAAGAAGACTCATCTTTGAGTGAGCAAAGTTACGGGCACTCACTCAGAAGTAAAGAAGACTGATCTTTGAGTGAGCAAAGTTACGGACATTCACTCAGAAGTAAAGAAGACATCTCTGAGCAAAGTTACGGGCACTCACTCGGAAGTAAAGAAGACATCTCTGAGCAAAGTTGCGGGCACTCACTCAGAAGTAAAGAAGACTGTTCTTTGAGTGAGCAAAGTTACGGGCACTCACTCAGAAGTAAAGAAGACTCATCTTTGAGTGAGCAAAGTTACGGACACTCACTCAGAAGTAAAGAAGACATCTCTGAGCAAAGTTACGGGCACTCACTCGGAAGTAAAGAAGACTCATCTTTGAGTGAGCAAAGTTATGGGCACTCACTCAGAAGTAAAGAAGACTCATCTTTGAGTGAGCAAAGTTATGGGCACTCACTCAGAAGTAAAGACGACTCATCTATGAGCAAAGTTACGGACACTCACTCAGAAGTAAAGGAGACATCTCTGAGTAAAGTAGTGGGCACTCACTCAGAAGTAAAGGAGAATCATCTATGATCAAAGTTACAGGCACTCACTCAGAAATAAAGAAGACTCAACTCTGAGAATAAAGTTACGGACATTTTCTCATAAGTAAAGGAGACTCATCTCTGAGCAAAGGTATGGGCACTCACGCAGAAGTAAAAGAGACTCATCTCTGAGCAAAGTTATGGGTGCTCACTCAAAGGTAAAGGAGACTCATCTCTGAGCAAAGTTACGCGCCCTAACACAGAAGTAAAGGAGACTCATCTCTGAGCAAAGTTACGGGCACTAACTCGGAAGTAAAGGAGATTCAGCTCTGGGCAAAGTAATGGGCACTCACTCAGAAGTAAAGGAGACTCATCTCTGAGCAAAGTTTCGGGCACTCACGCAGAAGTAAAGGAGACTCATCTCTGAGCAAAGTTATGGGCACTCACGCAGAAGTAAAGGAGACTCGACTCTGAGCAAAGTTACGAGCGACCAAAAATGTGGTGCATTACTTCAATAAAGATAAAACAAACTCATTACAAAAGTCCCTGAATTCACAGTCGAGGCGAGTACGAATAATTTGAGTATCGATTCAAGTCAATCGCTAAGCTTAGTCTCACTGGCTCAGGGGTGGGCAAGGCTTTTGAACCAGGTACGAAACATTTTGCCCTCCTAGACTGACCGGCCATGAAAGGGACGTAAAAAGTTCCATTTTTTTAACAGAATGTGTAACAGAATGATTAGAATGCGTAAAAAACAAAGAAGAACAATATTTAAACTATGCAAGAGTTGGTCAAATACAGAAATTTTTGGCAGCATCTTGTGCCAGATTAAATCACCCTACGAGCTAGATTTGGTTCGCGGGTCGTAGTTGCCCCTGTCAGCACAGTCTGTTATTGACTCAAGTCTCTTTAAGTCTTCGTTATATGGTGATTTGAGCCTTCCAACAATACATCGTAACAACACTCACCTTCCACCGAGACCGAAGTATCCTCTTGGGCATCCACATTTGAATCCACCATATGAATTCTGACATTGATAAGAGCAAGGATTGTTCTGGAACCTGCATTCATTGATGTCTCCGCATCCTCTCCTAAATGCTCCCATCATGGCAAAGCCCCTGAATGTAAGTGTAGGTTATCAAACTGGGGTAGCAGGTGTACTCATATATTTTAATTAATAAGAAGAAGAATTCAGGACTTGTACGGGGAAGGCGCAACATGCGACAAATACAATATCCGACAGACCATCTTATGGCGAAATGGCGTTAAAAAATAATAGAAATACCATAACAAACTTCTTAACACAAAACAATATATAACTCAATCTAACAGATTTGATTTTGACATAAGTCAAACACATATCCTTTATCTCATTTTGAAAAAAAAATCACAAGACCATGTGTTGTGCAATTGACATAAGCACATGGATGCATAAACAATTCATGTGGGTTGAAGAAGAATAACATAAAATGTACACGACGTTAATTTGACCTTGGCAATAAATAGCACATAAAGATATCTGACGTTATATGTGATATTTAGCAGTTCACATGAATATATGAGACATCGTATGTGACCTAAAAAAAAGCACATAGAAATCTATTTACCTATCGTTTGACTTTGGTTAAAATCACATGGACGTATAAGAACTTGCATATTGACATATACAGTAAAGCACACAAAATAGTAACTCTTGTGTAACATTGAAACAGTCACATAACACATAAAAGACATTGCACATACCTTGATCAGACACATGCACTTCATGTGTGACCCTAATCAAAAGCACGTATTGAACAAGACACATGTAATTCATATGTGATCTTGAGCCAGGTAAAATATACTCAACGCTAATTTACGTCAATTCGGCTTCGACTATGTTTAACACAATAAATCTACCTTTTACATTTACCCCCAGTACACCTGTATCGTCCTCCATCAGTTGGAACACATTGATCACCAGTTTTGCATGGGTTTGCTCTGCAATCGTCGGGGTCTTCAATGGAACCATATGAAGGATCAGCTACAATATAAACATCGACATTATGGCCTGGTGCAACATTTCTCTACCGCTGAGGAATTCTTCCCCCAATGAGGAATTATACTGTTTTTAGGAGGAAATGTGGAAATTAAATATGGAGAGAAGTGCAACACGCGGATGGCAAAGGCGTTATAATCGTTTATATGCACAAAAAAAACTCGCATGTTGCATCGATCAAATGTGCATGAAAAATTATGATCAAAGAATGAAACATTCCATGGGGCGAATACAAGTCTTCATGCTGTTTTTGTACCTGGTTTTTATACTTGTTTCCATTGAACTTAAGGTAATTTACTCCCCTCTTCTCACAACTTGCTATAACTAGATTCCATGGAAACAGGATCGAATAGAGAGTAATGGGGAATTCCCTCCGATGAGGCATTTTGGTGTTCGTTCAGAGAAAATGCGCAGGAAGGGAGGAATAAAAAGGTCTGAAATCGGCATTTTAACGGAAAAGTTACTTTAAGCCGCATTGCAGAAATACTCACGGATGCATTCAACACCATTAGAACTGAGAATGGTTCCTCTTGGACATTGACACATATACGATCCCATTAGGTTGACACATTCCCCGTAGATGCAAATGGACACGTCATCACATTCATCAATGTCGATGCAGTTTAACCCTTGTCCGACTTTCTTGTAACTGGAACGACAATACGATCTTGAGTGAAAACCACGGTATAAAACTGGTTTTCCGGTTAATCGGCATACCGGTCGCAGATGATAAACGGTATTGCGATACTATTAATATTGAGAGTTTACCGTTAACGGTATATACCATGAAATCACGCGCCAACGATATATTGCTGGTATTGGTTACGGTTAACAAATGATCAATTTTATATGATAAACGGTTACAGACATTCTGGCCGCCAACTATCATATAAATAATCGCTATTGCAGAAAGGTCACATATGCTGCTAATATAGCGCATCGCAGAAATATGCTGGTCATGAATGGTTACTCATCACGTATTGGCAGGTTGGAATCCTGTTGTGGATAATTATGTGCGAGAGGATTGCTGGACTTCATGTCGCCGTAAAGTGATGATCGGTTGAGGCTTTCTTCACAATCAAGTCCATACCTCTGAAACGAATACCTGACCAACTAATCCCATACCCAGTATTGAATGGTAACCGGTAAGAGAAATGGTTAATTGATTGTACCCCAACAATTTGACAAAGTCAGCTGAAAGTTCACGTCGCGTTCATAAATAAAAAATATATATTAAATCTAAACAAAAAATTTTGTTTACGGTTTCAACTCATCGGATATTTTACCCAGAATTTTTTTGTTCAATTTAAATTTATGGGAGCACTCCTACATGGTATGTGGGAACACTTTAATATGACATCCATCCTTTGTAATGTTTTCAAGTTTCAAAGGTATTATAGATAAAGAACCTGACTCAAACTGACCTCATAATTCTGTTGTTTCATAAAAATTAAAAATATATTCACCCCTGATTGCATTCGCAGTGTAATCCAACTAGACTGCTTTTGATGCATCTACCGTTCCAACAACGACCATATGAATCACATGGGTCAATCTCTGAGGAAACGAGAAAAAATTCAAAATTTGAAAATATTATTGATAAACAGGGAGCTTACCCCTGGGCTTCAGGGGCAGTTCCTCGTGCGACACGTTGATTTTATACCCAAAACTGATCAGACCAAGAGCATAGCTAGCCCTAAAAACTTTTTCTTTACAATGACGTAATACGCCGCTTACTCGTGCCTTTTACTTCAAATAAAGGTTTGGCTTGAATTCGTCCTCTCCTGAACAGAGTGTTTGATACTGTAGGGGAATTCTCTAAATCTGCAACATTGAAAAGTTAAAATAAAATTCCATGTTCTCTACCTACGCAAACTCTTCTCGCTTCGTTAAGTGCGTAGCCCTCTGGACATTCGCAGATAAAAGATCCGAAAACGTTGACGCATTTTCCACCTTGGCATAAGTCTGGAAGCTCCATACATTCATCAATGTCTTCAAAGTACACCGTGGTCCGGTTCGGTGTGAATCCGTCTCCTTCTGGGCAGACTGTTTGATACTGTAGAATAAAATATAATTTGTGATTTTAAAAGTTTATAAACAACCAAAAAAAAATAGCAAGATTAGTTAAATGTACACTCCATGTCGAAAATTAAAACACTTACGTCGTCAGTATTTTTCTCAGGACATATTTCACATTGATTTACTCCCCAGGCTTTTCCATAGAAAATACAACAACAAGTCTCGCGGGAAACAATAACGCCAACACCATCGGAACAGGTCGGAGCTGTTTCATCGCCTTCCACTGTCAGGAAACAGTTTCCAGGATCTGGTACTACTGTTCATGTGAAAAAACAAAACATTGGTGGAATTACTAGTCAAGTGGCTCTGCAGTGTGGTGCATTATGCTAAGCGTTACCACCCCAACTCTGATTACTCTGCCGTGTAGGTTCGTAGGTTCGAATCCCACGCGGGGTTAATTATGTGCGAGAGAAATGCTGGATTCCCTGCTGCCGTTGGGTGGTTCACGTAACCGCATTTTCTACCATGGCATAAACCTGGAAGCTCCATACATTCATCAATGTCTTCAAAGTACACCGTGATCCGGTTCGGTGTAAATCCGTCTCCCCCCCCCCCCCCGGGCAGAGTGTTTGATACTGTAGGGGAATCCTCTAAATCTGCAACATTGAAAATATAAAAAAATCGTGTTCTCTACCTTCGCAAACTCTGCTCTCTTCGTTGAGTTTGTAGCCCTCTGGACATTCGCAGATAAAAGATCCGAGAACGTTGCCGCATTTTCCACCTTGACATAAACCTGGAAGCTCCATACATTCATCAATGTCTTCCAAGGACATCGTGATCCGGTTCGGTGTAAATCCGTATCCTCCTGGGCAGACTGTTTGATACTGTAGGAAGAAATATAATTTGTGATTTCAAAAGTTTAAATTCAGCAACGGACAATGATTTCCATACACTTCCGCACAGAGGGTGAACACACCCCTCGAATTTCGAACTCGAACATCCCCCTAATTTTAGATTCCAGAAAGTGACGCATAACTAGTGTAGATGTTCAGTCAAATACTTAAGACAATACCCCGGCCCACCCCACCACCAATCTAAATTTGGATGTAAAGTAACAACAAGAAAACCACCAAATGAACAACCACAAAAATTTAACAAGATTAGTTAATTAAATGTACATTTCATGTCAAAAATTAAAACACCTACGTCGATAGTAATTTTCTCCGGGCATATTTCACAAGTATTTCTTCTCCAGGCTTTTCCATAGGGACTACAACAACAAGTAGCGAGGGAAACATCAACGCCAACACCATCGGAACAGGTCGGAGCTTTTTCATCGCCTTCCACTGTGAGGAAACAGTTTCCAGTGACTGGTACTTCTGTTCATGTGAAAATGCAAAACATTGGTGGAATTACTAGTCAAGTGGCTCTGCAGTGTGGTGCATTATGCTAAGCTTTACCACCACACCTCTGGTTACTCTGCCGTGTGGGTTCGTAGGTTCGAATCCCACGCGGGGTTAATTATATGCGAGAGGAATGCTGGATTCCTCGTTGCCGTTGAGTGGTTCACGTAACCGCTTTTCGGTTGAGGCGTCTTCCACTATTAAGTCCATGCATCTGAAAACAAATAACAGGGAATCTAATCCTCTTCTCGATATGGATTAGTAACCAGACGAGAGGCCGTGGTTAGCCATATGATTAAGCTTCATTATCAGCTTCCTTTTCCCCCAGGATAAAGTAGTAGATCTATACCGAGTGCGGTATCATCTGAGTAACATTGCAGATTTGATATACAGGTGACTCAGAATACAGAACCGAGTTCGTTTGCGCCTCGCTCGAACCCGAAATAGGATTTTCCCTTCTATTTTCAGCATGATGAAGAAATAAAGAGATTGAAACTTTCGGCTGAAGTTTTCTTGAGTAAGATTCTCCTCATCACTTATGCATAGCTTTATCCATTTGCCATTACTTTAAATGTAGTCTTCTGGACATTCACACTTGAAAGATCCGTAATGATTGACGCATTTTCTACCTTGGCATAAACCTGGTCTTCCAACAATACCGTAATCGGGTTTGGTTTGAATCCGTCTCCTCCCGGGCAGAGTGTTTGATACTGTAGGGGAATCCTCTAAATCTGAAACATTAGAAATATGAAAAAAAAATCGTGTTCTCTACCTTCGCAAACTCTGCTCTCTTCGTTAAGTTCGTAGCCCTCTGGACATTCGCAGATAAAAGATCCGTATGTATTGACGCATTTTCCACCTTGGCATAAGCCTGGAAGCTCTATACATTCATCAATGTCTTCCAAGGACACCGTGATCCGGTTCGGTGTAAATCCGTATCCTCCTGGGCAGACTGTTTGATACTGTAGAAAGAAATATAATTTGTGATTTTGAAAGTTTATATTCAGCAACGGTCAATGATTTCCATACACTTCCCTACATGGGGTGAACACCCCCCTCAAATTTCGAACTCGAACATCCCACTAATTTTAGATTCCAGAAAGTGGCGCATAACTAGTGCATGCTCAGTCAAATACATAACACGATACAACCCCCACCCCATTCTAAATTTGGAAGCAACAACAATAAAACCCCAAAAAGAACAACAACAAGTATTTAGCAAAACGGCTTAAATATACACTTCGTGTCAAAAAAGTTAAATACCTACATCGTACGTATTTTTCCAGGGACATATTTCACATGGATTTTCTCCCCAGGCTCTTCCATAGGGACTACAACAACAAGTAGCGCGGGAAACATTAACTCCAACACTATTAGAACAGAAGGGATCTGATACTACACCTTCCGATGCCAGGAAACAGTTTCCAGTGACTGGTACTTCTGTTAATGAAAATTTAATACAAAATTTATTAAATTTGTCAGGTGACTCAACGGTGTGGCTAAGCGTTACGCTCACCACCGCACCTCTGATTACCCTGCTTGGGTTCGTAGGTTCGAATCCCACGCGGGGTTAATTATGTGCAAGATCAATCAATCAATCGTTTATTTTGTCAAGTGGATCTAGCCATTTGAATCACCATGGCTCTGTGAACAGGAATTTTCTTTTCTGACTGAAATTAAAAGCAAACAATGGAGCGATGGGGCCTCGTTACGATTGTTTCTCAAAACAGGCGCACACATCGCATTAACATTTGCGGAATAAATTTGTTCAAAGCTAATTTTTTACAAGTTTTTTTTATGAGCTTAGTGCGCTGCGAGCAAAAATAGTTTGAGAACCATTGGATTAGATGAACAACTTGAGTTTTCAGGATGTTTTCTAAAGAGCAAGTCATGTTCAACCTATGAAGAACAGTAACTAGTGGCAAGTCTTTATTCCCTTGGAGGTGATTCTTGAGAATATTCTTGAGAAGACATGATTTTCTTACAAAGAGTTAAATCATACACAAACAGAAGTTTAAGCGTAAATAAACAAATTTCGGCATATTCATAAAAGTGATCAAGTGTGGATTCTCGTTTGGGGCGCATTTTGTGCTTTCAAACGCGATCTGTATTAGCAACGGGACACGAAGCCGTGGTTGGTCATTCTAACATCAGAACAATGCCGGGATATGTGGAACATAAATTAGGAAATATGTGTCTTTTGGTGATTATAGGTGCATGATATGTATTACCTGTCTCAGGTTTTTCAATTTTGCCAAGCGGGCAAATTTTATCGAATTCTGCAGTTCCTACTAGCGGGCATCCTTCACATGGGTTGGAGTCATGACGCCAGCCTTGTCCCACGGTGCAGCAACAATCAGACTTTTGTATAACGCCGGAAAAAGTTGGGTTACTACATTCATTTGTGCTCTCTTTGAAATACCAGAAGCAAGTTCCAAAACGAAGATCTGAAATGATATCACGCTCGTTAATTTGCTGAAATGTGATCACACAAATCTGTCGCGTTATCCCAAGTTTATCAATGAATCCGATGTATGTCAAAGTTTTAGTTGCTAAGTTTTGATTTTCTAGGAGTTTAAACCTGGAATCGAAATTTATTACGGATCTTCCGTAAAAACCCTCGCTACCATTGCAAGAATGTGAGATTCGAGAAAAACAACCCCGTCACGTTTTAAAATTAGTAATTATCAAGTAAGGGTTAGTAATGTTTTTAAAATTTGAATTTAATAACTTTTTTTTAGCAACGGTGGGGTGATTTTTAGCGGGGGCGGGAGCGATGGCTTTGTACAAAAGAACCTTTTTTTTTAATCTTGGACTCGGGAGTCGAATTTATAATTAATTTATCGTTTTCTACATCATCGCAGTCAAAATGTTGTTCTGAGCGAAGGGTTGAAACACTTTATGAGAAATCTTCCGATCAAGACCAACAGTTCTTGTGGAATAAAATGAAATTAAATTGCAGATATTAGAATAGACGAGGGCTGAAAATGGTTAATCGGGTAACTGATTTTAGATGGTTAACGGTTACGATTTTTTTTTTACCGTTAACTGACATCTCATGTACAAATCATCTTTATGGTGTACAATTTCTTCAAAAATGATTACGCCATCTCAAATTTATCTCCTGTGGCGTTTCATTCAAAAGAATATCACTAACTGTATTGGTAAGGACCCAATAAATGTAAAAAATAATGGAAGTGCCAAGATTGCTGATGATTATGAAAATTGGACAACAATTAATTGTGAATCAGTTTTCGGTCGAAATAGAGTATTCACGATTTCATTGCAAAATCTTATATTCAATGTCAACCAACAAGTGCGTAGTTGATGCTGTTTATCTTTATGATATCTCAAAGTAGAATTTGCACATCGAACAATGAAAATTTGTCACATAAATGACATTTATTAACGGAATCGGGTTTTACTAAAATACTCCCATATGTCCTAACCACGCTGCATATCTCTTGCAGCATAGTTGGTGATCATGAAACCATCTCGATTCGTGAACAATTTTGAGCGATACCGGGATCAGGTCACCTATAATTGTTTTGTAACCATTGTGACGTAACACGCTAAAATTATAAATTAGTATGTGAAACGTCACGCTGCGGTTAACCGGTTAATTTTACCCGGTTAACAGTTAAAGTGTTTTCTCAGAAATTCCCAGCTCTAGAATAGACATGGGACGCACACTTCATATAATACTCTAAAAATAGATCTTAAATTCAAAGTATGAATTGCTTGTTCCAAGCCAGTTCTTGTTCTTAACGAAGGCCAGAAATACTTCTATCTAAGTATGGGCCTACCTTGACAAACAGTTCCTGTTGCATCCAATGTGAGATGTTCTGGGCAGTAGCAGAAGAAGGAGCCTTCTGTTTCAATACATTGAGCAAGGGGATCGCAGGCCCCGTAAGAACATTCTGGGATGTCAACACATTCCTCGGTAGCAACGTTGTACATGAATCCTTCCAGGCAGAGGACTTCTGATATAAAGATGTCAAATGTTAGCAAACTCAAAATATGTGTAATGCATACAGGACATTGGATTGATAACTGCATTGGCCTACAGAAGCGTACAAGAAGTAAATAATATTAGAGTTACAAACACAAATGTCGACTCCAACTCTGGTTTGTCCGAAATCCGTCTCCGATACTCCAACTGTGAGTTGACCTATATCCGGATTCGATACCCCATCTGAGGACTAAAATTGACTTCAACTCCGGTTTGACTAAAATCAGAAACGGATACCCTATCCAGATACAAAAATTGACTCCAACTCCGATTCAACTAAAATTCGCATTTAGATAGGTTTCAAAATAATTGACAAAAGGAGGTCCAAATTACCTATGACTTACGGGAGCGTACAATAAGTAAAATAAAAGCCTCACTGAAGACTTTATTAAGGATTAGAGAATAATCAATGAAGAAGAAGGTATTGAAGACATATGTGGGTTCCAACTCCAAGTTGAACAATTTTGATACCCTATCCGGGATGACCGGATTTGACTCCAACTCCGGTTTGACCAAATCTGACTTTAATTCCGGATTGGTCAAAATTCAACTCCGAGATGAACAAAATTCCACTGTAACTCCGGTTTGAATAAAATACGAATCGGATACTCTATCTGAAAGCTAGATTAGGATTTGACAGGGTCATAAATAAAACTTTCTGGACATTCACACATATACGACCCCTCTACGTTGACACATTCACCGTTGAAGCAAATGAACCAGTCGTCACATTCATCAATATCAGTGCAGTTTAACCTATGTTCGTCCTTCTCGAAACTAAAAATAACAAAAATTAAGATGGTTTGATGGTTAAAGCGTTGGACTTAACTGCGATGGCATCGGGTTTTATTATCCCGGGTTCAAATCTCATGCCTTCACCTCTTAAACGGATTAATACATACGGTAGGCAATAACGAACCGGCAAGGTTTCGTTCCTTCCATAAACAAGAGAGCGATGCTTGCATATATGAACACAAAGCCCAACAAGCCGCAGTACAGATATGCAATCTGCCACAGTCGACTCCAGCCGACACGATGTCATAAAAACGGGTTCCTCATTGAAAAAATTTACAGCGCGTTTTAGATGAAATATGAAATTCTAGAACAAATAAAAGTAATAGCTTTCTAGCGAAATATAAATCTTTAACAGTTTGAAATTCTAATAAGTGTTCGCCTGTGGGGTGTTTGAAGAAATGGTCCACTGTTCGCAAACATTGCTATCTTGCTGTTTAGTTAAACAGCAACAGCGTCCTTATGATATCATATGATAATATGATCTAGTCTAGGATACAAACATAGAAAATAAATGTCAAATATAATTTCCCCGGTTCACAACGTGTGTTTGATTTTTATATGGTTGCAAAAGCTTTCTAGATTTTGAATACAATCCAATAAAAATGCTTTACTGAAATTTTACGGATATTTCTAAACATGCTTATTCACCTTTTCATCACGAATGATGATGCTATTGCCTAAGCCAGAGGATTTCAACCTTCTGCTGCAGCATGACCCAATGAAACATCCTAGAGAGAAACCTCTGTGTAATATGTCAATTGTGTTTTATTGCCTGAATTGTATAAACCAGCGGTTTCACAACTTTTTTTGAAGCGACTCAAATTTGTTAGGAAATAAATTCTGTAAAATCTCGCAACGTAAGGATATGCACAAATATGGTATACGGTTGTGCGGCTTTACACAAGCAAAATGTTTGCCAAGTTTTTACATTTCCATTTTCCATATAGTATATACAATTACTACTGAGAAACATTCTAATTCCAAATAAATAATCAAATTTACCAAGGAATAAATTGACTAGCTTTTGAATCTTTGCTTAAAACAAATCGACCCGAGAGAATTTCCAAGCAACTCAGCTTTGAGTCGCGACCTATAGGTTGGGAAACACTGGCCTGAAGCATGGATTTGGTAGATTCGCAAACTGTACAAAATAAAACTGGAAACGACAGACCTGACTGTTGCGCATTCCCATAATTTACTTTGTTACAACCTGTATTTACTGATAATTCTCAAAACACAATCGTCGGTGCACAAGTAACATTTGAACGTGCATGTGCCCGTGCTTTTAAAAGATTTTTCAGTTGTAAACGTGAAAACACAAACAAAATTGTTTATATGGAAACACTATTGTTTGAGTCATAATTCTCAAGAATTGCTTATCAGACGATAATCGAAACTAGTTTTTCTACGTCATCGTCTGGTAAACATTACATAAACATTGGCCCCCGCTGCATAAATGGAAATAATTGTTTGAAAACGACGTAATCGCGGTGTTGTCCCTGTCTAGATTTGGCAGATTGGATACCGAAACCAGACATTTTGTTGTTGTTTCAATTTCAAATGTCTGGAGCTGATTTATTATAGGCCTATCAATATCTGGAATTCAAATTCATAGAACTCTTCTCGCCCACTGTGTGATAAATTGTGAAAGAAATGCCGAATAAGTGCGTTACCCGTGCTTTCGAAACAAAGTAGATTATTTGACAGGGAATTGCTTGGAGCGAGTTTGTAGGGAATATTAGTTATTTGGACAACATTTTTAATAGTATAGAAAAGGTAATGCTCTGAAAATCTCAATATGACCACTTTAAGAGACTTACCTTTTTCTACACTGTAAAAAATGTTGTCCAAATAACTAATATTGCCTCGAAGTTCTTGAAACTTGTCAACATATTATTTTTCACTTTCAGTTTGGGTTATGCGAGAATAACTTACGCAACCGTCCTTCATGCATTGAATATGTCTAGACTTACGTAGTGATTTTCAACTTGTTGTTGAGCCAGGACCCCAATGAAACATTCCAGAGACTCGAAAATTTTTATTTGAATGTATTTTATTGTCTGAATTGTATAAACTATGAACGAGAATATTGGTCAAAGACCGAAGACTTATCGATCGAAAGTTAGGGGATCCCGAAATAGAAACTGCGGTTCCGATTCATCCGCTCTTACTCCACAGCAACACCGTGTGTCCCATCACGAATTAATTAATAACTCGCTAATTATATGAGATAATTCATTCAAAATCAATAGACTTCTGTTCCGAGATATGATGAATGCACATGCAAAATTTGGAGGAGATTCAACTCTGCTTTCTCGAGATATCGCGTGCATCTAACAGACAGACAAACGCACAAACAGACAAACACACAAACACACAAACAGACAAACACACAAACAGACAAACACACAAAGACAAAACACAAACAGACAAACACACAAACAGACAAACACACAAACAGACAAACACACAAACAGACAAACACACAAACAGACAAACACACAAACAGACAAACACACAAACAGACAAACACACAAACAGACAAACAACAGACAAACACACAAACAGACAAACACACAAACAGACAAACACACAAACAGACAAACACACAAACAGACAAACACACAAACAGACAAACACACAAACAGACAAATAGCTATCAACATACTTACCGATCTTAAGATCGATAAGTAATAAATATAAAGCAAACCTGATACTGACGGAACAAAGTCATCGTTATGGTGTGGAAAGTTTAATCATACTGATAAACTCAATAGATACTTGAATTTTATTATATTTAAAAGATAAACGTATTTTAAAAGGGCCGCTCAGATTTGAATAGAAACTTGCGGCACCCCTGAACTGTGCTGGCAGAACCCTAGGGCAGGGCTACCCAACTGGCGGACTGCGGTTCGAATCTGGACCTTTCTAGTGGTAAATTCGGACCGCAGCTGCTTCTTGACATTGAATGCACCGTTTCTTTCCATCTCACAATTGTGATGTAATGCATTGTTCGATGAACTACTGAGGAAAAATTGTCATAGCAATTTAGGTTTCTAAGAGCATCGACTCACTTGTTTACTCAGCATTGGCTAATGAGAAAGACTTGCTTGGTGGCGTAAAAAGTGAAGTTTTATTGGCTTCTTGGATACATTTTCATCGGTATTATTGCTTGAAAGAAATTGTTTATTTCCTCAACTAATATATTCAGTTTTAAAAATAAATCAAGTCGATGGAAGATTTTAAAATACATATATTCACGGGTACTATGGGTGAATAGTCCACAATATCTCACGTGCGCGGCCACACAACTAAAGCGTTGTCATGCCAGCACTGAAGGGTGATATTGATCATTGTGCTTGTATTTCGTCAAACGATGCACTGAAATTTTGTTTGCATAGTTACCGGCCCCCGGCAATTTTTAAATTTTGTGTACGGACCTTTGATGGAAATAGTTGAGAAGCCCAGCCCTAACGAGCCGTGTCGCCCTGGTTGAAAACCACTATTCTAAAGTTTTGTTCGGAGTATAAATGTGAAAACTAGTCATAGTAAATACAGCAATTTTTCGTAACATAAAACTTTATTTAGACCCTAAAAACACTCGAAAACCAATGTTTTTGGCCTTAAGAGCCCGCTAGCTGTTACGGTCTACCTTGGCAATTAGAAATTCAGACCAAACTCTCTCTTGTAAATTACAATTACTACTGAGAAACATTATAATACCAAATAAATAATCAAATTTACCAAGGAATAAATTGACTAGCTTTTAAATCTTTGCTTAAAACAAATCGACGCGAGAGAATTTCCAAGCGACCCAGCTTTGAGTCGCGACTTATAGGTTGGAAACACTGGCCTGAAGCATGGACTTAGTAGATTTGAGAACTGTACAAAATAAAACTGGAAACGACCAATCTGACTGTTGCGCATTCCCAAAATGCACTTAAACTTTGTTTGCATAGTTACTGGACCCCGGTAATTTTTAAATTTTGTTTTTGTTTTTGTTAAAAATATTGTGAGAGGTGCCGTGAGAAATTCTCTAATTTGTGTGTCTATGCGATGTAGCGCCCGGCAGAGTAATCATGTGGTCGGCGCGGCTCATCGTGCTAAGCGGTAGGAATACGCTCTCCACCGCACCTCTGATTACTCTGCGTGGATTCGCCTCCCATGCGGGGATGGGTATGTGCGAGAGAATTGCTGTACTCCTCGCCGCCGTAGGGTGGTTCAAAATAACTAACTAATCAAATACCCGACATGGAATGATAACCGGACGAGAGGCCGTGGTTCGCCATTATGTTTCTCCCAGGGATAAATATGTAAATCCTATCCTCCTCCTACTGTTCTATATATATCAGAATTGGCAGCAGCAGGTGGCGATTTGTCTTTATTGAACCTTGCTAAAAAGGTAGCTATCAGTGACTAAATAGGTAGGTAGCAATAGTAGATGACTAAAAAGGTAGGTATCTGTAGTAGCCTAGATGATTAAAAGCGTAGGGGTTCGGGTACTGATACTCTAACCCTAACTCTTTGGTCATCTACTACTGATACTTACCTTTTTAGTAGGGTTAATTTTTATTTGATTACTATTCAAGATGTCCAATTCAACATCTTTCTCCAATGTTAAAAACGCTTATATTAACAATATAACACTTATACTGTGAATATTAGGTCTTTCCCCACATTTTCAGCTGGTGGTGTGCCGCGGGATTTTCTCAATGAAAAAAGTGTCTCTGGCTCGAAAAAGGTTGAAAAACACTGCCCTAGAGAACCGTGTCGCCCTGGTTGAAATCACTATTCTAAAGTCTTGTTCGGAGTATAAATGTAAAAACGGGTCATAGTAAAAACAGCAATTTTTCGTAACATGAAGCTATATTTAGACCCAAAAACACTCGAAAACCAATGTTTTCGGCTTTACGGGCCCGCTAACTGTTAAGGTCTAACTTGGCAATTAGAAATTCAGACCCCGCCCTTGTGAATTCTCTCACATTCGGATCAGCAATGCCCACTCCCATGTGTTCCTATATAGAAAAAAAAAGCTGACCTTTGGCTCCCGCCCCAGGTTAATATGTAAAAGTCCAGCTTAACAATAACTTGCTATGTGTACTTCTATTGACGTCTTGTTATCACTAATAGCCCTATATACAGAGTCCATAGTTTGTTCAAAGTATTTACGCAATTTAGTTGGAACTATTTTCAATAATAGGAAGGCTTGTTTGTTCATTTCGAAAAAAACTGCTGAATTATCATCAATTTCGGCCTGTCGAAACTGAAACCACGGTAAACCGATAAACCATCCTTGATTTCAAAAGTATTTTAGTGACGTTCAGGAAGGAGCACTTATCGGAAATGAGAAAGAGCTTGTTTGTTTAAAAATAAAACAGGTTCGAAGAAATAATGCAGTTTGTCAAAACACGGTTGACCGATTAACCATTCTTGATTTCAGCAGTGCTCCGGTGACGTTCCGGAACACGTAAACACAGTCGAAGTTAACCGCGATAAGCTAGGCACTGCACCATCGACATCTTATTAGAAATCTTCAATGAGAAATAACAAAAAACTCACATTTAATAAAAGCTGATTATAAATAAAAACAAAATATTGAAATAATATAAATTATTAAATTAAAATTAAATATTTATTTGGAAAGAACGTTGAGCTATGTGACTATGAGAGGTTACGTCAGACTCCCTCCCTACTCCCTATCGTTCGTATATGCCAGTGGTTTCCAACCGGCGGGCCCTGAGCGGGGCACAGAGGATTTGAAGGGGGCGCAAAAGTTTATTTCTCCCTTCCCGCGCTTTCCCCTAGTAAGACTCCTTTTTTCTTCCTAGTTTCATTTTTTTTCATATATCGCAAGGACCAGAATCTGGGTTTACTTCCTACGCCAGCATAGTTAAAGGCAAATTCCAATCACTGATCTGATACGACGTATCACCAAAACATCCAACTACGTCTAATCCAGCATCTCTTAACCTGGGGTAAATTTTTTCATTCTTAGGGGTAAATTTTTGCATTCTTAGGGGTACATTTTTTCATTCTTATGGATAAATTTCTTCATTCTTAGGAGTAAATTTTTGCATTCTTGGGGGTACATTTTTTCATTCTTATGGATAAATTTTTTCATTCTTAGGGGTAAATTTTTTCATTCTTATGGATAAATTTCTTCATTCTTAGGGGTACATTTTTTCATTCTTATGGATAAATTTTTTCATTCTTATGGATAAATTTCTTCATTCTTAGGGGTAAATTTTTGCTTTCTTAGGGGTACATTTTTTCATTCTTATGGATAAATTTTTTCATTCTTAGGGGTACATTTTTTCATTCTTATGGATAAATTTCTTCATTCTTAGGGGTAAATTTTTGCATTCTTAGGGGTACATTTTTTCATTGTTAGGGGTAAATTTTATCATTCTTATAAATAAATTTCTTCATTCTTATGGGTAAATTTCTTCATTCTTAGGGGTAAATTTTTTCATTCTTAGGGGTAAATTTTTTCATTCTTAGGGGTACATTTTTTCATTCTTATGGATAAATTTTTTCATTCTTGGGGTACATTTTTTCATTCTTATGGATAAATTTTTTCATTCTCAGGGGTAAATTTTTTCATTCTTAGGGGTACATTTTTTCATTCTTAGGGGGAAAATTTTTTCATTCTTAGGGGTAAATTTTATCATTCTTATGAATAAATTTTTTCATTCTCAGGGGTAAACTTCTTCATTCGTAAGCTAAATTTCGTTATTGTGCAAAATCTGGAAGGATCTGCTAAGGTGTCACTTATTCGAAAGAATCGTTCAAGACAAGCATCACCTTCTCAACTTATTTACACCATGAGTAAGAAGTGGGTACTATACCAGTGTAGTTAAATGCAAGATTCCAATTACTGAGCTAATACGGCGTACCACCAAAAAGTTCCTCTCCGCCAGATTCCTCTCCCGTATATCACAATTTAAAGCCCCAAAAAGACCCCCGCAAACGAGTTTTGAATACAAAATAAATCTATTTTTAACGTGTGTTATTTCACAGATTGAATACTTATTATAAAATGAACGAAATGTTCCTAAAAACTAAGAAAACAACAAAAAATATAAATGAAATATTCCTAAAAACTAAAAAACACCAAAAATTTCATGGATTCGATCAATCTTCTTCCCATGGGTCTCTCCTGTACATGAGTTCGCTCTGATATTTGCTCATGTGAGATGGGAACGGGGGTCGAAGGAGTTCTCTACGCGGTGCAGCGGTTGTTTTCACGACAACGTATCTGAGAAACAGAAAAGTATGTCAAAAATTCATTTGTGACTTTGACGCTAATATCGCGGGATAGCTTTGTGCAACTTCGGAGTACTGGAGAAATTGACTCCGGTTATGTTTTTTGATTTCGGTCAATCGAAATGCTAACAATTTTGATTTCTCACTAATCAGACTAACACCGATTCCGGCAAAAAAATTAATTCCGACTACTAAAAACTCTGACTCCGGATTTGATTCCAAATCAGCGCAAAATTAGACTCCAACCACGCTAAAATGAATAAATCGATCTCGACTTAATGAAAAATTCTGATTAAAAAACAAATTGAATCCGACTTGATAAAATTTCAAGTGCTTTACGAGGTAGTTCAGTTGTCTTCACGACAATATATCTAGCAAAATATATTTAAAAAAGTTTACTAACGACCGATGCGCATGGATGAGTGTGTGAGAAAGATTTTAACAAACTTCGGTATACTCGAAAAATTTACTCCGTCATCGTTTCTCGATTTCGGGTAATCGAAATGCTTATAGCGATTTCTTTGGCAAAAAATGTAACTTCAAATATAGACTCCGGTTAAAAAATTCTTGACTCCGGCTCCGGTTTACTCAAGAATTACGATCCTGTTCGGGTTTGAGCGGAATATAACTAAGATAAAATCTTGACTCCGACTCGACCGAACTTTTCTGTAGGTGCGTTTATCTGTAAATCGGAAAATTATGTAGAAAATTTATTTAGCAACTTTGGCACCGAGATCACGGGAATGTTTTATCTAGCTGCGGATTACTCGACAATGTGTCTGGAAACCTCAATTTGCCAACTTTTGCCTCCAACTCCAGTTCAATATTCCAAGCAGTTATAATTAGAATTCTCGTATTTTGGAAATTTGGAAATATTTTGGCTATCACATAAGCCCATACAACACGCGTTCGCGCTATTTCTACCTACCCTCTCTTTTCGCCGTGGTTCAGTCTCTCTCTCTTCTCAAGAAATAAGCTTTCATCGTGAGGGCCCGGGTAGATTCCGGCTTGCTTTGCGTTCTGTATTACGAAAATAAAAAATAAAAAAGTAAGAAAACTGGTAATGCTCCCAATTTGGCTTGGGTGAATGCTTGATGTGGCCAACTGATAAATGCGCACTCAAAATATCATACTCGTAGTGCGAAGGCTGTCAGCATTGCGAAATACTGATCGATGTATTATTTGAATTCAATCAACAGTATAGTGTTTTAGGTAATTTCTACTGGGTAATAAACTTAATTCTATAATTTTGTAACCAAGATCTTCTGCACATGAAAATTCCCGTTGTCATCGATAAGGATTCGAAACCATAGTTGGTATTTTTCAAAATTAGAATTGGAAAATTATTCCAAGTTTTTTGGGGATTTTTAGTTATTTACGATAGTGAAGGTAATCATCCAAGATATGAGAGAATCCCGAATATGCCCGGGTAGATTCCGGCTTGATTCGGGCTGTGAATTGTCAATGAGAATGAAATGAAAAGGGTTCCCCCGTAGTATGTGAACCAAGATGGCGGACACCGAAACGTAGTATGTGCCCCAGATTAGGGTTGGGCCATGATTTCAGGTACAAATACCACGAGAGTCACTTGGCTATTCCCAAACTCGTACCAGAACTAAAATAATGAAAATTGAAAACATACTACGTTCCGGGTCCGACATCTTGATTCACATACTACGGGGGAACCGTTAAAAGTAATCGAATAGTAGAGCTGAAGTTATGTAGCGTAATTCGCATCTCATAGCATAGATGAGCCTCCTTTACTTCTGAGTGAGTGCGCGGTAATGCGTTATTCTTATATATTTACTATTGTTATAATACGTATTTATGGATTTAATATAAACTATTCAAATTGTACAAGATCCAGAGTGCGAGTTGTGCGCAACACTAGCTAAGGGCCCTTTAATAAATTGAACAAATATCGTGGAGAAAGTTTCATGACTACTGGGGAAAGAACGAAGCTACTCAAATTGGCAAAAAAGGAAAGTTACTACGTTTAACTGCCCTACCTTTATCAGTCTGGTCCTGTTGACCATGTCTGTTTTCCACTCTGGTACGTATCGCTTTGGTATGATGGGATGAAGCCGTGAGAACGAGGGCATGTGTTGGATGATATGGGCCCGTTGGGTGCTGAAAATAAGAATAGTAAGCATTGTTGGAATTTGAATTGCGGGATGATAAAAAGATTCCAAATGCAAAGGGAGGAATATATAAGAAAGGCTCAAGACTCTAACATAGCCGCCATCAACGCAAGAGTCAAACTAAGCGCTAAATATCTTCATTTCTGGGCAGTAATTCAAAAAAATGTTTGAATTTAAAATCCATTTCGGGACTTTGCCTTATATCTAGACTATTATCGCAAACTTACTTTGAATCGTCATTTTTCGTCTCAGGATTTACAGGTTTTTCTTGGCTATCCATATTTTCCCTACTTTTACGCTTTATTAACTCAAGAATGGTAAGTTTTTGTCATTTTTAGAAAATTCATAACCTTGATATGTGACGTCACAATACTGCTTTAATAATGACTTTCTATCGTTTCAAATGATTGTTAATTTCGTTCGTCGAAGAAGCCTTACTGGTGAGTCGATTTTGTCTATTTTGCTTTTTATAAAAATGACGTCATCGCATGATGACGTCAGTACCTAGTAATACCGAGAACTGCGCTACAGGAAATTTACATCATAATATTTAGAAAATTTTAGATCGTGATAAAATATATATTTACTTACACTTCTGTTTGTACTTGTGCATTTGTCTTCGCCATGGTGATAGTGTTGATGACGTAATAGAAATTGAATTAATTTCTGAAAAAATGATTGCATGTTCTACATTGCTATTCATATAATTAAATAGATAGATTTCTTTGAGGGGTCAAATGACAAGCGACTTGGCATCAGTCTAAATTGTTGCGCTTATTTCACTCATTGAATCAATTTTTTAAATGAAAATCAGCCTCGACGCCTAAATAACCTAAAAATCTTCCGAAGCGAGAATATCTTTGGAATCTTCCAGAGCGAGTCTTTGAAGTAGGTAGCTGGTCAGTTGCCCGGGGTTACCACCAGAGCAGATCATCTTAAACCTGTCGCTGGGCGAGATTTCTTGAAGTAAAAAAAATCTTTGAGATATTGGCAATTTTATGCCCTAGGTCCCTCTTCCAGTCCCATGTACTCAAAGTTTTTACACCCTGGAACCCCCTTTTTTTTCAACTAACTGTATATACTGTCACAGTGCTGTGTGGAAGTGCTACTTAATACACACTATTTCAGTCATGTCTATTATTGACCTATCATAACGTAGCAGACTTAAACAGAAGCTACGCTTATGAAGGGGTACACATCACACAACTGTGCATAGGCCAGTGGTTCTGAACCTTTTTTTCAAGCGACCTTAAATTTAAAAAAAATAAATTTTGTAAAATCTCGCGAGATAAGTATATGCTCAAATACTAGGAGATATGTAGTGCTTATGCCGTAAATGGTCACAAAATTAACTGGCTGACTAATAACAGCAGGTGTCAAGATTTTACGCTGTGATACTTGTCACATATACAATTACTGTTGAGCGACACTTCAATACAAATATAAAATAAGCAATAAAATTTACTAGAAAATAGAAGCAGTAACTTATAAGTTTTTTTGAAAGAACAAGCGACAAGAAAATTTTTAGGCGAGCCATAGGTGGGAAACACTGCCTCAGCATCTTGTTCATGTATTCCTTCTGTTATATTGTTTATTCATCTTACACAAGCTGCTACATTTTAAAACAAAAACATACATAAATACAAGCTAAACTGCGAAGCCAACATTGTTAGCATCTCACCACTCGACCATCTACATCCATCTGAAATTAATAACTCATAAATTCAAGTCAATTCTATGCTTAATTTTGAACAGTTTTTCATATTATTATAACCTTTTCTGTCTGAAATATTTCATTCCTAACTCTCCCACTTCGTGCACTTTAATACTTTAGAACGGGTTTAATCGTAATATGACACCGCGCATTGTGTCGTCGATGGTCCTCCTTTATTACGCGACAAAGGAACGCTTGTTACCGAACAAAGAACTTTAAATTGTTAAACACTTAACTCGCGTAAGGCCGCAACTATACAAATGTTCAAATATAATAAAACTCCTAACTTTGGGCCATGCCAACTCGAATTAAGAGACCTGGTTGATTGTTGTTGTGTAGCATCTTTTGCGCCATTAATCAATTCGAATTAACAAATTTGCAAAATTACCAAATAAATAATTGTACAAATAAATTAAATATAATAAGTTAATAATTCTAAATATTTCTGCTCATAGACGAAACAATAATTCAATAACGTCCATGTTACTAAGCACTTCTTTCAAAGTCAGTTCTAATTTGGTTTCCTAGTTTAGCATGACTTGAATTCCCTGATGATTATATTGCAGTAGTGGGTTAGGTCGTTTTATTTTCTTCACCCAGAGCAAGGCTTTGTACGATGAATCACTGATATGTGGAGAGCTACTATCTCTGAATGGTTTAGAATATTTCCGCTTCAGCATTACCTACTTATACAATCACGCTTTGGGTGAGGTGTTGAACATAAAGTTTAACGGTGTCACTTTGGTGTGCGATCTCATAAGATTCAGTTCCTAACGCTAACTTGAATCACCGAAATCACATAACCGCCGAGATCGCATACCAAAGTAACACCCCTGCGATGACAACATAGATGGGCTAACTCTCGGCCCATTGGTTAGTTGCGAGCAGGTTTTTCGAGCCGGAGAAGTGATAGCTGGAACCATATTCTCAAATATTCACCAGAGTTCAAAGTTCAAATCGTAGTTTTAAACACACAAAACTTCCATCAAAAAGGAATTCAAGTGCTAAAGTTTCCGGGTCAAACTTGTCCTATCGCGGAGTCGTGTTAAAAATTTAAATAAAGTTGTTTCCCAAGAACATCTCTTTTCTATCGTATTGTTTCCCTTACAGCAGGGGTGTGCAAACTGCGGCCCGCGGGCCAAATGCGACCCGCAAGAAAATATTGTGCGGCCTGCAGCGAAGTTTAACCCTCGAATGGTGTGCCCACGAAACGAGTTATTCTAGTACGTTATTCTGATTAGTTTAGTTATTCTGGTACGTGCGAGCAATTCCAATTCCTTTGCGTCGCAAAGTCTATACTAGTACCCGAGTGCCACTGTAATATTAGCAAAACTAGCTGGCAAAAACTTCAACTACTTTAACTTTAACTACTAGAAATGATACCTTGAATAAAAGTGCGACCCGCGGCTCCACCCAATTACTTGAATCTGGCGCTCCCGTAATAAAAATTGCACACCCCTGCCTTACAGGATTACTTGAATTGTTTCAAGTACGTTATGTGATGACATTTCTGTATTGAGCTTGGACCAATCGCACTAATAGTGTCCTTTATACAAGTGTTAACCATTTCAATGACTGCACGTATATTTTAGTTGATTTTTTCAATTTTTGAGTGTTTATATAATTTAATGTGCGAACATTCAGCTACCGTGAAAAGCGGGTTAATTTCTCGCCTGTCTTTATGGCATCACAATGGAGGCTTTTAAAATTCCTCAGCAAATATTAGTTTAGTAAAGATTGTTCGCTGTCCAAAAAGTGACAAAAAGTGACCTGTAAATTTGGGTTACTCAAAACCATGGGAAGTAAATGTATGCTATGCATTGGCGCTGATGAATTTGTATAGAAAACCCTCCGCATAAGACGAGTCTGAATAATTTTGTGAGTCGTAGCTCTTGACCCCTCAGTTATCGCGCTTAACTTCGCTCAGATATGTTTGAATGAACTCTCAGAGTGAATGCACCACTATGATTACATGTAGTGCATTTTTTATGTTTCCTGGCTTTTTCGTGTTTAGTTGCTAGTAACCTGCTCTGAGCTTCCCTAACTTAAGGCGTGCGTCACTTTCTTTTGAGAGAATTTTTTTTGAAAAAAATATATTTTTAAAAGCAAAAATCCACTCAGTTTTTACTCAGATTTACTCAGACTTCGGAACCTTATCTGAAGTTGCGGAAATCTGGGATAATAAAATTCCAAGCACCTACTGACTAATAACACTATCAATAACTATAATGAAATTGTCTCAAAGCAAGAAGAAATGAATTTTATATAACGAGTTTCTTAACAGTATCAATTCTCCCTTCGCCTTTAGCAAACATAGAAGGCGCCATAATGGCTTCAGGGAAACCTTGTGTAAATGCTGGAAAATGTCATACAGTAAACAAATCCGTGGGATTAACTCGGATTTTTGAGTCGGAGAGCGACTGTTGGGGTATGTACCAATGCAAATACGGATTAGGGTCAGAAGCCATCATTTAATTCCGATTTTCCCCAAAATTTCCGGTTGAAATGAGAATATTTTAGTTCTGTTACGAGTTCGGGGACTGTCTGTGTTAGCCAATTGAATATTATGTCCATAGCAATCAGTCCCTTTACACAACTTGATGTAAAGTAGGCGATTACCTCCGAAATTAGTTACCTCCATATTGATACATACACTCCTGGAGCGCCACCGTTAGCGCTCAAGAAATTTGAATTTACTTATGTGGAGTTCACTGCTTCGTAGCATGCTGTCCTAGCATGATTTAAACTAATCGGGTCTCAAGCTAATCGGCATTTGCAGGCGTGGTATTATATGCTATAATTCTTCATCATTATCTCTGTGTCTCTTGATATCTCAGTTGTCGCACGTAACTTGAATCAGAGATGAGTCTCTTTGAATTCTCATCCCGTGACCTTACTGCAATTCTTTATAAAAGTAGGCCCGTGAGTGTGGTTGAGTTTTAGACCATGTTTGAATGCAAGTTTGCGGTGAATCAGTCCCGATGTGGATGCAAATATTTTCTACGACATCTCGTCGCTACGATTTACCGGGGTTCACAGTGGATAAAATGCCTGTATACACCTTGGGTTAGATAGAAAGTTAACCAGCATACGTACCCTGCTGCTATCCCGCTAATCCGCCGCCATTAGTTTTAAAATCTCCTTTATTTAATTCTTTATATCCTTGATTAGTTTACCACTTTTTTTTGTTTATCTTGGTAGCAACAAAAGGTTGCGGTTAACCATGTGATTAAGTGGTCTTATCAGATCCTTTCTTATATCATTATCGCGTCACAATTTTTCTCGTACTCAATAACCTTTGCCTCGGTCAGTCCATCAAACGAGATTTATCTTTGGCCCATGCCTATTCTCATATATTAAATAGGAAATTAAAGGTATCTCAATTACTATGAAATTCCAGTGGAGGTGTAATATTTTTTACATTTAAAGTGGTTTATTGTTGGTGTGATCGCTATTCAAATAGTGCTGGTAGCGTCGCAGATATCACCTTAGAGTTCTTTTCATTGATAATAATTCGGCTTATAATATTGTGTCAACCGAGACCATTTTTATGCAAAGAGATCCCGCTCCTGAGTTCACGGCTAAGGAAGAGGTTTTTACATACGAATTGTCACCAATGAGAATTCGTAGGTTGTGGACGTATAGGTAGTGTCGTTTATCTTCTTTTAATTCCATCTTGCAAAGTTCCGAGCAATGAGAAGAGTATTGAAAAACTATGGTTAAGCTGTCGCCATCTCTCTCTATATATATAGTTACGGGACCTTACTTTGAGCAAACTTTCAATACTACTATCAGTACTCTTTCCACTTTTAGTTCAGTACAAAGTGCAAAATCACAATTAAAGTAACTCGAATTTACGACATTTTGCTTCCAACTCTCTTAATGGTTAAATTTTGACAAATATCACCTAGAATTAGCACAGGGTCTATGGAAGTGCGAGTCCCACTTCGGACGCATTGGCCCGAGGCTGCCATGTGACCTGGGACCCTGTTTAACGCAAATTTGCATACATGTCCTTAACGCATCACTGGTCAGGTAAAACTGTACTATCAGTACTTTTTCAGCACTAGATGAGAGCTTGAGACCGTTTTTAAATTACCTTTGATGAATAAACTAGCAACATAATATCTAATTAGTTAGACCTTGAAAGCTTTCAAGCAAAAATGGAGGACAGAGCCAGATCGGCATATTTTGCGTGAGTATACTGCATGTTGCGATGCATGCACTAACTTTCATTCTCTGGAGTGTTGCATGCATAGAGCCTTGTAAAGATAGATCTCCTTTACTTTGAATGAGTGCGCGTGATGCACCACCATAATTCTATACTGTTCTGACTGTAATGTATTTATCTATTTGCTTTCATTTGTTGGCTTTGCTATTATCAAACGCGGCGCATAAAATAACTATAATGAAAACGCGTTAAATATAAAAACTTGGTATTTTTTTTAGATAAGAAGGAGCCTCAAATATTGAGTGGCGTTTGGCGTCTGGCCATGCAGTATGTTCCCCAGGTTTTTATTTTAGGGGGAGTGTTTCCAAATTGAGGGGGTTGTAGATATTTTGTTATTAGTGATAATAATACTTGTAACTTATAAAAATATGTTGATCTGATCATTTTCAACGTCATATGAGCCACTTTCTGAATATTCAAATACAATTTTATTGGCGCTAGGAATTAAAGTATGGCGTCACACATGAAAATCAGGGGGAGATTTTAAGGGATGCGGGGAAATCACTGGGTCAGTGGACGTTTTCAGAACCTCTGTTTTAATATCTTATGAACACTCTGGCGTGGATACTATATTTCGGCGTCTCAGTCTGGCCCATTCATAGCCTGTGATAACAACTGATTTATCCTCGAGATCATTTTTGAATTCCTGAAGTCACGTGACGGCTGGTAGCTCGGCGACTTGATCACGTGATTTCTTTTATTCAAAGAAAAACAAACAAAGGAATAATAGCACTTCTGTGACGTAATATAGGATATTGTAAGGACATTTTCAGACTATTATTATCGAATAATAGGGACATTATTTCGACACTATAGATCGTGTGTCGTGATCATTATTTGCTAATAAACAAGGTGCTTAATGAGAAGTTGTTAAAAGTATTTACTATTATTAGTTCAGCACGTGGATAATTTGAAATTCCGTTTTGTGCAGAGAAAGCAAATGTGCAAGAAGCAGCAGGGCTTGATAAACATACTCGATAAAGGTTGCAAGACATGCGTGTGATTGCATTTTGGTGATGTTAGAAATTGCAATAATGGAAGGGCTGAATCCTAGTCGAAACATGCCCGATATTTTACGAGATTTGACTCGAATCAGTTTGGTAAATGAATCGTATCAAGTTATGGAAATTGACAGTGGCTTGGGCCCTATAAAATAGCCTTATGGCAAAGTATTGAAAAATCTGTGAGCGAGTGAACATTGAGAATAATATTATTAGGAAATGGTGTTCCAATTTTGAATTGAAAGTCGGTGAATTAGAATGTATAATCGTATTCTGGTCTTTTTCAGTCTTACAGTTTTGGATAATTTAATTTTTTGGACTAAAAATGGCTTCTATGTCCGACATTGTTGCTTTAAAGCGAATTGATATGGAAGTTATGAGTCGAGAAAGGTTTGATTTAGTTGTTGTGCTGGAAACGATTTTACATACGCTATGACTGCTCGTCATTTAGTCTTTTAGTCACTTTTATGCCTTCTGCAGTAGCTTATCTAGGGTATGGCAGCCGTGGCTCGTGTCATGGTCGCCGTTAGGAAAAGGGCGCAAAAGGGAGAATAGTTTTAATCGTGGAATGTTTTAATAAAATAATTTCAAACTCATATTCTTACTCAAATAATTAGGTAGTATATCCATTCAACAGCACTTCTTAAAAATTGTCAGTCAACAATCAAGGGTGTGAAATTTTAGATTTGCCATGGGCGCCATTTAACGTGGATACGTCACTGGCTTGTGCGTCATTTCCTTTGGCGTAAATCTTTTACTCGTAGTTTCGTATATATCGCAATACACGACATACCTCTCTTATCTATACACTTCAGACCGCCAGTTAATCATATAAAGGAAAAGTTCTCTACCCATCTCAACTCATCGAATATCTTTGTATCTCGAATGGGCGCTCTACTTCGCTCGACTTAATTGCCCCTTTTAGGCCTGCAATGTTAATGTACATTGCTTGTTAACTATGTGATATCCTAAGATTCCCATCGATCTAGTAATACTTCTACGGGTGCTGAAGGGCAGGATGCAACAACCCTATAGGATAGGGGACTGCCTTCACTTATGGGCACTCACTCAGAAGTAAAGGAGACTCATCTGTGAGCAAAGTTACGGGCACTCACTCATAAGTAAAGGAGACTCATCTGTGAGCAAAGTTATGGGCACTCACTCTGAAGTCAAGGAGACTCATCTCTAAGCAAAGTTACGAGCACTCACTCAGAAGTAAAAGCGACTCCTCTCTGAGCAGAATTACGGACGACCAATGATGAGCCAAGAGCTATATAAAACTACAGTGATGCATTACGCAACAAAAATTACTGATCGGAGTGAGTGATTAATTCACTCAAATCTTTTTATTCACAGGCGTCACCGACCAACGATATCAGGGGGCGCTATGATTCCAATCACACCCAGACTCGTGACCTGGAATGTCAACAACGAACGACCAAACGTTTATTTTCCGAATATTGTGAGTTATTTATTGAAAAAATATTTGAGCTAACATCTTTGGTTGAGTTAGGATAGTGGTTTTCAGTCGGGATACTGTGGAACTGCAGGGTACCGCCAGCGCAGTTCAGGTGTTCCGCATGTTTCCATTGCAATCTGAGAGTCTATATTATTAAACGTGTATTAAAAAATATATATTAAAATGCATGAGAGTGATATGGTCATAGGCCAATAATGAGTGAGTTTCTCAAATATAGTGAGTGTTTCATTGTTAAAAGTTAAAAATTCGATAAAAAAATATTCTAATTGAAGAAATTTTCTATTCTGGTATTACCCCACCACTATGTTTTATCTCTTTTCTTTGATTCTATTCACCGTGTTTTAAGATACGTCAGAAGAACAGGAAACAACTTATTCAAATCTAAACTAGATAAGAATTTCGCGGCGTGTAAATAACATAGTTGCACCCTAACTTAACACAACCTAAAATAAACAGGATTAAAAAACTTGTGGAGGGAAATATCAAAATAATAAATTCTATGTGTACTCCTGGAGTATGCGAACCAAGATGGCGGCCATCAGAACGTAGTATGTGTACCAGAATAGGGTTAGGCCATATTTTTTTTATTTCAATTCTCCTTATTTTAGTTCTATAACGAGTTCGGGGACTAGCCCAGTGACTCCTGTAATAATCGTTCTTGAAAGTATGACCTAACCCTAACCTGGTAATCTGGCCATCTTGGTACGCATACTTCAGGAGCGCCATTTTATGTGTATGAAATATGTATCTCATATATTTGAGGAAATTGAAGTCAAAGACGCCTAAATTTTAATGCGATCTACTCGACATCAAATACTATTTCCAGCCTGGTATAGAAATACTTCCAGTACCCATTCCCGTTGTATTCTATGTCATGAGATTATTTCAACTATAAAAAATTAAGACTAAAAATGGCGGATTTGTAATCGGCATGAACTAAACATGGCGATTTATTTTTCAGAACAGAAGTTACATCTCCGACTTGACCTACGTTCCGGGTCATTTCATCAACAGACGAACCCATAAGAACAGCGTCAACAGAGAGGCCTCATGGTCTCCCTACACAACGGAGAAAAGAGAAGTTCTAATAGAAGCCCCGGCCGGTGAGTTAGTTCTAGAATAAAACTTTATTTGGCTTTTCATATTTATCCCGGGGCAAATGAAAGCCGATAAAGCGCCACAGCCGCTTGTTCGGTTACCATAACATGTCGAGTATGGAAATAGTTAGTTATTTGTTTCAGATGCATGGGCTTGATGGTGGAGGAAGCCGTAACTGACCATCTGTTACGTGAAAAACCATCCCCTGACGGGGAGGAGACCAGCAATCCTCTCGCACATAATTATCCCCCACGGGACTCGAATTCACACCACGTAGGTAGGGTAATCAGTTGTGCAATGGCAAACGTGCTCCTACAGCAAAGCGCGAGTCGCTGAAATCGATCCAACTTCGGCTTCGGATCTAGAACCCAACTCCATGATCACTAGCTCGCCAGGGTGTAATAAATTGTGAAGGCAATGCCCGACAGGAGAAATCCCAGTCCTTCCATAAATAAAATCCCTCACGTATGAGTGTCAACTTGTACATGGCCACATTGGGAGTGAGGATAACTAAACCTCTCATAAACTAATCTCTATCCATATTTTCACTTATCTGTTGTTCTCTTCATGATTGTGTATTTTAAATTTATTTTTTTAAACTGTTCCTCAGCTATATTTGCTGCTCAAATTCAGCAATAAGTTGTCATTAACTGGATGACTCACCGAGTCTTTCGCGACCTCTCATAAATTGCTAGATTCAATGTTTTCCGAGTTTGTTTTTAATATTTTTGTGTGTGTTCATTGTTTTATTTGTTTTTGTGCGATGAAAATAAATATCTGAATCTCTATCTCTCTCATTCCAGTGACAGAGGAACTCGAATCCGAATTGAGTGACAGAGGCGACGCCTTGACCGACTCTGTTCATCATCCAGAACTTAAAATTGCGCGACCACTCGGCCTTCTTAAGAGAGAATACAAGCATCCACTGTCCATGTATGAACACGCTTTAAATGGAACGTTCTCCAGGTAACCACAGCCACACATGTTCGATAGCTTCTGTAACAGAAACCTCCTTGGCATTACTCGGCGAATTTGGGCGTTGTATCTCGGATAAAAAATGGTAATAAACCTGTAAGGCAATGCCAACCGCCAAAATTCCGGTTCTCTAATATACAGTGGCTCCTGTGAGTGTTAGTATACAGCAGTGGTTCTCAACCTTTTATGACTCGTGGCCCCCTTTCGGAGGCTTTTAGCACTCGTGGCCCCCACTTTATTATTCCAGAGGTATTAATAGGGTTATTTTCATTGATAGATTCCAAATCCCATTATGTTAAAACAATTTGCACAAAAGAGAGCGAAAACACCCTGCGAAATAACCTTGTTGAGCAGCAAACTAGGAAAAACTGTGAGATTTCTTTTAAAGTGAAAAGTAAATTCAGATTTCAGCCCATCCTTGTGGCCCCCCTCCAACTCCTCTGTGGCCCCCTTAGGGGGCCGAGGGCCCCCGGTTGAGAACCGCTGGTATACAGCTTTCTCAATTCGGAAAATAAGTGTCAAAAAATCATTTTTGGAAGGTTCGAAATCAAGCGGTTGGCGGGGAATATGAACTTGAGATTTTTACCCAGCAATGCCATCATAGCAGGGGCGTAACAACCTATTTTAGCGCTTTAACCCAGCGTGGTCAAAACCAAGGTCCGCGGGCCACATGTGGCCCGTCGACTCATTATCTGTAGCCCGCGTCGCATTTGCGAGAGGGTGAACAAAAACGCATTTGGTGTTGTTTGCCTTTCCATATTTTTAGTCTGGAATATATGCCAACAAATAAGACTTTATAAAAAACTAAAAATCAAATAGGTAATCTATTAGCCCAGGTCGACTATACTTGATAACTATATATTAATTATGGCAGAACAATACAACTACCGCCGGGTATTTTTTTTTGCAGCTATATTAAACAGTATTACAAAAAATGCTGCGTATATATGTCAGAAAATTTAGTAATTACCCTCCTGTATTTCAAACTTGGTAAAATTTAGTAATCAATCAACCTGCAGTTATTTTGCAAACATGAGTTTGAAAAGAAAGCTGACCGATTTAAGCAGATTTTTGACTGGATATGGGAGGAAAATACCACAATGCTTGCTTAATATGTCTGCAAGTTGTGTTGCTGACAATCTAAAACTGCCTTTCTCTATATGACACCTTTTCCGTTATAAAGAGTTTGAAATCTTACACTAAAATGTAGACAGAGTAAAATTTTTACACGTTTTCGTGAGTTTTTTGCATGTTTTAGCTTGATGAATGACAAATATTGATCAATGTGTTCGGATAATAAAGTGTTTGTTCTGTATTGTACTGTTTACCAATTTTTGGCCCGTGAACATTACAAAAATAATAATGTGGCCCGCGAGGACGACAACCTTGGACCCCCATGCTCTAACCACTTAGACAAGATATTGATTTAATTACATTGTATTTAGATACTCTCGACACGTCCAGTCAAGCGGGGGCCCAGACCCCATAATCCCGCGACAATATTACAGGAAGAATGCGCCATATGGAGTTTATTTGTATGCAGAGAGACCACAGACGGCTGGCAAAGATTGGGGTAAGGAAGCGATGTTCATTTTACATGTTTCACCGGCAAATTTCTTCATTGAAATATTTTCGTTCATAAAAACTCTTAATTAAACAAGCTTAAAATATGTGCTATCTATTGGGTTTCTACGGGACCGACTACTAATCCTTTTTCATTGCTATGCAAGGATGCTGTGGCAAGAGTAAAAGTAACTATTTCAAGTGATTCAAGGGTCCTGTTACGAACTAACACAAATATAGTTTTTAAACATTTCGTCTAACCGAAATCAGACATTATCAGTCAAACACAATTCAACCATCTAAAAATTTACGAAATATATAGATGGAAGGAATTTTCAAAACCCAACCTTGGAAAGTTCCGCCATGAAAATTCTTTCATAGAATATCAGACAAATCCAACCCTAACCTGACCTGAGCGACTTTTTGAAATTGATCCGCCCTGTGATGTCATAATTTCAGACTTGTTGCAGATTTTTTGTTTTGTTGGGGGGGGGATTATTTTAACACAGTTTTCTATACAGACATAATTTTCGAGTCTCTTTTGCTACGGCCATAATGCTTTTAACAGAGACGAGATGCATGTACGAAACCTTACTGGCCTGGGTCACAGGGTGCGACATGCACCCCTATACATAAAATGAAGAAATGGGTTCTGGTAAGAAAAATGCGGGAGTGTAGGGTGTATAATACACAGATCGCCAGTGGCGGAATTTACGAACAATAGGTTTCCTCATTCCAAGAAATGTATGCCGAACTTAACACTTTACCAATGGAGAGACCTAACATAGGATTTTATGCTTATAACAACCCAAACATCATATCCTGTCTAAGCTACATTAACACGACACACATACATCTATCACATAGCTATATTAAATTGGAATCTTTGTTTTTCAGTCATGAATCGGTGGCGAATGTGGAGCGGCGGAAGTTCATCGAGTCCACAATGATGACGTCATAAATTGATGACGTAATATGTTTATTTCACAAAGGAAATGAAAGCAATACCAACACTTTTTAGTTTTTTTCATTATTTATTGCCATATCACGCACTTTTGCACTTACTGAATAAAACTAAACAAATGATGTGGGGGTTCAAGTTTATTTTACGGTTTTTCTTAAGAGGATTTGCTCAAGGTGAAGTCATTCGCACTTACTCGAAAGTGAATTGGAGTGAATTTTACATAACTGGAGTACATCCCCGCATCTGATCGCGCAACGATTTGTAACTGCATAGATAGGGCTGTCGTATTTTCTGATTATAAGACGCACAGCATTATAGAAAAAATAGGTTCTGATTCCCAGCGTATCTACATATTAACACGACAAAAAAACACGTAATAAGAGGCGTGCCAAACTTTTCTGCTGCCCAGGGCGAGTTTCTGATAATGATGTAAAGGTGACAGCACATTTGAACCCAGGTACATTTGAGCCCATACATTTTCACCCGTATATCCACGGGTTCAATCTATATGCGGGTGCTAAATTCCAGGGGTTAGGGTTAGTATGGGTTCACCTATTCGTAGGTGCAAATTTCCATAGGTACACAATAGTATACAGGTGCAATTATCGTGGGTTTAAATGTAATGAAACCAATTCAGAGGATAAACAAATTATATTAATGTTATTCTTGAGAACAAATAAATTAAAAGTAAAGAAAGAGTGAAATGATTAAATTATTATTTTTGAAACATCAAATTAAGCTACAAACTAACATGTATAAGATCAAACACATTATCTGCTGCCTCGTACAACGTACTGACCGGACGGCTGCACCTTCCCTGCATAACATGGTAAAAATAGTTTCATCAGATGTCACGCAGTGGTGCTATAAAGATCCAAGTCCTGATATTCGTAATGAGGAGGCCTCTAGTTCTCAGGCCCACGTGTTATTAATGAAGATAAATGACTTTAACTAAAAGATTGGTTGACACGGCCACGCAGGTAGTAATGCTTCGACGTAATGTTTTTTTTTTGTATATATATATTTATAGTCCGTGCATGTCGGACAAAAAGGCAATTAATCAATTACACAGTAGTTCTCGAGCCTTTGAATGGTTACATTGAGCTCCGTTCCACCAAAAAGGTTGAAAACCAATGGCACCGAGACAAGTCTACCAAAGATAACGTTTGAGCAATTTAGTCTGGTTGGGTACGAAAAAGCAGTCAAAGAGACAATGCGTTGCATGAGAAATCAGCGCTTACCCCAGCCAGGTGGAAGCAACGGCCATAGAACGGGAATCCACATCCAACCAAAGCCTATCAGCTGGGGTTACGAGAGACTACTAGGGCTGGGCATTTTCGAATACTTGATGGTTTCACAATCGAATCGAATATATTTTTTTAATACTAAGAAGATATGAAGTTGTATGACTGTTTTATTGTAATGTATCCTCCAATCATAGAAATTTGTGATAACACGTAATCCAGCTTTCAGACACGCGGCGCATGATGGCGGCGATACGAAATTCCCGTCTAAACGGATTCGAATAACTTACTATTCGATATAAAATTCCAAGCCCTATTGACTACCTTTTCTTTGCTATATGCTTTTGCACAAGTGAATCCGCATAATTCAGTGACACCGTAGCAAGAGTAACAATGGCTATTCTAAATGATTCAATAGTCTTGCTGCACAATACCACGAATGTATTTCTGTACGTTTTGCCTGAACGATACAGAAATATATTTTTGTCAGCGCGAAGCGAGACTCTTGATATAAACAAGAGAGCAATGCTCAAATTTATGAACACGAAAGTCGATTAATATCAAATCTTTTACAGTGTCGGCAGTCTAACCACCGGATCATTAAGATCACGGAACCACGGCACGCAATTTTTAATCTTGATGACGTCATGACACAAAATTTCGAAGTGAAAATGAATCACATAGAGCTAACAAAAATTTTTGAAATAAATAAAAGTAATAGCCTTCTAGCGAAAAATACAATCTTCATCTACTGAAACAAGAGTTTTAAGCATGCGATTTTTTTCCTTACAACAACATAAAAACGAAACGATTCATCGGCACAGCTCGTGTTCAATATACCAAACAACTGTGGACTTTCAAGACTCGGGAACTTCAAACATCATAAACTTGAGTACTGAAGTGCGGTGACCGTACATTTGAACCCACGTACATTTGAACCCATGCGTATATCCACGGGTTCAATCTATATGCGGGTGCTAAAACCCATGGGTTAGGGTTAGTATGGGTTCAACTATCCAAAAAACAAAAAAAAATTCCATATGTGCAATAGCATACAGGTGCAATTGTTATGGGTTCAACTGTACGTGGGTTCAAATGTAATGGAACCCTGAAGTGCCGATAGATAAGTCAAATAAAAAAAAAAGTAGAAAGAAACAAATAACAGCCCAACTCAATCTGTGCCTCCGATAACCAAAACAACTCGGTGAACTTTCCAAGTGAATAATTCTATGTTTTCAGTAATTTCTGCGTCTGAACAGTGTCGGATTTGCGGAGCCTAGGGGCTTGTGACACAGTTTCAAACTATGTTTTTAAATGAACCCAACATACTACGCAATTTACTCGGGTGATTAGCTTTCGTATTCACGGAATTTAAAATTTATTCATAGCGTCACGATGATTTTTACATAAGATCTATTATGACGCCATTGTTAAAGAGAGGTCTTACAAACGACATAGCCTAGGTAGAGGCCTTATAGCAGGGGTGGGCAAATTACGGCCCGCGGGCCGGATCCAAAAGAGATAAGAAAAGGGGCAACAGGGGGCAATTGCGCATTCTCGGTGAGTAAAATTAAGTTAAAAACACCGATTGTTTTCCTGACGTGGGTATTCAAGCCGAGAACATCGAAATTATGTCGGTAAACTAAATTATATCGAAATTTTCAATCGGAAACTACTGCTTAGTCCAGCGGTTCTCAAACATTTTGTTTGTGCGGCGCCAGTTTACTGCATTAGAGTTATAATGCTTTTACTTTATCGTATTAAGTTGTACTCAGACATTAGGATTTTGCAAACGGTGATATCCTGAAATTATCTTAAACCAAAGATCAGATTGTAGTATTTCAGAATAGTGACATTTTAATTTATTGTAACTCGGCGCAAGGGCGATTTACGTTGGAAATAATTGATTTAATATCGCGAGACAATTTTAATGCTCGTATCGGCCATGAACTGAATATTCCACACAACAGAAAATCATCATCGGTGACAAAGTCAGCAATTTTAATGAATGTCGTAAGCGCGACGACTCGTTTCCCCTGTGAATGTACTGAAAATATAATACCCGCAAGTCATCTGGCATTTTTGACGAAGTAAAATTGTTGATTCTTTCATTTCTAACATCATATTTGATGGTAGAAAAGGGTCAAATCAAATATTGATGATGATTTGAGATTGTACCTGACTAAAATTCCTCTATCTTATTAACAACATCAAGTGCCATGCTATTTCTTAATTGATTCGCAATAAATGTGTTTTTTTTTGTAGTTTTGGGGGGCGATGATAACGTTAAAAGTACAGTATGGGGCGAAAAAAGTTTGAGAACCACTGGTCCAGTACATGATTCTCATGACATTTCATGATGTTTTTTCAGTGCTAATATTTCAATGTTATTTACTATATCCCCTGCTACAAATACCTGTTGCTTTACATCACTTAAACTAATTAGTGAAACGGGAAGGCGATTGACTAATGACTGATAGACTTGCGAGTTGCGAATTTGCAAATAAACCCATTTTAATCTTATTGAGTTTTGATCATCCGGCCCAGTACCTCAGTCTATTATCTGCACCCGGCCCTCTCAGAAAAGTAATGGCCCAGCCCTGCCTTATGGCCAAAGACGTAACTTCTGGCTAATGTTTGTTGGTTTGCTGGAGACGAATACCACTCTAACGGCTGCACCCATCCCCCAGTCTGAACGACACACGTTAACGATGCCAAGTCTTCATTGCCGAAAATATATGATCCTGATAGGATAAATAAAACAGTGAATAGTGATCTTATATATAGAAAATAAGCATGTACGGAAATATCCTAATCAAGTGTGGTACAAAGATGAATTGTGTTAAAACTGATTCGTCATTGTGATATTGCTTGGGACTATTTAAATTAAATATGTCCATTAGCAAAACTTGTTTGGTGGTTTATAATTTTAAAAAATCTGTTTTGACTGGTTTTACGACAATTCATATTATTAATTTAAAAAATAACAGTGGAATCTAACTAAAATAACAAGATTATCCCTACAGCCTCTCCTCGCCTAAATCCGGCTCCGCATCTGGATGTCAATTACAAGTTCACAGGCGGATTACATCAATTGAATACCTTTTAAATATTTAAGATTCGATTCTGAAATCAGCAATTATTTGTAAATGCCCAGCCCGAACCAAGATTATCCCTTTTGACGACGCTCCAGAAGTGTGTGTACTAATATGGAGATAAATAATTTTGTTCGCCCACTTCACATCAAGTTGTTTAAAAGGACTGAAACCTATGGGCAGGGGAATACTCTTTTGGGTAAGTAACAAGGACAGTCTCGAACTCGTAATAAAACTAAACTAAGGAAAATCGGAATAAAATTATGGCCTTACCTAGGAATGTCCCTATCGTTTCCGTTTTCGTTTAGAGCTGTATTAGAATAGCTTTCTTCAATTTCGGCTAGTCGTAATTTATAGTGTACAAAAGTCGACGTCGCTGGGCGATCTTTTTCGGTACGTCAGTGGATATGCTGAAGCGTCCGACCCATTAGCTCTGCTGGCAGGGGCGGATTAAGCCTATTTGGTGCCCTAAGCACTGAAGACTTTGGTGCCCCCTCATGTGTAATTTAATTATAAAAACAATAAACCACATAAGTGTATTATCCATTAAAAATAATCACAACCAACTGTAAATAAAATACCTTTTACGAATCGTTTTGGGTTTTTTGTAACTGTTATATATAGCCGATATAACGGCCGTTTACTGCCGATATGATATATCGGCAAACACGCAATATTGGGCCGATATATCGGTTGAGCTCTATAGTCCTGAGGGGTGTGATAATAGAGATTCATGCCTCCAGTCTCAACGTGAATCGAAATACCAAAGGATACAAGTCACAACTGTAGTTTGAAATTTTACCGGTACCTAGTAGTCTACCTCAGGGTGGTTCAAGGTTGCTAGGTTGAAGGACCGCAAAAACTTTTGAGGAGGTCTCGCGGGCCGCAAGTCGGAGAAAACCCAAATGTGATCAAACTATCGCGAGTTTACTTACTTTAAATTTAATAAACAACGAGAGTTCACCGTTCTAATCAGACTATTATCATGTTGCATGGGTGGCGTTCTTTTAAAGAAGATATATAAAGCCTTCAGTTAATTTAAAGTCAATTTCCGTTGTATTTTGCGCATCTCGCGTTTAATGTCGCTTCAAATTATATTCTTTCGTGACAGATATTACTCACACTATGTGTTGGGCAAGGAAATACATTTCCGCCGTGTTCTCTTATGTCACCTTTCTTGCGACACTCATTTTATTACGAATTGTTATATTGAGTAGTTTAAAAACTTGCAGCGTAAGCAAGCTTAGTGACATCGTCAAATACCAACCAAGTTCGTCTCAGTTGGTATTTCGGGGCCTAACTGAAAAAAAAAACTGGATTACGCAGCGTTAAGTCGGCTCTGCGTTTCGTCACTACTGTCACATGGCCGACGCTTGTAAACAGAGGAGTGTTTTTACTAAAATAAAGGCACAAAGCGTTAGAAAAAGGGTTTGAATTTCGGGATCCCAATCACAGTTGGAATATCTAAAAAAAAAACTCAAAAACGTTACTCCATTAGATACGAATATACGCTAAAATTGTTCTGTGAGCCGCACGGAATGTATCAGCATGACAGGGTTTGGACCACCCTGGCCTACCTTATCAAAAAACTCCCGACTTCGCTGACCACGAGATCGTTGAAATGCGATCGTGGAACCGCCACATAGTGTAAATAGTTCATTGGTCCAATTGTTGAAGAGAATAAAAAAAATTTGAAAATAAAAATGCAGCAACAAGATGAATACTAGAAAGAAAAAAAAAAAAAAAAAAATTGAGGAAACGACTCATACGACCCATTTCGTGTCCAATAAATAAGTTTCAGTGTTCATTTTTAGTAAAGAAGGTTAATATGATACGTGAAGACAAAAAATAAGCGAACATTTTGAAGTTTGACTCGCCTGGTGAACTCGTAATATTTTAATAAATACCGATAAACTATATAAAATTCTGCTCTAAAATTTCTGTGGTGCCCCTCTTTGCTTGGTGCCCTAAGCACGTGCTCATATTGTTTAATGGTTAATCCGGCGCTGAGCACGACACACATACATCTATCACATAGCTATATTAAATTGGAATCTTTGTTTTTCAGTTATGAATCGGTGGCGAATGTGGAGCGGCGGAAGTTCATCGAGTCCACAATGATGACGTCATAGATTGATGACGTAATATGTTTATTTCACAAAGGAAATGAAAGCAATACCAACACTTTTTAGTTTTTTTCATTATTTATTGCCATATCACGCACTTTTGCACTTACTGAATAAAACTAAACAAATGATGTGGGGGTTCAAGTTTATTCTACGGTTTTTCTTAAGAAGATTTGCTCAAGGTGAAGTCATTCGCACTTACTCGAAAGTGAATTGGAGTGAATTTTACATAAATAGAGTACATCCCCGCATCTGATCGCGCAACGATTTGTAACTGCATAGATAGGGCTGTCGTATTTTCTGATTATAAGACACACAGCATTATAGAAAAAATAGGTTCTGATTCCCAGCGTATCTACATATTAACGCGACAAAAAAACACGTAATAAGAGGCGTGCCAAACTTTTCTGCTGCCCAGGGCGAGTTTCAGATAATGATGTAAAGGTGACAGCACATTTGAACCCAGGTACATTTGAGCCCATACATTTTCACCCGTATATCCACGGGTTCAATCTATATGAGGGTGCTGAAATCCATGGGTTAGGGTTAGTATTGGTTCAAATATCCGTAGGTGCAAATTTCCATAGGTACACAATAGTATACAGATGTAATTATCGCGGGTTCAAATGTAATGGAACCAATTCAGAGGATAAACGAATTATACTGTTGTTATTCTTGAGAACAAATAAATTAAAGGTAAAGAAAGAGTGAAATGATTAAATTATTATTTTTGAATCATCAAATTAAGCTACAAACTCACATGTATGCGATCAAACTCATTATCTGCTGCCCTGTACAACGTACTGACCGGGCGGCTGCACCTTCCCTGCATAACATGGTAAAAATAGTTTCATCAGATGTCACACAGTGGTACTATATAGATCCAAGTCCTGATATTCGTATTATGGAGGCCTCTAGTTCTCAGGCCCACGTGTTATTAATGAAGCTAAGTGGTCTTTAACTAAAAGATTGGTTGACACGGCCACGCAGGTATTAATGCTTCGACGTAATGTTTTCTTTCGTATATATTTATAGTTCGTGCAAAAAAAACAATTAATCAATTACACAGTAGTTCTCGAGCCTTTGAATGGTTACATTGGGCTCCGTTCCACCAAAAAGGTTGAAAACCAATGGCACTGAGACAAGTCTACCAAAGATAGCGTTTGAGCAATTTAGTCTGGTTGGGTACGAAAAAGCAGTCAAAGAGGCAATGCGTTGCATGAAAAATCAGCGCTTACCCCAGCCAGGTGGAAGCAACGGCCATAGAACGGAAATCCACATCCAACCAAAGCCTATCAGCTGGGGTTACGAGAGACTACTAGGGCTGGGCATTTTCGAATATATACTTGATGGTTTCACAATCGAATCGAATATATTTTTTTTAATACTAAGAAGATATGAAGTTGTATGACTGTTTTATTGTAATGTATCCTCCAATCATAAAAATTAGTGATAACACGTAATCCAGCATTCAGACACGCGGCGCATGATGGCGGCGATTCGAAATTCCCGTCTAAACGGATTCGAATACCTTACTATTCGATTTGAAATTCCAAGCCCTATTGACTACCTTTTCTTTGCTATATGCTTTTGCACAAGTGAATCCGCATAATTCAGTGACACCGTAGCAAGAGTAACAATGGCTATTCTAAATGATTCAATAGTCTTGCTGCACAATAACACGAATGTATTTCTGTACGTTTTGCCTGAACGATACAGAAATATATTTTTGTCAGCGCGAAGCGAGACTCTTGATATAAACAAGAGAGCAATGCTCAAATTTATGAACACGAAAGTCGATTAATATCAAATCTTTTACAGTGTCGGTAGTCTAGACACCGGATCATTAAGATCACGGAACCACGGCACGCAATTTTTAATTTTGATAACGTCATGACACAAAATTTCGAAGTGAAAATGAATCACATAGAGCTAACAAAAATTTTTGAAATAAATAAAAGTAATAGCCTTCTAGCGAAAAATACAATCTTCAACTACTGAAACAAGAGTTTCAAGCATGCGATTTTTCTTCCTTACAACAACATAAAAACGAAACGATTCATCGGCACAGCTCGTGTTCAATATACCAAACAACTGTGGACTTTCAAGACTCGGAACTTCAAACATCATAAACTTGAGTATTGAAGTGCGGTGACCGTACATTTGAACCCACGTACATTTGAACCCATGCGTATATCCACGGGTTCAATCTATATGCGGGTGCTAAAACCCATGGGTTAGGGTTAGTATGGGTTCAACTATCCAAAAAACAAACAAAAAAATTCCATAGGTGCAATAGCATACAGGTGCAATTGTCATGGGTTCAACTGTACGTGGGTTCAAATGTAATGGAACCCTGAAGTGCCGATAGATAAGTCAAATTAAAAAAAAAAAGTAGAAAGAAAAAATACAAGCCCAACTCAATCTGTGCCTCCGATAACCAAAACAACTCGGTGAACTTTCCAAGTGAATAATTCTATGTTTTCAGTAATTTCTGCGTCTGAACAGTGTCGGATTTGCGGAGCCTAGGGGCTTGTGACACAGTTTCAAACTATCTTTTTGAATGAACCCAACATACTACGTAATTTACTCGGGTGATTAGCTTTCGTATTCACGCAATTTAAAATTTATTTATAGCGTCACGATGAATTTTACATAAGATCTATTATGACGCCATTGTTAAAGAGAGGTCTTACAAACGACATAGCCTAGGCAGAGACCTTATAGAAGGGGTGGGCAAATTACGGCCCGCGGGCCGGATCCAAAAGAGATAAGAAACGGGGCAACAGGGGGCAGTTGCGCATTCTCGGTAAGTAAAATTAAGTTAAAAACACCGATTGTTTCCCTGACGTGGGTATTTAAGCCGAGAACATCGAAATTATGTTGGTAAACTAAATTATATCAAAATTTTCAATCGGAAACTACTGCTTAGTCCAGCGGTTCTCAAACATTTTGTTTGTGAGGCGCCAGTTTACTGCATTAGAGTTATTATGCTTTTACTTTCTCGTATTAAATTGTACTCAGACATTAGGATTTTGCAAACGGTGATATCCTAAAATTATCTTAAACCAAAATTCAGATTGTAGTATTTCAGAATAGTGAAATTTTAATTTATTGTAACTTGGCGCAAGGGCGATTTACGTTGAAAATAATTGATTCAATATCGCGAGACAATTTTAATGCTCGTATAGGTCATAAACTGAATATATATTTCACACAACAGAAAATCATCATCGGTGACAAAGTCAGCAATTTTAATGAATGTCGTAAGCGCGACGACTCGTTTCCCCTGTGAATGTACTGAAAATATAGTAACCGCAAGTCATCTGGCATTTTTGACGAAATAAAATTGTTGATTCTTTCATTTCTAACATCATATTTGATGGTAGAAAAGGGTCAAATCAAATAATGATGATGATTTGAGATTGCTACCTGACTAAAATTCCTCCATCTTATTAACAACATCAAGTGCCATGCTATTTCTTAATTGATTCGCAATAAATGTGTTTTTTTTTTGTAGTTTTGGGGGAAGATGATAACGTTAAAAGTACAGTATGGGGCGAAAAAAGTTTGAGAACCACTGGTCCAGTACATGATTCTCATGACATTTCATGATGTTTTTTTAGTGCTAATATTTCAATGTTATTTACTATATCCCCTGCTGCAAATACCTGTTGCTTTACATCACTTAAACGCGATTAGTGAAACGGGAAGGCGATTGACTAATGACTGATAGACTTGCGAGTTGCGAATTTGCAAATGAACCGATTTTAATCCTATTGAGTTTTGATCATCCGGCCCAGTAACCCAGTCTATTATCTGCACCCGGCCCACTCAGAAAAGTAATGGCCCAGCCCTGCCTTATGGCCAAAGACGTAACTTCTGGCTAATGTTTGTTGGTTTGTTAGAGACGAATACCACTCTAACGGCTGCACCCATCCCCCTGGCTGAACGACACACGTTAACAATGCTAAGTCTTTATTGCCGAAAGGATATGATCCAAATAGGATAAATAAAACGGTGAATAGTGCTCTTATATATAGAAAATAAGCATGTATGGAAATATCCTAATCAAGTGTGGTACAAAGATGAATTGTGTTAAAACTGATTCGTCATTGTGATATTGCTTGTGGCTATTTAAATTAAATATGTCCATTAGCAAAACTTGTTTGGCGGTTTATAATTTTAAGAAATCTGTTTTGACTGGTTTTACGACAATTCATATTATTAATTTGAAAAATAACAGTAGAATCTAACTAAAATAACAAGATTATCCCTACAGCTTCTCCTCGCCTAAATCCGGCTCCGCATCTGGATGTCAATTACAAGTTCACAGACGGATTACATCTTTTGAATACCTTTTAAATATTTAAGATTCGATTCTGAAATCAGCAATTATTTGTAAATGTCCAGCCCGAACCAAGATTATCCCTTTTGACGGCGCTCCAGAAGTGTGTGTACTAATATGGAGATAAATAATTTTATTCGCCCACTATACATCAAGTTGTTTAAAAAGACTGAAACCTATGGGCAGGGGAATACTCTCTTGGGTAAGTAACAAGGACAGTCTCGAACTCGTAATAGAACTAAACTAAGGAAAATCGGAATAAAATTATGGCCTTACCTAGGAATGTCCCTATCGTTTTCGTTTAGAGCTGTATTCGAACAGCTTTTTTCAATTTCGGTTAATTGTAATTGATAGTGTGCAAAAGTCGACGTCGCTGGGCGATCTTTTTCGGTACGTCAGTGGATATGCTGAAGCGTCCGACCCATTAGCTCTGCTGGCAGGGGCGGATTAAACCCATTTGGTGCCCTAAGCACTGAAGACTGTGGTGCCCCCTCATGTGTATTTAATTATAAAAACAATAAACCACATAAGTGTATCATCCATTAAAAATAATCACAACCAACTGTAAATAAAACAACTTTTACGAATCGTTTTGGTTTTTTTGTAACTGTTATATATAGCCGATATAACGGCCGTTTACTGCCGATATGATATAACGGCAAACACGCAATATTGGGCCGATATATCGGTTGAGCTCTAATCCTGTGTGATAATAAAGATTCATGCCTCCAGTCTCAAAGTGAATCGAAATACTAAAGGATACAAGTCACAGCTGTAGTTTGCAATTTTACCAGTACCTAGTAGTCTACCTCGGAGTGGTTCAAGGTTGCTAGGTTGAAGGACCGCGAAAACTTTTGAGGTCTCGCGAGCCGCAAGTCGGAGAAAACCAAAAGTGATCGAAATATCGCGAGTTTACTTACTTTGAACTTAACAAATAACGAGAGTTTACCGTTCTAATCAGACTATTATTATGTTGCATGGGTGGCGTTCTTTTAAAAAAGATATATTTAAGCCATCAGTTATTTTAAAGTTAATTCCCGAGAACTACCGTTGTATTTTGTGCATCTCGGGTTCAATGTCGCTCCAAGTTATATTCTTTCGTGACAGATATTACTTGAAATCAAACCAGACACTGTGTGATGGGCAAGGAAATACGTTTCCGCCGTATTTTTCTTATGTCACCTTTCTTGTGACACTCATTTTATTACGATTTGTTATATTGAGTAATTTAAAAACTTGCAGCGTGAGCAAGCTTAGTGACACCGTCAAATACCAACCAAGTCCGTCTAAGTTGGTATTTTGGGACCTTGCTGAAAAAAATGGATCGCGCAGCGTTAATGTGTTATTAAAATTGCCGATTGTTTTCGGCAGCGTGACGTGTTATTTGGCCCGTAATGATTTTCATTTTGGTGTTTCTCCCGAAATCACAAATTACCGAACACTTATGTCTTGTATCACGAGAAAGATGAAAATAACTTTTTATTTATTTTTTGTCAATTGTGCGCGCTTTTTATCCACTCTAAAACTACCGACGGGGAACTGGCATAACTTTTTCCCATATTACGGCGATATATAAAATAATCAATGTAAAGTATCTTCAATAAATTTTTTAAGATAATTTCAACTCCATGAAATTTTATTGCGGGCGCAGGGATTCGTCTAACGTTGATATCTTAAAAGAATTGCGATATAGCCGTGTCAGCGATACAAGAACAGCTCAAATTTGTCAAATCCGCAAATATACAAATCAAAACAAGATATTATCGAGCACTTCACCACACATTTTTATGTCCACGAATTACCGTGGTAATTTGAGTATTAACTAGGGATGCGACGAATCCAAAAAGGTTCGGCTCGGCCGAATCCCGAGTATTTGTGCTGGACTCGTGTCCGAGTCCCGAGTCCAATACTTTTACATAGCTACGAAACAAATACATAAAGTGATGCTGTTGTTCTCGTATATTGGCCGTAAATTAAACATTCTGTATGAAAAGACTATGTAATTTAAAAACGTTGCACATAAACACAATTGCTTTCGAGACAATCATTCTCTGAGCGACTAGTTTAAATTAGAATAAATAGGTCATATTTCCCGTCGAAAGAATACTTTGTTACGTAACTCTGATCGACCGCCGCGTCGACTGCTGAAGACGCCGCGCTCGTGTCCTGTCACGATAAATACGGGCCATAACCCACACGTTTGGAACAAATTTTTTATGGGAAATTTTTACTCATATGTTATCTTTTTTAGTCGGCGCTGATACAGACGCCCATCTCCGTGATAATTGAGATACTAATAAAGAATTGCCAACTGTGGAAGCATCGAATAAATGTATCTTATAAATATATCGTAACAAAATAGCTAGCTATTATTCGTTTGAAAACCATCAATAGCGATTGTCGAATCCGCGGAATACAAGAATGTGTAATTGTTGATTTTGATTCAATAAGAGAGACGCAAAAGGCGAAATGTGTTATATGCTAAGTTACGGCTGTATGACACAATCATTTCCATTAATACAAATAACGGCGCTTTGAAAAGCAAAATCAAATTTATTAACATTAATTTAGAAGTGAGAGTTACGAGTAAGAATTCACATACGACTCTCGCTAACAGACAGAAACGATAAATGTGAGAATTATTTTTTTTCTTTCTGCGCCTATCGTTATCTTAACAATTCCCAATTTTGCATAAGCGCGCCAACACCTTTTCACATATAGAAACGTCAAACCAGATTAAGTGGGGCAGGTAAATTATATATTATATGGAAATATTGTTTCGACTAGGTAAAAATGCCATAACTCGAAACAGCACGCAATGGTAAATTTCCGGAGTTTTCATTTATTATCTAATATTAAAATAACACAGCCACGATAGGTATTGTAAAATGGGGACCGTAATTTACAAACTGTGATATGGAAGATCAAGTCCAGAAGATGAGGCCAGAATAAAATTAATATATTTATGAATTCACTAATTAATAGTGAATCTTGGCCGATTTGTACTCGCACTTCTGCCTGAAATATAAAAACGAAACTTCGATGTCCGGCGTTGCGTGAGAACTGATAGTGAAAAAGGGTGCTTTAAAAATATAGTTTACCAACCATAATTAGGATGTCGGTCACCGAAACGACCGCGGTGACAAAAAAACAATTCACGATTGTGATAAAATTAGGGATAAGAAGTAAAGACGCCGCGTTGTTATCGAGTCTCCAGTCTTCTAGTAATTTTCTACTATCGGTAAATTAAAAGAAATACGGTAGTCGAATTATTCGATCAGGAAAAATTCGATTTTGCCCGTCACTAATCGCGGTGTATGTAAATAATTATTGAATAGAAATAAAAAGTCGGCCCGATTAACATTCAATTACCACGAGTAATAGTTTCCAAATTTATGCACATTTAATCGATGCGACTTGCGAGATTGTTTTTGTACATATATACGATTGTAACGCCACTGACATCTGCGAGTTGTACTTTTCTCTTAAAGAACCGTAATTTTCACTATTTTATCGTTTTATTTCTAACATTTGTTTCTCTCCGGAAATAGCTAGATCATTTATGGAACGATAAAAGGCGAACAGCGCGACATGGTTACCGCTGATCACGGATTAATCACTGTTAGAGGATTAGCAAGTATATGCTTGAAATAGGACATTCACTAAACGACTTCTGGCACTGGAAGGCAAGCTACACGCGAAACACTGGAATTTATTCAGCTGACTTTCGCTGACATTTTTTTGTTCTTACGGCGTCGTGAATTTGTAGTTTTGCCGCCTAGTTTTAATTTCACGTAGAGAAAATAGACTGGACAGTCTCGTGGCAAAACAGAACGAAAAAGTTGAATTTCTCGTCGAATCCACCACCAGTCTGCGCTTGACTATCGCGTGACGTATGATATCCCGGACTCGTGTAAAATCATCAAAGACTCGGGCCGAATCCAAGTATCAAATTACGAGAGATTCGGCCACGAATCCGAGCACGAGTCCGAATCTGGTCGCATCCCTAGTATTAACGCTTTCATTTTGTTGATGCAACCGCATCTCACAATATTATTTCCACAGATTGCCGTGGTATATTAGAATAGTAACCTTTCATTCTCATTAACCTTTCAAGTCGACGCAACTACGAGTTTCACTGAACACAATTAAATATAGAAATTAACATCCCTGTCCAGTAGTCAAGCTTTCAAGTCGATTTCTAGACCTCCCCTCCCTTGACTCGAAGAAAAAAACTAGCCTAGTTTTTCTACATTAAATCAGTCCAATTTTATTATAATAATTTTAACAAAATTTTTCACATAACAAGACAATTTTTAGACCATGCAACGATTTCTGGAAAATTTGCTAAAAACATTTAATTTTGTTAAATTTAAAACGGCCAATTATTTCTAAAATCAACTTTTTCCGGCCAAAAATTGAACTAATGCTTTATGTAACAAAATGAGTGCGATTTATTCAAAACTATGCGACTGAGAAACCAAATTTTGGGTCAAAACACCAGCAAAATAACATTCTTAGATATTTTTTTAACAAACCAGAATATACAGCTCTACTTTCCACTTCAACATTCTGCCTGAAAGTTATCATGACGTAATTTGATAAAAGTTCAAAGGTCACATGTCCCACTTCAATAATCTCAATTATGATATCACAAACTGCTGATAAAAATTCCTCCCATTTAGTAATAAAACATACAGTCCTATACAAATTACTACAAGAAAATTTTAGGGAAAACCCCTTAGATTTATAAAAAAGGGGAATTCCAGATTTCCAGAACATAGTAAGGTGAATCCCCATATGGTAATTTCAAGATACAAAACTCTACTTTGATTGGGAAAAATCAGAATTTCAGACATTTCCACATTACGGTGCACAGAATTGTTAACCAAATTGGGTTTTCCCCTAAAGTGGGGGTAGCCCAAAAATATGCAGCTTCGATTATATATAGAAAAACAAATAAAAAGGTGCCAATTATGCTAGTATACACGTTCAAATGAAAAATCTCAAACCAGAAAAAAACTAATATTTCGAATTCCTCAAAACGCTCAAAAATTTTTGGGCAAAATCACCTCCCCCCAAAAAGGGAATAATAAAGAAATCACACCTTTTTAAATTGGGGAGTAATTTCTGACTAAAATTTTTGCAAGCTCAAAAATCTAACGGAATGAATATTCTAATAACTGTACAGATAGGGGAACATTTCAAGACAAGTCTATTTCTGATGGGTTTCACAATATTTTTCATTTTTCAAAAATGTTACAAAAACTAAGATGCAGATAAAACCTGAAAATTAGATGTAATCAGGAAACCCAGGAATTAAATGAATTTTTGGAAATAAAATTGTTGAAATTTTCAGTCGAATTTTGGTATAATATTACAAAAATCAGTCAATTTGAGGCAAAAAAATCTAATATGACTCAAAATAAGCTCAAAAATGAAAAATTTTGTCAACCCAGAATAAATAGACCCTGATCTAACCCAGAACAAAATTATCATTGACAAACTAATACATACCCTACATGGGCACTAGATAATATGCACATGAACGTACAATTTATCATAGGCCATACATGGTACGCTAGTCGCAAAATACTCTTACGAAATCTATTCTTTCTCTTATTTACAAATAAAACCAAATTTCTTCGAGACGAAATCGTGGCCTCGGTATTTTTTACAATGTTTCAGAAAAGTGCACGAATTTTGTCCCAAGTTATGTTGATTCTGGAAATGACCGATTTAGACTGGAAATTAACCGGTTACATCTGGAAATATCTGGTTGAATCATTTGGAGGTCATCATTGTCACGAATTCTGAAAACAGGAAGATTAAAATCAGCATTGTCGTGATATTTTGTGTTCCCATTGCTTTATGAGACAATGACTGAAAGTGGGAAAAACGACTGATATGAAAATTTGCAAACTACCGCTGATATATTATATGCAATCGCATATTTGAGGCGTTTGAAGTGAAGTTACGAGCTAACTACACCACTATAAGAGTGATCACCAATACAACTCACAATCTAGAACTTTTCCAATTCTAGTTGAGGGTGCAGCCGTTGTTTGAATAAAATAATATTTAAAATGCATTCATTTTAATAAAATAGAAGTCCTAAGCTGCGTTTTCAACGACTGAAAATACCCGATTCGTTTCTAATTGAAATGAAAACGTATCACCTTTGAAGGGCAAGCCAATATAGGCAATTAATAATGCATGATGTAAAAGATAAGAGTACAACGGTAAAAAATAGAAAAATCGATACGGCATGTACAGGTCGCACGGGAGAAAGATACATTTACATTTTTAACTGTTATCTCATTCTAGTAGCCAAGGGTTTTAGTTTGAGAGGAATTCAAAATGATGTTTAAAAAATTCAGAAAATGCATTTTGTATTCATAGAAGTTTAATATACCTAAATAACTAACTAAATTTGAAAATGGAAAACTTTCTAACTTCAACGCTACAACCTACTAGGCAGCATCTGCATTTTTTATAGTGAGGAATGTCCAATCCAATATTCAAAATTAATTATAGTCTGTAACTTCTTGATTTTAGAAATAATTTCATATTGTTTCATTTGGAAAATTATAATTCAAGTCTCAGAGTGAGTACAAGAATTGTTAGAATTTACAATTTTCAAAAATCAAATATATGTGACATTTGAGAATTGTTTTGCTAGAAATTGATTTATTACAAATACAATCATGACGCTATGTGATGTAACAATATATTTAAAGTTTTATTATTCCCTCACAAAATGAATAGACACCTCACAAAGCGAAAGAATATTCAATACTCGACGTCGGTATCGGGTTTCCAAACCAATTTATTCAATACGTCGTAAATTAGTCTGCCCATGCAGTAAATTGCCTCAACGCCGAACTAAAATATGTCTTTATGACGAAAAAATGTTAAAATTGAAAATAATTTCCCAATTATGCTATTTTTAACAGCGTCGTTTGCAAATAACTTTTCAAGCCAGAGTCGATCAATGTCTGAGTAATATATCTATCTTAACCAGGGATGATAAAATCAAACAATCCAGTACTCTAAATACATTTTAGACCAGCAGTTCACAACCTGGGGCAATACTAGTCGCAAAACTGATTTTACTTCACAAGAATTCTTCCTAATTTCATTGCTTGATAAGGTTATTCACAGGGTATTTTCACCTTGTCGAGCATGGATTATATGAACATAAATGGGATTATAAGCTGCATTTAGCTTGTCCATAGTCTTGCTCACAGCTCATATTTAGAAAAAACTTTGAACCCCCAGCCTTGGTGTAATTGGGTAGGGAATTCTGAACAGGAAAGTTCCAATCCTTCCACAAATAGTTGTAGATACTTGAACAGAGCATCACATAAAAAGTTCCCCCTCACCTTCGTAGTTGACTTGTCCGTCCCCATCAATATCTGCTTCTCTGATCATTTCATCGACTTCCTCGTCTGTGAGTTTCTCTCCAAGGTTTGTCATTACATGTCTCAACTCTGCGGCGGAAATGAAACCGTTGCCGTCCTGTAATAAAATTGGAACTTTGAGTCTAATGCATTTAGGTAAATAAAGGTGCTGCTTTAGAGTTGACATCATCTTGGGAGCTAGTGGGCTGTCGTATAGAACTAAGTCCTAGGGCCAACCAGAATCGATTATTTTTTTGATTCAAATTGTATATTTTTCTCGAATCGAATATTATTGCACAATCCTGAATCGCCATAACACCTCTAGCTAGAATGAAAATAGTGGATATCAACTGTCATAGAAATACTGCCTAAAAACGCTCGAAATGTGGTGTTGAACTTATATAATTATCATGGAAGTTCTACATTGCCGTCCATGATTTGTACATATTCTTGGGTCACGTTATTTTACAAAATTTATTTTTCATAAAATTTGAGTGGCTCGAATAAAGGGTTAGCAACAATTGGTTTGAAATATTTAGCACCGAACAGAAAAAAGCAATTTCTATAAATCCATCCATGATTGTACTTTATTAGAAAAAAGCATCCAAAAGTGTGTCAGGATTAGAATAATTGGATTGAAAGAAAACAGAATCTAAAAATAAAACAAATTCAATGCCATTTTCAAGAACGTGAATTCGCTTGTGAACAAACACAGAGGGTTATCTGAAAATAACCAATTTCAGAGCTTATTGCTATTTCAAAGTATCCTTTACAACAACGATACACAAGCTAATAACGGCCTTTCCATAAAGCGAGACTTTTGTCACGGCTAAGTCAAACAATATTAATAATTCATCACAAGAAAGACTTTTTCAATAAATAACGGTCGCAGAAAAGTAATACGATAGTATGATACCTCATTATATTGGCAGTAACACTATATCACCAAGTTAATTAAACTCTATTTAAAATAAATTGAATTATCTATTATAAAATGGCCCAATAAAATTCCAATACAATATTCTAAATATAGAAGTCTTATGTATATTCAAAAAAGTTTGAACTTGAAAATGTGGAAAAGTTGAAATAAATTGTAAATAAATTCAATATTATGGTCATTTACCCATGGACTTACACTGTTTTCCAAATAAATCTATTATGAATTATCCCTATATTACTACGCTATATACCCAAGTTACTCAAACCTTAATAACAAGATTAAAATTATCTTATCATACTTGCGCGCCTTCAATTACTCAGAATGATAAATTTATTTCAAAACTTAAGAAAAATCCATTTTGGATATCCATATACGGCCAATAACTGAATTATGAAAATTATCCATTATCAATTGCCATCTCAAACCAAAATTTTGTATTAATATTCCGAACTGTTTTCATTTGTATATTTTTACATTTATCCTGGGGAAATAGTTTTTCTAACATCCAAATGAACATTCCAGAGACTATAGGAATCCCTGTTCAAAAGTTTAATTGTCTGAGTTGTATGAATTGTATCAACTAAAAAAATAAAAAAAAGGGGGAAACCTAATACTGGCGAATAAAACTGATCTTCAAAGCGTATCAAGTGGTAAACCTAACAGGTGTTTGGTTATATTTGAACAATGTACTGGTAAAAATATGGCCTCTTGGATTTGAATGTTCACATGCGGAACCCTTGACTGTGCTGGCAGAACCCCACTTGGAAGTCACTGCTATTGCACAGCTACCAGACTAGGGCAACGCCTCAAAATTATCGATTCTCAACATCCGACAATACCAGACAAATAAAAATCTTGAAATCTGAAGAGCTCAGCAGATTAACCATTAACTTTCATGGTTTACAAACTAACGCAATATGTTTGCTTTACCATAGCATTGTGTGATGTGGACTCAGGAAAACAGCGTCATGTCTCTAAACTTTGGAGTGCTCAAATAATGTTTGAATAAAACTTTGAAGTTTGGCAAACAAGTCTAAAGAGATCACATAGAAAATAATTTTTGTGACAATGACAAATGAGCATGTTTGGAATGGCTTCATCATGTAGTATGGCTCAAAGCAAGGTCATTCAAGTCCTCACTTCTCACATAAAAGTGAAAATATTACTGATGGAACAGCAACATATAGATTTTGTGAAAAAGTTGCTTGGAGTGTACTTATTATGTACTTGGAGTGTAGTTGCTTGCATTGAATATTCACCTCATCCAAAACCCAGCAAATTCCACGTTTTAGGTCTATTTTGGAATTACACAAAAGAAAATGCCATTTATGCCCAAAAAAATGTCTAGTATAGTAGGCCAATAAAAAGTCACTTAACAGCTCGTAAATCACCCAACAATAAAGAAATAAATCTTTGATAGTTTGTGTTAAACCAATGTTGAATTCAGTAAAAGGTTATTCATTAAACTTAATTTCAACGTGACTGTTAGATGATAAGTCATTTGGGAATTTGAATTCTTTAAACAGGCATGTCCAGAATAAATCGAATCGATTCAAAATTAGGTTTGTTCAACATTTCTCGGCTTTATTAAGAATAATTTAGAATATTTTTATCTGAAAATTTATCGCTTTGAGCTATGTAAGTCTCACAGTGTGTCCAAAAATTTTGTGTCAACTATTAAATAGTTGGTTTAAAAGTAATTATTGGGTGCATTTAAGTTGATGTAACGCCAGCTTGCTATCGAAAAGTCAGGTTGTACTAATAAATATTGCCAATTGTGAAACCAACAGGTAGGCTAATAAATTTTTAGGCAATGCCAGGCAGATTTCGGGTTTTCCAAATAGTTGTCGCTCCTTACATATTGTCATATACCAATGGCTGCTGGTGTAAGGCTTTGTTCTGAGCAAAAAGTGTAATCGTCGCATAAAAATTGGGAAAAAAATATTTAGTGAAAAGGGTGTTAAAATACATGGACACTGCGCAAAATATTGGAAATATTTCATGATTTTGCCGAAGAACAGTTCTATTTGAATTATTCGAAATTAAAATTTTGAGAATTCCAGAGTGCCAAACTATTATGGACCCCTCTATTAGAGAAAAAAACTATCAAGGAGACTTTAAAAAGCAAGAACAACTATCGTCTTTTCTACAAACATGGCCCGCAGAAGCACAAATAGCACACTGTCTTATCAAGCATGGCCGTAGAAACATCTTTGAACTCAGATAAACACAGAGGAAGGCATCCAACATTAATTATTCAAGAACTGGTTTCAAAAAGGATTTCATAAAAATGAAAAATTTTGTATATGCGTTATTTCGACACGCTAGGCACGACAATCGATAAGACAATGCCAGGAAGAATGATTTTCTGATGGATTATTAAATACAATCCCGTTTCTTACACTACGAGACATATAAGAATGGATGGCCATAACCATATAAATGCATTCTGAAATAATAATTTTGAATATGGGAAACCGAATATTTGAAATTGGTTTCTTAGGTTTAAAAAAAATCCCATATAATCACGAAGATAGATTTTTACTGAATGATCTAATATTCCACATGCATCCAATATTTATTATTGAATATATTTTAATATTCCCATATAGCCATAGAGATTGATTTTATAAGCCAGAAAAGTTGAGATAGACCGCATCATCAGATCTGCTGATCCAGAGTTTTAAGTCTAAAAAGTGTTTCAAGCCATGAAAAAGTGCTTGTATGATACAGAAAAATGCTTTTTTTGTTTTCGCATTTCAAAAGAGGGGTGATCTGATCCTCAAACAATCCCCTGGTTCGGCCATGTTCATAATAGGTAATCATGTGCGTCTAACCCAGGCCGACTGAGCTTCAAGAATGTATGCTGGAACAAGAGAGATTGCTAAAGGCTATTATTCTATACCTGAATTAGCTGAATATATATATATTCAAATATAAAAATAATGAATTTCAAAGTGGGAAACAAAGTTCCAGTCCTGATACATTTACTGTTTGTAACTTAGTACCGTGCCGCCTAATATTTTAGCGCAACCTGCGTGAAGTTCGACTAGCAGATAATTTTACATGGCTGAGTAACGAAAGTAATTTTTTTAATGTCTGTCATGCGGTGAAGCATGTCTCTGGGTTATAATGACATCATTGGAACGCAGACAATCATATCGGAGTAATTTTGGTCGTTTGAATCTGGTTCACTATTTGTTTTGCTTTAAACTTTTTATCAGGTGTTTTTGCGTATGTACTTCTATCACATTATGACCTATGGCACAGGATCCACCTCATGCTCCGAACAAGGACAAAATTGACATGTGATAGAAATTATGTGTTTATCATGAGTTTGCTCGAATAGAATTAGTTTTGAACTATTTGCACTAAGTATTACTAGTAGTAGCATGAAATTTTATCATAGAAAACATTTGAACGATAATATTTGAATGTCAGTCTAAAAAAACAGCAACCTTACTCAGTATGTAATAAATAGGGAAGCCAATGCCGAAAAGGTTCCAGTTCTCTATAGTAGTATTTTCTTATGCAGTGCCTGGTTCAGAGTGGAGATATCATTAAAAACACTGCACATACCTTGTCGAAAACCCTGAAAGCCTCTCGGATCTCTTCTTCACTGTCCGTGTCCTTCATTTTTCTCGCCATCATTGTAAGAAATTCTGGAAAATCTATCGTTCCGTTGCCATCAGCATCAACTTCATTAATCATGTCCTAAAAAGATTTAAAAAGAGAATATTTGAGTCAGAAAGACAGAAATTCCATATATTAATAATATATTCTGCTTTAAAACAACAAAATAATTAAAATAAAAGTGATAGTTTTGCCACAAAAATAGCAAATTTAATATAATAATATCAGTCATTAACCAGCGTTTTTTTCCCACAAATTTCAAGCATACACACTGTATAGCAGAATGCAGAAATGAACGAAAAAGTAACATTTCCGCGTAAAAGAAAACGTAAAAAAGGATACTTGTTGCTGAGCAGCAAAATGAAAACGATCTCAATTGAAATTTCAATTAAAATAGTAACAGACCTTTTTCCAGAGAAAGGTTAATTAATTGTGAATTTTCAAACAAATTTACCCCCCCCTTACTTCCCATTGAATAAGAATATGTGTTTATATGCAGACAGGCCCTTATCTAGGCTCATGTATATGACTCTGCCAATGTTGGCTCTTAAATGCTGTATTGATCAGGAAAATGACGTCTTGCTAATGCAGTGGAAGCATTTTTTGAGTTGAAGGATTGCGTAATTGACAACGATCAACACTATTTGTAAATGAGCTACTGCATTGCGTTATTGAAAATAACCAAATTGGGATTTTTGGAACCAAAATTACCAATTTTAGTTAAATAATCTGTTCAGGAAAACTAGATATTAAAGAGTGAAAAAAAATTTTTTGTATGAAATATGTTTTCTTCTCATTTTGGATAAAAACTAAGGCAGCTTACACAATTTGGGTTAGTTAATTTAAACTACAATTTGGAATGAAATAAATTCAAATACTCGTTTTAGAGTATTATATCTTTGACAAAGATAACCTGCTATAGAGATTTCGTTTTAAATATGACATTATACTAAATTGGATTACAATTTAGACAACTTGCGGAACTGTTAAATTTGCTAATTTCTAAATTAAGTGAAAAACAAATCAAATCAATAAAGTTTGAAATTGAATGTCAAAATACAGACACATCAATCATCAAAAATTTTGATTTACCGTAGACCGTAGTTCTCACAGCACGGTTTGATAAGTCAAAATAAACTTAATAAAAAATGCTTTCTTTATTAACAAATTATCCCTGTTCACTCTACCAATAATTCCACAGAATAATTTTTTCAACAGAGCATATATTCAATGTGCAATATTATTTAGTGAACTCAACAAGCAAGCTTTAATATTAAATATCAAATTTCAATCAAACTAAATCGATTTGACAGCTGATTAATAATATAATCATTCAATGAAATTTCTACCCAAATATTTTAAAACACAGTCAGCCAACAAACTGCAATCAGGAGCTCTTCCTTGCAGTATTCTTACATTTTTGATTGATTTTTAAGTTATTGATTATTGAATGTACATCACTCAAAACGTTTGCCATCACAGATGTATAACTTGCGGAGTTAGTTATATAAAATATATCAATGTGTAACTAACATGAAATGTGGTTAGAGGTGTCCTCTTCACTTTATTTAAAATGATACAAAAATGTAAACAATTCAAATTTGCATGATTGCAAATGATTTAAACCATGCATAATTTAAACAAGAACACATTGTTGTATTCTGTTACCAAAATAGGAATTTCATCTATAACAACTAATACCAGCCCACATGCCTTACAACGGAAGCCTGACTCAGACAGTAATTGACAGGCAATATCGTGTCAGAATATGATGGTAAAGATGAATAACATACATGTATGAAGTGGAGTTGTGTTTAAGGTTGTTAAAAACTAAGATTGACCGAAGTATTGTGAAAATACACGCTATTTGGGCCAATAAAAAAGAGAACTTAGGTTGTCACATTAGCATGATTGTAATGAACTCATTTTTGGTGCATCAAAGCACTTCTCAGCAACATAATACTGCTTCAAAGTGATAAATGAAAAACAACATCTGTCTTTTTTAAACAAAACTAGATATAACTTCAGACAACAAATCGTCTCCCTTGAATAATATCTTGTTCAAGCAAACTGTGGAAATGGACACATACAGATCCAATTTACAACAAAAACAATGTGAAAGACCCTGCAGTTAATGCACAATACCATAGTTACTCGTGTATAGGATAAAAGCTAGAATAACAATCCACAAACCTGAAGTTCAGCTTCTGTTGGGTTCTGTCCCAGAGATCTCATAACTGTTCCCAATTCTTTGGTTGTGATTGTGCCGTCACCGTCCTTGTCGAAAAGCGAAAACGCTTCCTTGAATTCTGAATGAAGCAGAATTTGGGATGAGTATTATAAGACTATGAACAAAATGCCAAATAAAGAACGCCAAAGTTTATGAAAATTTGAAATCGTTAATTTCAGAAATTCCGATATTTTGAGCAATTGTCTCGACTAAAGTTTGCCGATTCTGCAGAAGAATTTTGCCCAAGATTTCACATTAGTACAAAATTGAACAAAATTAAGTTGCCAGATCGGAACAAAATACGACAAAAGAATATACAAGTGCAATGATCCGTTACATCACATGAAGAAAGGCTAAATTACCGGTATTTGGGAAAATTAATCACGCACAGACGGCATTCACAAGGAGCAAACGTGAGAACGTGGCATTGCACTTCGTGGCAACCGCAAATTGAAGAAAACAATCTTAACCAAGCTTTCAAATCTTTTCTTATCAAATTACCATGTTACCTAAATAGGGCGGGACGGCAACGAATTTCTAAAGCCACTACACACACCTTTTCAAATAGATTATTCAATAAATTTGTTACAAAAGACTCAGACACAAAGCAAACAATTATTCTTTCAATATTTGATTGAAACATTTGGTAACTAAGCTGATTATCAATTAATTATTGCAAAATCCTTTTAGATTACTAAGTAAAGAAACACATGCCCAAAGCCAATTAACAAAGAGCTCGAAATGAGAAAGCTTTGTTAAAAGTTACAAAATATCATATAAGCGATTCATAGATGGTCAAAGTTAGAGCATCAAAACTTAACTATGTAGGAATCAGGGGTTAATTATTGTATCGCCGCATTAACACCAATATCGCGTACGCCAAGTTTTTCAGTAATGAACTTTTTCAATCTTCTATTATTATGGAGGCATCTCTCGGTCTGAGTTTCAAATTTGTACCAGTTCTAGTTTTGATTTTAGGTTGTGCCGAATGTCCATTTTTGAGGGGTTGACTGTTAGAACTAAACTATTACAAAAATGTTATTTTTATTAAACCCTAAAATGTGACCTACTTTGGTTCTACGGTGGCGACATCCCCACCCCCAATTACCCTCCACCCAGTGACTGCTAAGCCTAGAAGGATGGTCAGATGGTCCCATCAACTACCCTACCTTGTTTGCATTCACACAAATCAAATTAATTTGGAACATTTGGAATCGAAATTGTAGGAATATTGTTCTCAGACAAGCGATATATCGAAGATCGCAAAACTGTCAAGAAAATGGCTCCATAAATCAAAGATTAACAAATATCAGACACAAGTGTTGACTTTTTGAATCAAAATACCAAACTCAACGAGATTGAAGTATGTGGAATCAGAATCCAAACCAATAGAGTACACATAGTGACAGGAATCACATATAAAAACTAGCTTAACAGATAGTTAATCATTAAAATATATTTTATCTAAATAATACTGAGTTACTTTCAAAATTGATCACGCCATTTTCTGTTCGAAGGTATATCATAGTAAATACAAAGCTAAATAGTAAACTTCTCTGTCAGCTAAGTGGACACTTGCTCTGAGTGAATCGAAGAAGTTTATTCATTTATACATCTAAATGACAAATACAACTCTTTTCACACAAGCTCATCAAAAAATGATGATAAGATGAATCAATCTAGCCACATAGATACACCTGCTTTTTCGACTAGCCTTGTTGTGGGCGAATACATGACCAACTTCATTTCAAAATTTTGAAATATATAAATCATATTAAAATTTTCAACCAAGGGGTTCAAGTATGACGGCAAGGTAATACCCCATGTTCTATATTTCTAAATGAATATTCAAAAATATTGATTACCTGCGATTTGTTCTTCTGTAAGCTGATCGGCCTAAAAATATGAAAAAATAAATTAAATTTTACGTAAAATTGTGTGAATTTTTTTCCAAAATTTCTCAAGTATGATTATATTTGACTACAAAAGCTAAGCCTATCAAAATATTTCTAAAGAAAGACCAGTTGAAACGAACAACAATATCTGATGGCAGTCAAATATTTGTTAGTCTGACTACAACTTTAGTGCATTAATGGCTGCTTTGAGTTTTTCAGCTCAGTTTCTTACATATTTAGAGCCAAGCAAAGTTGGGTTTGCTTCGTAATAGGTTATTCGTAATTTTTTTCAAAAATAATACAAGTTGAAAGAATAAATGATCAAAACTTACCATTTTATATAATTTGTTGTGATATAGGATGGAAAATAAAAAGATGAATGACTATTTCCTCAGATGCTGAAGTTGATGACAATACTTTATTATTACCAAAGTAATTACTAGACAATATTGCTGGAAAAGATGAGAAAAATATGTTTAGACGTTGGTACCACGCAGATTTGCACAAATTTTCACTAATATATTAGGAACTACGGTAATATAGGTACTATCACTGGGTACCGGGTGGGATGGCTGATTGAAGACTGAAATCCAGGTTTTTTACCCTGTGACATCAAGAAGTAGGATCCACTCCAGTGAGACCAGCTACAGGCTATAAGAAATTTTATTGGATAATAGGTCGAAAAATTAGAACCCTCAAAATATATTGTGGTACAGAAGTACGGTATATCATCACACTTTCAAAATTTTATTCAGCAACTACCTCAGACAAGTAGTAGTACAACTTTGAAAAGAATTTTAAAGTAGGTTGGTATATCAATGGCTATCATGGCATTTTGAAGCTATACATAAACCATGACACGGCACATTTGTTAACGCTCGCAGAGGCGGCAACGTTGCCAGCACTGGTTCACTTCTCCCTTGAGATTTCAAACTTGAAAGTATTAATGTCGATGAAATTAACATTTGTATAAACGAGATGGATAGAAAAAGAAGATTCATACTTGAAGGAAAAGAGATAAAACTAATTCTGTGGCAACGCATTGCCTTCTAATTAAACAATTATTGGTTCGAGTCACATATGGGTTAACTAGCTAGCTAGTATAATTTGTCCCAATGTGCGTGGTAGATTTAGAAAACTGTAACCAAGCAACGCTAGAAGTTCAGCAAGCCTACCTGTCTTAATCATTCAAATAAAACATTGAAGTGAAAACTGAGAACTGTTCAGCGTAATCAGCAATGGTAAAAAAGGTGTTACCCTTAGCTCGGAAATTCAAAACATAAGTAAAGTTCAAGTAAGCAGTATGTCCTAGTAATCTATGACTGTATGAAGACTTCAAAACTAACATTCTACCTTTGAGAACGACTTAAAATAGACAGTCCATGATATATTTTACTTGACGGATTAACAGAATAGGACCAATTGTCGAACTTAACTAAAATAAGTCAATCCAGCAATCAGTCAAGAATATAATACTGTACTATGCACCATGCTGTGTACTGGACAGGAGAACTGAAAAATTAACAATGCTGTGTGACACGTCTCCCAAACAAGATTTCAGCAATTATAATAAGACAATATATGAATATTGTACAACTAACAAAAATAATTTCATATCTGAATAAATTGCTTTTTAGCAACATGAAAAACTCACTACTAAACTCACTACTAGAGTTGAACCAAGACCCATGGCTAGGGTTTCTCACTCATGCCCACGCTTCCTCGAGACTCGACCCGCACGTCCTGTTACTATGGCACAGGTAACCGTTACGGTTTGGGCGTAGACGAATAGAAGAACGTCGTAATGTGTAAAGAAAAAGGACCAACCGTCGCCATTTTATCAAACATTACGTCGGCGTTGGTTTGAACAGGTCCACGCCTTCTATTTTAACATCGCTTTCATACAAACCTCTCAAGAATATTTATATACCACTTCCGTCAGCAAACCTAAACTGCCTAAAAGCGTAGACTGACTGAAATAGTTTTACATGCACGGCAGAATTTCACCACAATGCCACTGCGTTGCTGGGATACAGGCGTATCTTAGGCGACGCCTTGCGCTAACATTCGAGTTTTATAAGCCTGGCTATCTAATGCAAGTGTACCACCGAAATTTTGACAAAAAATAAAAAAAACATCTCCCCTAAATAACAAACATCCCACAACGAAACCCAAAATCAAACCGAGCTCGACCATTCTCACGCAAAAGTTACGCAGGAGAGAGGGCGAGGCGGGCTCGATTCTGATTGGTCGGTTCATTCACGTGAGACGGAAAACGACATTACGCATGGATTTAGCGCGCCTTTTTCACCGTGCTTCTCTCTCGAATGGATGCCAGGTTTCTACTCGACCGGGAACGGTCGCTGAATTTATACCCAGAATTATTGAATTTTGATATGATTTATTATCCCATGTCGATAATACGAAATATCCATAATAAGCTAAGAAGGAAATCTATTAATACCAGTTAAATTCTTGATTTTTCATGGTTTCTCCTACGAGTTTATCCAATCGATTGGGTGGGACGTTTCTCTTCCACGCAACACAAAATTGAAGAAATGCAAAAGCCGAATTTGGTTTTTTATCGATTGAACGTCAGAGACAGACGACACGAAAAATAATATATTATTGGTAAATCGATATCAAGACCGAAAAACTTTAATGCCGGTCGGAGTAGCACGACAAGAAGAGTTGATGACATAAGCGTTTGTCCAATCATTTCCGGCTTTTCAATCTTTATCGAGCTCACGAGGAAGTATTTATTTTTAAGCCAACAATTTAAACCTTAAACCAAATCCCTCAAAACCGATTTCAAGATAATCCTCTCAAGAGACATGAACACAATATACAAAAATAGGTCACTTGAACTTGCACAGCCCTATTTTTGAGCTTTGAGAGAGAAAGACAAGTCCAGAACAATTCGCCACCCGTCTTGTTGCAAAACTGTAACATGACGCGTATCTGGCATCATTCCAAATTCTTTTTAAGTCTGTTGCGTCACAAACCTAAAATCCCTCGACATTTCAAACTAGTTATATCGAATGTCGACAATGCCGTCTGGGTCTTTTAATTCTCCATTACATACGCGAAATTTCACTAGTATTTCAATGCGATGATAATCTCAGTGCCGGTTCCTGATCAGAATACATCAATTCTCTCAATCCGGTAATTACTTGGAAAATGTGGCATCTCCAAGCTAAGTCACGGCCACGTCGCACTTGGATGAATTCACTCTGGGAGAATTTGAGCAAAAAGTTTTCGTACGACGTTTATGACACGACTTTCGCTCCGAAAAATAACCTATCTAAGAAGCCTACCGTTATCTAACGATATGTAAAGAACTACAAGTCCGTAATCTTCCGACTTCAGCATTGCCGTAGAAATAAACGCGATGATACATATCCTTTAACGCGCTCGCAAAAATGTCCCAATATACACACCATTCGCCATGATACCCATCCATAACCGCCCTTTAACAAGGAAATGCTACTGCTATAATAAAAGTCACAAGCCAGCACTCGCTGCCGACCCGAAGAGCTACATTTAATTAAGTCACTGTGAAATAAATACGGGTTAATGGGAAATCGGAAATTTGTAAGAAAAAGTGGTACATCAAAAATCAGAAGACTATGAGTTCAAAATAAGTGTACCGTACCGCATAATAAATGTCAGCATTCGTAAAATATCATGGATCGTCGTATTTTCTCCAAACTGTGTTTTCATATAATATTAAAATACTTGGCAAACCGTCGTATTTTCTCCAAACTGTGTTTTCATATAATATTCAAATACTTGGCGAACCGCTACAATACGAACATTTATTTCGTCTATCTAAAACCACCACGCTCCCAAAATAGCACGGCGATTCAGGAGCTAATTTATTCAGCATGCAAACAATACGCATTGAATAGGCTGAGTCGGGTCGGCTCGCCTCGTTAGCTGCTTCCCCGACAGCACAGATGGAGAAGCTTCAAATCTCGCATTTAACGTCACCATGACAAAAAATCACCATTTAAAATGTGAGTGTTTGCTTGCAACTCTATCAGTATTTTTCCGCTTTTTGGGAAGGGGTGTTTTATTGATAATTTATAATAAAAGTTATTCCCGCAAATGACACAAACTCGCGAATTGCAAATCGCGACAAAATCGCGAATTTTACGACAAAGGTTGGGCTCCACAACGACCAACACAAAGGCAGGAAACGGAGTAGTAATTAGACACAATGCCACTTCGATAAATAATAATACCCGATGAGCACAAATAATTATTTCCATGCGAAATTGATTGCGCAGGATATGGAAATCCCTTATTCGGTCACTTTTATTTTAGAAAACGTTTTGGTCTTAAAGCGAAACAACTATTTATAAATGACCGGCTTCCATGAGTCGCCAAATTAATGATCAATACATTACGCAGGACGTGACATGAAACTCCGGCCGCTGAGTTCCGTGCCACTTATTTTTCTATTGGTCATACAGCCTTACTCATATCCAAAACCTTTTCAATTCCCTCTGAGCAAAATTACCAGAACTCACTCGGAGGTAAAAGTGACTCATATGTATGATAGCAAAGTTATCAACGATCACGGAACCGCCAAGAGCTATTGAAATTATATAAAATTTTGGTGGTGCATTACGAGCCAGCAAATAAGCGATTGAAGCGAGGCTTGGAGCAGTTCAATCAAGTTTTCACCTTTTCTTATTATATTTGGCCGCGAAGACTCAGCCCTGTCACAATAAATATATATAAAAATCTGTATGGATGAATATCCCGCTTCGACGGTATTCAATAGCCTTCCAGGAACGAATTTTAACACACAAACGATCGTTCAGTGTTTTTATAAGCTACGGCGGTTAGCTTTATTTATTTATTTTACCACTAGTAAGGGTGGACCAAAATACTCCACACGAATACAAAGGAGGCAAAATTTAAACAAACAAATAAACAAAAAGCTTTAAAGAGCGCTATCGCGAGTTTTGAAGATTGCAAGATACTTTGATAGACGGATTGCGAGCTTCTTTAGTTTAAAATCTGCGCTGAAAAATCCCCGATCTTCGAACAAAACTTGCAACTATTCACTTTCTTCGAATAAACATTGTAAAACCCTTCAAAGTATAAAAATGTATAAAAAAGATATACAATAATTTCATTACGCAACAAAGATCCCACACTTTTTTTAAATCATGACTTTACGATACACAAAATCATTGCGCTTGTCTGAGCTCGGAATGAAAATGAATGCCACGTCACAAAAAAACATGATACTGATTTTAAATAGAAGTTACGTCGAAATAAAGTAGCATTCTAAAATTCCAACTTTATACCTAAACGCATCGCACCACAGGTCGAATAATTCGTCGTTCAACATATTAGATTGTACCCATTAAAATTAGCATATACGAACAGGGGGTGCTATTCTATTATTTTCCTGCCAAATTTTCGAATCTTTTATTTTTAC